AATTCCTGACCCATTAAATGAGGCTTCTGGAGGGCTAAGATGCATCAGCTGCTCACAAAGCAGATGTGGAGCTATGGCAGTTCACAGCTTTGCATACTAAGATTAGCAGGCATTTGTTTTAGTGTGGATTGTTAGTTTGGTTTTTGGGTTGGGTTTTTTTTTGGGGGGGGGGCAGGGGCTCCGGGGTGGGGGATATTTTTAGTGGATGGGGTTTTTTGTGGGGTTTAACTTTTTTGGTTGGTTGGATTGGGTTTGGTTTGTGTTTGTTTTTTTTTTTTTTAAATATGCTCTTCTGAAGCTTGTGACAATTTAGCAGTTGCCTCAGGAACAACCAAGTTGTCTGTGCATCTCCATGTGGGCAGAGGTGTGAAGGTCAACTGCAGTTGTCATCTCCTAGTTAAGGTATGCTTGTGAATTGGACATTGTCTGAGGAGCAACTATCCCTAGGTACAAGATGCTACTGCCTCACTGCCAGAAACAACAGGATGTTCTGCCCAAGTTTCACCCACTTCAGTTAGGCACTTCAGACCTTTTACAAACTCTTGTCCATCAGTGGATTCAGCTAACGAAGTTAACCATGAAAAGAGGCAGTTAAGGTTGCACCTCCACCACTCCAGTTTGCTAAACTGTGTGGCAGAAGATGATGGTTGTTGCTGGGTATTGGTGTATGCCTTTTTCAGCTTACCCTCAGGACAGATGTCTGTGGCTATAACAAAAGAACTGTTTGTGAAGTTAAATATACTTTGGGTGACTTTGAGTGACATTTGCTGCTCATGTTCAAATACCATGTTTCTATTAGGGAAGTATCGATTGAGAGGTCAAAAAAGACATGAGTTAAAATTACTTGGGACATTGCTGGTATGGTTCATTTGTCATGGAAGAGCTAATTTTATTCCTGTTAATGAATGCTAGTAGCGAGTATTCTCAATCTGCATAGTATCAGTGTCTTTTCAACAGATAAAACTCCTAATCTTAATTAAAATGACATATGGGAATTTGTAAGACTGCTCTCAGGCTACCAACCTGATTTGTAATAGAAATACTGTAAACTGTAGTATGGAAGGATGGTTGGTATGTAAAGGGCCTACACTAGCTGGTTTTAAATGGCCAGTAACAAAAGATCATATAATGATGGAAATCTCTCTCTCTATATCCACCTTAGTAATCTAAACAAACCTGAATTGAAACCAAACCTTTTATAGTAAAGACATGCAAGATCTGGCGTTGCCAGGGGTGTATATGGTGTGTAGATTATGGAGAAAAATAAACAGGAGTCACAAAAATTCAGGTGATCCTGGAATTTTAGTTGATCTGAGCATTGGCTTATGTCTGTAGAAGGAAACCCGATACAAGGCTTTACTGGTTCAGCAGCCAGTGTCACAATCAGGGTAGAGCTAGGATTGATGGATGTTAAGCAGATACCACATGGAATTTGAGGCCAGGTCTTGCTTCTGCAAGAGAAATTAAGATCCCTTTTTTCAAAGAAGAGTATCTTAAGCCAACTGGCAAGCTTGTTCTCGAACTAACTTCCAAATTACACAAGGGCATTTTACAAGAGAAGTATCTTGACTCTGAAAAATTGCATGTCTTAGTTGTAGTCCTGCTGGTTTGACCTCGTTTTGTAGCTTGAAAGATAAAATTTACTGTAACAATTATGAGGACAAACAAATGTTTATATCTGCTTTTAATCAGAAGTATGCATATCAGGGAAAGCATGTTGTGTATACTATGATGGGGCAATCCATTGACTTGTACAAGTTTTACAGCTAAATACTGATCCTTCTCTACAATAACAGCCAAATTCATGGCAGTGAATTGCTGACCCAGTTCTCAGAACTTGCTGTATGGTTGAATACTTAGCTTATGCATAGCAAGATATTATAATGTGGTAATTATGCATTATCAGAATTTAATACACTTGTAGTATTTTTAAAAATTTGAGTTTGTTTCTGTTTATTGCCTGCCTGGATTTTCTTTGCAATTCAGCTTCTCCAGGAATTCCAAGGTCATAATTTTCACTGTAAGTCTGACTGGTAGAAAATTCACAAACAACTTTTCTGGGGGATCGTGACTGTTTTGCAGAAATAGGGAGAAAATGCAAAACCATGCCAAATAGTCACCAAAAATAAGAATATATCTGATAAATGTTGCAAAATCCATTTGAAGCTTAAGTAGATTCTATAGCATAGGTTTTATAACATACTCCAAATTTGAATTGACATATTGGAATTTTTGCACAAAGTTGAAACTTGAACTCAGTAAGTGTTGAAGGATAGCATATTCTTAGTAGTATAGGAATGTTCATTACATCACTTGCTTTGAGAAGCCTTTTTATAATTTGTATGAGTCTACTACAAGTTGCACATTGTTAGTCTCTCCCATCAGGAAGTTTTCATCTTGAGATATCAGTGGCTTCAAGCAGGCAACATGATTTGTGTTCAGATTGAAGATCTAACTGAGAGTTAACTTTGACTTAAGAAAAAAACTAAACCAAATTTTATTTAGCTATACTAATTATAGACAGTGGAATTAGTCTCGCAAGGTCAGCTTCTGTTACCTGCTTTGCGGAAATGGTCCCTCTGTGCAGTATTAATCAAGGTAACTCCTTTCAGTGAAAGGAGGAAAACTCGGTTAAGCTGTCTTTGTGTAAATGTCCCTGTGGGCAGTTCAAAGAGCAGCTTAAACCTTGGTGCCATGTTTGTGCTGCAGTAGCTCGTTCTCAGATGTCTGTGGCTGTTTCTCAGGTGGTTAGTATGACTTCATGTCACTGAATAAGCTTAACCACCCAGCTATTTAAAAATCCTCTGTAGATTCTCTAGCATCAGTTAAAATATTTGAACATAATTGAAAAAATATTTTTGTCCAAGAAAAATTACTGTATTAGTGCCCAGAAGAACTAGCTGTTCAACTGACAAAGTACATATATGTCAAACCCAGAAGCTATCAAAACCAGGTGAAAATTAGAAATAAAAGTTGCTGCTAGCTTTGTTTACTGAACAGTTGATTCTCCTCCAAAGAGTCTGCACTAGTAATGAAATAGCTTTACTTCCAGGAATCTTGAATATAAAAGTCTTTAGTTACACTTGAAAAGCTTATTGGGTCTATCTTAGTCTTCAGAATTGGTTTCTGAGTAATGTTTTCTATAAATGTATGGAAGTCATCTCTGGAGTATTTTAATTTCTCTTTTATAAGAGGTACACTTACCCTCTTGAGAAAGGGTTATCTCAATTGCATTTATTCCTGAAGCATCTAAAAGCTGGTGAAAATGAACAGACTTCCACTTTTGGTTATGTTGTCAAGGTTCTGCTTATGCACTGAAATTATTCTGAAAAAATACCCTCCTTGGAGTTGAGAGATAAGAATTTAAGACTTCCCCACATGCAAGTATTTGGGCAATATTAAGAACAGCACACATCTTCTCTTAATTAATTGTTTACCTGAAGAAGAGGTTCCTAACCAAGAGATTCAAAACTTAGTGGAATCTGGATGGTACAGACAATGAGAAGGATTTAGGTTTGGCCATCTGAGACTGCTCCAGTATCAGAAATGGGAAAAACCTTTTCTGCAAAGGCATAATCCTCTGACCTGGGTTGGTCCCATGACTGAACTAGTGCTATTTTTCCAAATGTTGTCTGACCATTATCATCTTGTTCCATCTCAGGGCTGGTATCCCCTTTCTGAGAGCAGGGTTGGGGTTTTTCCCCTTGGCCTTTTTTCCCCTCCATTGCTGCTTGTAAACGGGTGAACCAGTCAGTTAATGTTTCACCTCTCAATCTCGTATTTGAAACTTTTTTTTCTCATGCAAATAGTTGAGATTAATTTAGGAGTGCTATTCCTGAGGTGGTTCTAACAAAGCCTCTTTTCCAGAGAGGTAAATGTGCTGGGGCAGAAGTGTTATGAAAATTTTGCTGAGTACTCTGCAACTTCCCAATGCAACCAGAATGTCAGTGTCTGAACAAGAATCGTGGTGTCTGTGAAGTGCTGAATAATTTTCCCTTCTGAAAATGATAAGGCTTTTGGGAGGGACAATTTGTTTAATTTCATACCTGAACAACTAGTTCATATAAGCAAGCCTTGGGGATATCTTCAAGTAAGTGACTGTATTAGTTCATGTCTTTGGCCTGGGGCTGAGCTCCAGTTACAGCTTCATATGGTTTAATATCACTTGAAAATATTGGATTATTAGCTTTCCCATTCCTCAGATAGATAACAAAGTTCAATCAGAACCCAAAATTTGAAGCTGAAGGAGTTGAAAGAAAACGAAATATAAAACAATACAAAAACACCAAAAACCCCACCAACCCCCCCACACACCCCACCTTCATAACTATCACATTAAGGCCAATTACCAACGGTATTTGAACTTCCTTGAATTCTTCGTTGTGTGGTTGCTTTTTAGGAAAGCTTTACAAGCAATAAGTGTACAATTTTTTCATTCACCTCTAAAGTAAGGTAACTTATTCCTCAACTTTCTTAGCATCATCACGTTGGTTTGCATTTTGCTCGAGACTGCTTCAACAAACTGTTCAAGAAAACGTCCAGGAGGCACATTTTCGGTGGTTTATCTGATAAGGACAGAGGCAGAAAGCAAGTTCCATGTTCACAGTCCTTGTCAGATGTGAAGCTTTTAAAATGCTTTATTTTCAGTGACTTGTCCTGGTTAACCTTTCCTCCTTCTGTTCAAATGGGTTTATTCAAAGATCTGCTCATCCTTCAAAGAGAATCCTTACTGGGAAAGTGTCTGTGTGCTTATGAAGTGTGTTCACTTGCTCTTCTAGTTTATCAAGTACTTTAATTTTTAAGTGTGCCATGAAGAAGTAGAATCAAGCAGTTAGAATAATACGCCACTCTAATACATTAATGACACAAAGTAATATGGACAGACTAGTGAGAGAGGCTGCACAGACATGGTGGTTTTATGAACGGTTGTGTCTCGGGAAGTGTGCAAGGCAGTTACTGAAGCATCACTGGCAGTTAAAATGGAGGCAGTCTGAATCTGTACTTTTGAGAGATTCTATACTTGTGACAGCATTAGAATCCAGTTTATGTGATAATGCTGTTTCTTAAAGAGAGTAGCTTCCCTTGTTTTTTCTGGCTAAATCTTGCATTAGACATCTCTGCTGTTCAGTTATGTCAAATACTTGTGCATATAAATACTTGACTCAGCTATTCAAAGCCAGTACCTGCTCCAGTTAAGAGGAAAAAAAAGGTCTTACTTTTTGCATGCTTCCTATCTTCTTGCTCTTTAGAGCCTGCATAGAGACCGTAGTTGACAGTATTTTCCTGCCTAAAGATGGAGGAACGGGAAAGTGAAAAAGCAAAGGAAGTTGGCATTGCTCTCACTCCTTGCAGGTCAGTCACCTTAAAGGTAGACAGCCTTTAAAGCAATTCTCTTAAAGCCTTTCTCTTACAATAGACTCCACTAAATGAGGAGGGGGATTCAAACAGATTACTTGGTTTTTTGCTAAGAATAAGTTTAAATTTATTTGTATCTGATTGTTGGGCGATTAGGTGAATACTTCTCAAATGTCTTATAAATCTGGGGGGTTTGTTTATCTGCTGCTTAAATATCTTAGTCTCTTCATTTCTGTTGTACCTCTTTGAGTATGTTCATTTTACATCCCAGAGGTGATCTGGAGACTACAGACAGATATTGTTGTTGGACTTAACCATATCCTATTCTGGAAATGCTGGCTAGATGTGGTGCTTTATGGCTTAAACCTCCTCTTTTATACTTCGTTGTCTTCCTCCTTTGCCCCCACTCATTTGTCATTAATGAGTCAAAAGGAAATAGTTTTGGCACTGGATGAATCTAAATACAATTCTAGTTCCAGAGTCAAGCATTGTGTCAACTGAAAAATAAAGTAAGAGCATGATCAAGATTTAGGATGCAAGCAGTTTGTATAACATCTGATATGGAAAAATGGGTTTGAACTGGAGCAGAGCTGGGTCAGGGTACCTGAGAATTGCTGAAAAGTTAAGCTCAGGCAGGATCAGTCCTAGCTCAGGCTGGGGCACGCTTGCAGCCATCAGGCATATGGGTCAGTGAAAAAGTGTGTGCTAGGTTTTAATTACATCAACTAGTGTGGCAGACTGCAGTGTCCTAAAGAAATTCCTAGCTTCATGAGCCAGTGGCTTCTTAGCTGAGAAGGAGGCAAAGACCTGTAAACAGGAAAGTTTTATTAGGAAAGTTCTTTTAGCTAGGAATTTAGGTTTTTCTTTTCATTTAGGAAACAGTGAGCGGTGAAGTGACATCAGTACTGTTGCCCAAAGCCAGTGAGGTGGTAGATCTAAGTGGCAGTGGACTATAGATGGTGCTTTTGTGGCATGCTGTGTTACAGATGTCCAAGTTAGCTTTCTTAAAGCGTTTTAGAGAATACATTGGGTTGTGTGTCATTCCAAGATATAATGGCCAGATTACCTGGCAATACACCTGTGCAGGGATGCCAAGCTACCTCTGTGCTGCATATGCATATATAAAGGACTACTGTGTGTATATATAAAGCAAGCTACCTCTGTGCTGGGTATATGCATATATAAAGGATTACTGTGTGCTCTTGAGAGTTAAAGATTAACTGTACAAATGACAAAAGCATTGTCATGGAGGAAGACGTTAGTACTAATTACATTGGTCATTTCCTAAGTTTGGAGGGAAGGTCAGAGAAATGCTTAGAGTGTGCTGCAGTCTGGCTTTGTCATGTCTTCAAGATCTTAAAAAGCTTTTTGCTTAGATGTTCAGTGATTAAGAAGATTGGCTAACCAAGCTGTATATATGCGGTGTAATTATGTACCACCACTTAAAGTAGGGAAATCGACTCCAGAGTGTTGTACAGCAGTTGGATATTTAGGGTTGAACTTCCAAATCTGGATGCTGAAAGAAGCTTTGGTTTGTGTTAAATTCCTGAATTGCTGTTTGAGAGCCAAAAATGAAATTGCCAGTCTCTCACTAAAAGTTGTTAGTTTATTTCAGGATTTGGAATTTTCCATGGAATTGTAGATCATTCAGTAAAAGAAAAGTCACAAATTACTTAAAACAGATATATTGTAGCTGCTGTTTAAGTTCTGTTACTTTTAAACTACTGTAAGCTTTCATTATTGACCTCTCCTTATGTAGTTGCTAACTTCAGACTGAAGACTGAAAAATTCAGTTTAAACTGTCCTTCAAAGACACTGAAATTGCTGTAGTTCACCAAGATTACTGTACTGGGATTTCCCCTACACCTGCTACATTTATATCATTCTAGGGACACCTTTCTAAAAATAAAGGAGTAACTGCATGTTTGTTTTAAACAAGTGAAGGGTAATGTAGTTAAAGGCTTAACTTGTCATGAGTTTGAAAGGTGCTTTTCTTTACAGTTAGAGACAATCCTGTTTCTAGAAAGGCTGGACAATTTACAGATTTGTGGATCTAACTGAACATTTACAGTGGTGACAAACAGATAAAAACGTGTGGTGTGAATGGTTCTCATGGTCTTCATTTGCAAAGAATTTTGTAGGGAAGGAAACAGTTTTTAAAGTCAGGAGTGAAACGATGTTCTATTAGATGTGAAAATCACTGAAGAGTCTCAAAATTTATTGGTAACAGAAGCCCATGGAGACACCTGCTTTGCTGGACATCAGGTCAATTATTTCCTTAAGGCTTTCTCCTTGCATTCCTTTTGTGAGGAACAGTTTAGATAAGGTGAAAGATTATGTGTTTCCAAGAAGAACTAGGACCCAGCCTCTCAATTTCTCAGTCTTCTGACGATGTGGAGTTGATCAGTGATGGCAAAGACAGGACGCTATCGTGGTGGTGGTTTAATTTCTGTGTAAGTCATCTTAGCATTTTGTGCTAAGCACCTAACGGTGTGATTTCAGAGATGCTGTGAGATTACTGCTGATGAGAAAGGTCTTTCTTACTTTACTTTCCTTGCTGCTTGCCTCTGGCAAGCACCTGTGTTGGATTCCTGCACTTCCCCTTTTCCCTAGCCCCCAGATTATTCATTAGTTGGGGAGGGTTTCATCTTTCTGCAGGGGCAGAGAGGGGAGAAATGGGTAGTTCAATCTGGTAAGTGTTAGACTCCCCACAGGAAAAGAAATGAGACCTTCCTCTCAGGGCAGCAGTAAGAGTCCTGTTAGTAGCGCAGTTGGTAGTGGAACTGTAACAGGTGTGGTTTTTTGAGCAGTATGACCCAAAGAAATGTCCCAAAATCTGTGACCTTGTTTTGGTTTTGCTGGGTCAGTTTTCAACAAAGATGAGCGAGCAGATCTGTCAGATTGCTGTAGGCAGCCACACTAGCTAGTGTGGAACAGGGGAACTGATCTAGCTTGTAGAAGGGGAATAGTCTCAAAAGAATATTTTAGTTGCTTCCACTTATTCATGAAACATCAGTCATTATAACTGCAGTTAGATATCAAGCAAAACATTAATCAACTTCCAGTCTTAGGAAGGTTTGTTTTTGGTTTTTTTTTTTTAATTATTTCTGGGATCCTGCCGTTCTTTTTAAGAAATGCTTGTTTGCTGGGAAGAGGAGATTTTAATTTTCTTATACAAATCTCTCTCTGTGTGATTCTTCGTTTAGCATTTAAGTGTTTCAAAGTGAAAAAATGCATGCTATCTCCTCTTGGATAATTTTTTCTTATTAATAGTATCTTAGCTTCAGTATAGTAGAGTTTATTTGACATTCTTTATGGGAGAATAGTAATGAGGTAGAGGAAATACTGTATCCGATGGTTTGCAGCATTTTATTGTAGCTGCATTAAGAGTTGTTAGTTTGAAAACGTCTGTTGTAGAAAAAAAAAAGTTAAAAGGAGTTTTTATTGAACCCTGCTTAGTGAACTGGATTGTGGTGTCATGTTTGTACTTTCTGTTATAGATCAAACTTTAATCAGACTGGTGGCTTTTTGTGTTTTAGGTATTGAGGGTGATTTATCTCTTGCATCATGCGTGAATACAAGCTAGTGGTTCTTGGTTCTGGAGGTGTTGGAAAGTCTGCTCTGGTAAGTACTCTATGAGGCAGTTCAAGTATGGGTTTTTTTAAGAAAAACTTATTCTAGTTTTTCTCTAATATACTGTCTACGAAAGTGTATTTCTCAATGTAATTGTGGACAAATAAATATAAATGTTAGTAATGACTGCTGAGGCTTCATGGCTAGAATAGGTAGATCCTTTAGTGGGTGCATCTGCATTCATTGATGCATTCTCACATGCTCCTGTTTTCGTGTGGGGTTGGTTGATGGTGGTTGATCAGTTTGAGACAGTGAGGTGCAGAGCCACAGCATTGTGAGATTCTCTGGCTTCAGTAGGTAGCCCAGCCACCAGTCTGTGGGAAATCAAACTGCTTTGTGAATCTCACACAATGAAATAGCTTGCCTGTGTCTGGCCTTTGTAAGTCCTGTCTCTAGACAGGTCGTCAGGGTGCTTAATGTTTGATAGCTGTCTCTAAAGCACTAATAATTTTGTTATGCAAATAGAAATACATATTTGCATGTTTGTAGGAAGTTTAGCATGTTTTCTGCATCTTTCCATGCAAGTAGGTGTATAGCTGTGGCAGATAGATGATTGTAAATCAAAGAGCTCGTGCATTTTAATTACGTGATTACAGAACAGTTTAGTCTGACCTAGACTAGAACTGAAAAAGTTCACAAAATATGATGTTCGCAGCCCACCTAAAAACTTAACATCTTTCAGTTTAATTGGGCACCTTATCGTAATATAAGGTCCAGAGGTCCACTCTTGGGTAAGAAGTATTCTCTTACAAAGCAGTTCCTAAATAAAAACTTAAATGACAAATCATGCTAGATTGTGAAAGAACATCTTCCTTCACCTCTGAGTTCTTTATCTTACTGCTGCAGCATTTCTGGGTTTGAATCTGTCTGCTCTGACTTGGCCATTGAGTCTTAAAGTTTCATCTGACTTGTGCTAAAAACATCCTTCATGCTAGGTACACAGGAACAACCTACTGAGTCTAATTAAGACTAGTAAAAGCTGGCAGTTCTTTTTTGACTAATTTCTGTGCTGACCAATAAGTGACAGAAGATGCAGTAGTTCTCAATGCAAATGTAAAAGCTATGCAGCTGTATAGTATCCTAGTCAACTAGAAACTAATGCTGATTCTAAGAGTTAGGCAAACATTAAATAAATGCATGCTTTAATTCTTACACTCCAAGTGACGATGGATAAAGGAAAACAGAAAACATAGCTTGCTTCATCTAACAGTTAAATAGTTAAATAGGCATACACATCTAACTTTCTGTTGTTTCTTAAAATTTTATAGTTATGTCAATCACTTAATTTGCCTTAAAAATTTAATGGATAACTGAATATACACCTAGAACAGTAATTTGTGTGCAATGTTTACGAAATGTCACTATGCAAGAGAATCTTACAAGAACTTTTGTGTTGCAGACTGTACAGTTTGTTCAAGGAATATTTGTTGAAAAATACGATCCTACGATAGAAGACTCCTACAGAAAGGTATATGCAAAAGACCTCTCTAGTGTTACAGAAACTTAAAGCTGCAGTACCTATTGTCAAATATGAGTCATTGCTTGAAAAAGGGTATGCCTGGTAATACCAGCTAACTTAGCAAGTTTGAAATATAAAGGTGCTCTTAAAGTCTGTTTAAAAGGAATAATTCAAGACTGACTTTTTGATGTTTAAGTATAATACCTTACTGCTAGTCAATAAGAAATGGTAATTTCATTGTCAGAATTGGGAACATCAGTTAAAAAAAAAAGCAAAATACACTACCATTTCCTGGCTTTATCATATTTATTATTAGTTTGTTTGTGTGTTGGTATCTGCAGGTAGATTTGGACTCGGAGATGCTAAGCTGCTTTGTTACTAAGAAAATTGCTACAAGCAACTTCACACTAACCTTTAGAACACTGGAGGCATCTACCATACTGTATTCATAATGATTTAAATGGTAGACAAATATACTTCCATTAGATGGGTTGTTGTTTTATTAATAAGTTAACACAAACCTATCATAAATGAACAAGCATTTACAGCAAGTGGCCTGTTAGTTTCTCTCTTCCCATCTTCAGCATGATAGGCTGAAAGGTTTGATTCTGCTTGCATCATCTTGAATCTCCATATTGCTCACTGTTCAGTTTCACCTGAGACTGTGATTAAGATTCCAGACTAAGATACTTTGTATCTGAACTACTACCCTTAACCATTTGGTGCAACAGATAAGTTTTTGGCTGTGTCAGTTAATCTGTCTGTCTGTTTTTTTTCTTAGCTGAGTTACTTTTCAGTTGCATTGATATTCTGATGTAACTCATCATGTGGCCACAAAAATGCCTGTGTCTATACAAGGGAGGCAAGATCCACAAACCCTAGATAGGAATGAGCAAAAATTGCAAGACCTCCTCTTTCAGCACTGGACTACATTTGCAGCATATAGTCACCAGAATCTCTTCTGAACAGAAGAGGAACTAGTGAGAGCAAAATGATAAATTCACACCTCTTTTCTTTGACTTCATGTAAACTGTATGTTGGAAAAATCCTAGTCTGTCTTAAGTATGTGGACTTCCAGCCAAAGCTAGAACTCTTATTAAAGAGATAACAGAAAAACCAAATTCTATATAGACAGTTTTTCTGTATTAGAGAAGCAGGAATTTTGGACCCTATCCCAATGGTTTGTGCAGGCCTAGTAAATGACTCAAAAAATATTCACAGGCTGATCTAAAGCAAATTATTTCTTTTTTTATATATTTACATCCTTCAGGTCCTATTAGATTCATTATGTTTGCTGGGTTAATTTTTCCAAAGACTATTTCCACAGAACCTGGGAAAGTAAAGCCACCTTAAGAAATTTTGCCTTTTGCTAACTACATTTTTTGTTGCTGTTGCTAGTAAATATCTTATTATGTTCTTTTCAGGTTTGTTCCTAAAATGACTAGTAATACCTCTGGGTACTCGTTTCAAGTCAGCCAGATTGTTGAAGTCTGGACAACACTTTATGCAGTCATTTTCACTCCCTCACTGTTAGTTACAATTCTAACTTGCTTCTTACTTGAGTAAATTCAAAATTTGATGTGTTGATTCGGCAGCTGCAATTCTATGCTATTAATGTTAAATCTAATTTTATAGTATTTGAAGTTGAGAGAATGTGACTTGTTTGTCTGGAACTAAATAATTGAGCATGAAGTCTTGAAACTTGATGCCTTGGTTTACTCCCCAAATGTTTCTTCATAAAGTGAATAAATGATTCTTAATTAGCTGGATAACTGTGTCAGCAATACATGTTAAAATCGTGGTTATTTTTAAGGAATTGCCATCTATAGGGGACATTTGGGAGGTGTAAGAGGAGTGGATATACTCCCTTTTCCCACCCCCTAAACTCAAATCTATTTACAGAAGAAAAGTTACAATGCATATATGGAGAATAGGTGACACAAAGTTCTTTTGAATGCTGATCTGTCAACCGGGAATTTGACATGTAAATGGAAGCAAGGAAAGTGTACCAACAGCTTGAAAAAAAAAATGTGGGTAGCCTGCTTGAAACAGCTTGAAGACACTTTCATGTCTCTTGCTAGCCTCACAGCCATTTCTTTGAGGTAGAAACTAGATAAAGAAACTCTGGAATTGATATAGAAACTGATCCACCTTCTTAAACCTTCTATTTATTGCAAACTTTTCTAAGCTGGGTAGTTTTCTAATTAGTGTTCCTGAAGGCTTGTTTTGGTGACACCACTCTTAGTGGTTCTTGTTTAATTGTTTGCCATGAACTACTTATACTCCTGTTGATGTAAATTACTATTGGAGCATTAGATGACAATTCAACTTTCTAGCTTTCAGTTGTACTTCTCTTGCAATCTGTGATGATCACAGAAACAAGTGGAAATTAGTTATGCTAGTTGCTGATAACCATCATTACAAATTTAGCAGCCTCCTTTTAAATAATCAAAAATCCCTAATCACTTTGCAAAGTGGTACTTGGCTGCTGATGCTGCATTTGAAAATGTCACTGGGGTTCTTTGAAAGGCTTCTTCCTGCTGTTTTCAAACTTCTTAAGCCATTATGTTGCTTTATGCATTATGAATTTGCTTATAAAAATCACGCAATTTCTGATGTCTTTGGAGAGGAGAGTTGCAAGAGGAAAAATTCTAACCAACTGATCTTTCTCTCTCGACAGCAAGTTGAAGTAGATGCACAACAGTGTATGCTTGAAATCTTAGATACTGCAGGAACGGTATGTAAAAAGGAACTTTCCTAAATATTGACGTACAGTGTTAAAACTATCAAAAGCTATAGGGATATAAATGGTGATGGGTTTCTTTCCCCATTTTCTAAAGAGTAACTGTGGTCAGTGCATTCATTGGATTAGAGGGTGTCCTTTAACATACTAGTATTTTAAAAATACTTGAGTATTGCAGCAGAAAATAAATTGCATTTCCTTTGAACTTATGTTCTGTAATAGGGGAAACATGAGATTGAGTATTTTCAAAGAGATTTTGCTCCTGTCTTAAGTTTATATTGCCCAGAGAAAATTTAGGCCCACTGGCTACTCAGGTTTGATTTCTGTTGCTGTAGAGAATAGAGTCTTTCTCATCTCCTTTTTGTTTTGTGTGTGAGATATACTGTGACATTGGGATAAAAATAGTATTGCTTTAGTCAGCTTATAGGAGCTCAAAGCACAAGGTTTATGCTGACCCTTTGCATACTGCTCAGGTTTTTCTCTGACTAGTTCCAGAACTTTTGAAACCAGTTGTTTCCTTCATTGATTCCAGTGAGCTTAAGCTGGAGACCCTTGGAGTTTAACATGTGTTCTCTGAACTGTAATAGTAATCTGGTCGAATAATGGCTTATTTAAATTCCATATTAGATGAATACTCTACAAAAATACAGACGGATGGAGTGGCTGTTTTCTAGAAATAAATCGCACTTTTTATCTGACATACAGGGAGGGACAGAGAGTGACTGATCAGGCACCAGATAGCCAAGTCACAAAAGCAAGAAAGGCAAATGCTATTCCACAGTCATACTGGTAAGAGTTTTCAAACAGGGAGAAGTCCTGGTGCTCCTCTGCAGTGCACCAGTGAGTCTTTATATGCAAAATCGTAGTTGTCACTGAAGTCAAGAAAATATGACAATTCTATTGAGTGTCTCCATCCTCTAGTCCATCTCCTTGGAAATTACAGTGGAATTTAAAATAGAAAAGTGCCTAGACTAAAAAATGGAGACTGAAAAGGGATGCATATACTTTATGATCAATTTTAAGGAACTGTTGGGTGATGGAGAAAAAGTTGGTATGTAAGGAGATATTTGGGAGGAATGTAACTTCTGTAATCTACAGATTACACTGTATCTTCTACTGTACTTTTCTCCCATGAAATTACTCTAGTTTCTGTGACTTTTCTTCCCAGGTTATGGCTGTTGGCAATATCTAGATGTTGCTCAGCCACCCCAGATAGTGTTCCAAACTTCAGATTTCTTTAAAAGCAGTTCTGTTTACTATAGTGCTTATAGTCAAACCACTGTTTGACTATAGCGGTCAGTTTAACAGGGAAGGGAAGGGGCACAAATGCATTGTACTTGTGATCCATTTGTGACATTAAGTTTGTAGCAGTCTGTGCAAGGAAAGTACAAATTGAATGCAACATCTGTATCTTTTTTAATTACAGGAACAGTTTACAGCAATGAGAGATCTATACATGAAAAATGGACAAGGTTTTGCATTAGTATATTCCATCACAGCACAGTCCACATTTAATGATTTACAGGATCTAAGAGAACAGATTCTTCGAGTCAAAGACACTGATGATGTAAGCATCTCTAAAAATTCTTAATACTTAGAGTTTTCATTACAGATGTTGCAGTGTATACACACTGTGGTCAGATGGCTTCCAAGCTTTAAATTAAGAGATGTATCAACCCGTAGATGTGTAGTGCAGAAATGCAACTTGTAAGGTAAACTGGAGAAATTGTAATTCATCATGTGTTATATAGAGAATTGCTTCATCTCTTCCTTTAAAATACTGTATTTGAAACTGTTTATAACCTTATTCACCAGTACTGCAGCAAGCATTTCTAAAGCAACTCTATTGTTCTCTTAATTCTTATCAATGGAGGTTTAAAAACACCTAGAGTTTTTCTCTTCAATATCCCTACTGTTTATGGTATTCTAAAAGCACAAAATTTTAAGTTCTCACAGAAGACAGTATTGTAAGCTTTAAATTTGCGCGTTATGCAGCTTTTATATTTTGTCTGCTTGCAGTTGTTTGGTCATCCTATTTCCATGCAATTTCTATATGCATCTCTTAGCATTATTAAAGCTATAAAGTGAGGCTAAAACCTTACATTTTATAAATGATTAAAAACCCCTTACAACAGTTGAAGGAAGTGAATACTCAGTCCCCTAATAAAGGAAAGAGGTATTTCAAATGTGAAACAGCAGTAAGAATGCATTCGTAACAGAAACACCTTGTAACTTATAGCTTTCAGGCAGAATAACTTCCTTCCTGAAGAAAAATTTAAGCAATGAACAGTTTTTAAGTGTGCTCATCTCATTTAAACTGTGTTTATGCAAACTTTGATGCTTTCCTTACTGCATCTATCTGCATATGTGTCTGCTGACAGCAGACACAGAATGTATTAAACATTTGAGCTTCACGGAAGTGCATTATGACTTCTGCAATACAAACAACCCTGCACTTTCTTGACAATAAGTGTTTGCAGGTCTTGTCTATGTTCAGCAGATTTCTTCTAGAAGTCACTTATTACCCATTATCACAAATGTTTCTCAAAAGGCTAGTATTTAAGTTGCATGTGCCTTTCCCATCCACAACCTACCAAGTTATAGCCTTGTTTAGCATGAAATTATTTTGTACACTTAAATCGAGATAAATGGGATTATATTTAAAATCTTACTTTACGTGGTATATTTATGCTGATTAGCGTAATAGCTTTCTTTCATAGTATTTTGGTAGTATTTCCTTGGAATTGTATTTCATTTCAGAACACTCCCCTCAGTCTCAAAAGGCCCTCCTTAGTATAAGCAGAAAGATAATGAGCTTCAAGTTGCTGCAACTTCAGTTTCCATCAAAATTCACAGAAAAAGTTTTTCGGGTGCCAAAGCTTAGGCATGACTTGCTTTCTTGGTGGGGGAAAATTAAAAAAAAAATAGTTGTAATTTTATAAACCTTTTTTTGACACTTGAATCTGTGAGGAACTTAGCTATGTCCTTAAAATAGTAAAAGAAAAAAAAATTTGGATAATTGCCTTTTCTTGACACAAAGGTTAAATCAGTGTTTTCTGTAGTTGGTAATTTGGATAAGGTAGCATGTTTTTTTTCTCTGTATGCATTACCTTGCTAATAAGAACTGTGTGCGCAAACTGCTCTCTAAAGGTATGCTGATATGCTGAAAGTAGAGGAATGGTGAAAGGAGCTTTAGCATCCTTCATCGTGCTACCAGTACAGTAGCATGTTTCCAGTACGCTGTTTCCAGAATTTCTAAACATGTAAGAATTTTGTAGCAAATTCTTCAGTAGACTTCTTGATGCCTTAAACGTCTAGAAATTAAATCTCAGTAAGTCATATAGAAAACATGAAATTTGCTCAGTTGGCTGTGTTCTGAATCCTCAAATCATTCCCCTCCACTACCCTGTCAAAAGCAGGCAAAAAGTACAGTCACTTGAGGATTAAAGGGTCACACAACTGTAAACTTAAGTTGCAGTTAGACCAGAGCTTGATTATTCTGAAAGTCAGGATCCTTTAAGGATTCAGATAGGGTTTTAGGTGTGCATTTACATGATGCCTTCCTAAAATTTTAATTATTTCTTTGCTGACATTAAATTGTTTTTTAGGTGCCTATGATTCTGGTTGGCAATAAGTGTGACTTGGAAGATGAAAGAGTTGTGGGAAAGGAACAAGGTCAGAACCTAGCAAGGCAATGGAATAACTGTGCGTTCTTAGAGTCTTCTGCAAAATCAAAGATAAATGTTAATGAGGTAAGGCACATTACCTATGTCGGGGAGGGGTAGCAAGGAGGCAAGGATGGGACACTCTGGTAACCAAACATTTACATTGTCAAGGAAAAAGTAAGAAAATCATGAATAACATCCACTATAATGGACAATACTGTACCCTGCTATTGTGAGATGTGTATGTTAAGGGATATATTTATTTTATGATTTGACGGGATTTTTTTCAAATATATTAATTTTAGTGTAATTGGTTCTCAAATTATATTCATATGAATTTAGAATAAATAATTTTTTCATGTTCCATTCCCTAGTTGATATAATTTTTATCAACTGAGACTGTATTGCTAAACTATTTTTTAAAGACCTTTAAGAGAGTTAAGTCATTAAAACTAGTTTGATTTAAGTTATTTGGTGTTAAATTATTTAAGATGGTAAGAACAAAAACTCTTAAAGGTTTTGTTAAAATTAACTGCTCTGTACAGAAAAAGGGAGGCAAAAGCCTCTCTACAATGTATCTACTTGTTAACAGGAGCTAGATGATTGATCAAATGCATGCATTTTGGGGACTTGCCATAACGCATGCCTTTTTATCTGGGGGAAGTGCCAGCATAAAGAATGGGATACAAAAGTTTTAGAAAAAGAAGCTGTGTTAGTATTTACATTTCTGGAATAGCTTGAATTTTATGATACGCCCCACAGTTCATTAGGTTGTGTGGAAAACGTTGGCAGCATCAGTCGAGTTGAAAGGGCCTCTGTGCAAGACTTGCAAGTAATCAAAAGAGTATGGCGGTTTTCAGTGCAGCTCATTTTTAAAATAAGTAATGTGTGTTTAATTAGTTGGGAACTTCTGGAAACTATTCACTTTTTCTGAAATATAAATTAATCACCCTAACTGTATAAAAGTCATATGTTTAATAAACTAGAACTTCCATCAAATACTATAAGCCCTTGTTGGAGCATTTTGCTGCTTTACAGCCAGTGCTTAAGAAACTACTAGGATGGCATTAGTACAAGGACTTTCTTAGTTTAGGAAATATGGAAATAATTGGAACAACGTCAATTATGAATGAAACAGATGCTGTTGAATTGTAGTATGTGGACTTTTCTTAAAATAATGTTTCAAAAAAATTATGTTCTCATTAGAATTCTGGGAAACTCAAAAGTGTGAGAGTCCCATACATGAGTTACTTCTCTGAGAAATGTTACACTTTGTCATGCTGTAGTTCTAGGGATGCTGAATTGATTCCTTAGATACTAGTATTTTAAAGTATCTGGAATAATATCCTTAGAGTGATTTGAGTTAGGAGAAAGCTGTGATCTGTTTCTTGACCTCAGTGCTGAACTGCAAAATAATACCATGTAGTAGTTGATCACTGTGGCATTTTTCATGTGAATTCAGATTAATTTGACCCAGAGATTAAATGGCTGCAGATTATAGATGCCTTTCCAATTTGCTTCACTGAAAGTGGAAAACCCTTGGCAGACAATTATCTTAAACAAGAAAAAAAACCAAACAGTTATTAATTAAGTATACAATTTAACTTTCTAGCTTTGTGATAACTAAATATTTAGAGGGGTTCTTGAGCATGTGAGTACATTATGTGTGAAGATTCAAGGCTTAAGGTTGTAAGAGAAACCTCTTTAATTTTAATAACCCAACTGATTTTTGTCTTCTCAGATCTTTTATGACCTTGTGCGACAAATTAACAGAAAAACTCCAGTGCCTGGAAAAGCACGCAAAAAGTCATCATGTCAGCTACTTTAATACATAACTGTACTGTAGCTCTGAGCCAGGTAAACATTTTAAATTTTCTGTTGGCTATTAAAAACAAAACAACAAACAAAAAACCCTAAACAGCTGTGGTAGCTGTTGATGCAGAACAGCATTGAAAATTATTGATTTACATTATCATAGAAATGTTTATGGTCTTTATTTTGCCATTTCAAAGTCAGAACTACAAATATGTGCAAGACACACTGTTCACATTAGTATCAAAATTTTTTTCAAACTTTAAGGTGTTGGGAGAGCTCAAATTAACAGTGTTTTGATACTTTTGAGTTTTAGCTTTTGGAAACAGTTTTATTTTTTGAAGCCTGGTAGAATATGCTGCAAGAGCTCAATTATCAGGAATGCACATGGTACAGTATTGCAGTTTGCATGCTAAAGTGTCACTTCCTGCTTTGAACTCCTGCATGCATATGCTTCTGTGGTGTCATAGGAATTTTGCTTCCTTTCTTGAGACTGTATGGGTATTTTGGAGGCTGCATTGTAATTGGTACATTTGGAAGAGAGAGGTGAAGCGAGCATTGTAACACTGCACATATTTGACCTGGAGCTATTGTTTACTAGATCAACTTCTTGTTTTCAGTTAGCTAAAGTTCTACATGACTTAATCTGTACTCAAGGCTGCTGAAGGATCAAGGAAGCTCCACCCCATTCTTTAAGCAAGCCTTTTCAGAAGTTAGTCAGCAGGCATGAATTTTTTTCTGCAACTTGTTCTTGGGCAGGTTGTTTTCCTCTTTTCATCTGCAAGCCTTAGTATTGGCAGATTGATGGTCTGTCTTGATTGACCTGACATCATGCAAGTTGCCTGTTATCTCCCTTTCCTTCAGTTTTATTGAACATGTGGTGGTTCAGTTGCTTCAGTACTATGATCTGTTATTTTGTTATCTGATAGAGCTATTTGAGATACTGGAGGACCCTGGTAGGACATCTCACTGTCAGAAATTGCAGGCTTTTATTACTTATCAGATAGTGCTGTGTTTAATTCCTTTTGATAAATTAAAAATTCCTTAATTTGAACAACTTTGATCAATGTAAAACTGAGAGGGTTCCAAACATTAGCTGAGAGTGGCAGAAATGGTTGCTTTGTTTACATAACAGGACTTTTGATTCAGGGGCTTTGATCCTTCAGTTGTGTTTCTGTTTTTAAAGCCATGGGAACTGTCATACAGGAAGCAAAACTAGGCTCCCCAGTCAAATATTACTTCCACAACTCAGCTTGGATTACTACATGTATCCTAATCCAGTTAGGATAATAATTGAGATAGTATGTTATTTGTATATGTACAGTAGGAATTACATTAGTTGAGGAGAAGTGATAAGGTTGTTTTCTGTGTTTGCTATGAACTTTGCTAGTTCCTGCTTTGGTTGTAAAGAGCAAGGACGAATAGTTGTTCTTAATACTAACCCCTTGTTTTGTTGTTACAGGTCTGAAGAACTGTTGCCCAATTCAACAGTGCCAGCATTCCAACTTTATTAAACCTACCAACATCTTAAATGGACTTTCCTGTGGTGGTACCCTTTAAGAAATGGATGAAAGCTACATCAGTTTGCACATTCTAATCACTTTCCAGTGTCATGAGAGATTTTTACTTCTAAATATTCTATGTATGCAACTGGTAAAACCAGAGCCTACATCCAGTATTACTGATAAGAGACATTGTTCATCCACCAATGTTGTACATGTATGAAAACTGTGTACTGTATACTTCAACAATCCCCACTTTCTATTGGAGAGTACAATAATGTAAATCCTAAAAGCACCACTATTTTAGCATAATAAAAGAAAGTCCAAAGAGCTCCTATATAGACTACTCCAGATAACTTTGCTTCATCGGTATTTGTAGCTTATTGTAACTTTTTTAAAGAAATACAGGATCATCATCATCATCATCGTATTGTACAAAAGCGCTTTGATTAACACAACGGCTATATAGTTTTTTAATTTTAGGAAAAACCTGTGGAGACAGTGACCTAGTCTTTAAGAGTCCTTTCAGTATAGCGTCTGACTAAAGACATGGCCTTTAATATCTGTTGGGAAGGAAATGTCCAGACTTTTCAACCTTTTATTGTATGTTTCCTTTTCCTTGTTTACATAGGGAACAATGTTTATAGTTGTGTGTACAGTGGGGGTCTACAACAAGAAGTGTATATTTTAAAAACAATTTTTTAATGATTTAACAATTTTTTGTAAATCATTTTTGGGCTTCTGCAGCTGTAGATTCTCACTGTGATTCCCTTGCTTGCTCATGCATAAGTGTATTTGCAATACCAAATATACAGGTTTAGTACTTTTGCCTGTTAGTGATTGTTTTACATGTGTAACGTTTTGGTTGAGATGTTAAATGGTGGAAGAGTACTGTGGATGTGAATGTGGGAAGTAATTTTAATCATGTGTAATTGGTCACAGGGCCTAAGTTGCAGTAATTAACTTTTGCTGATTTATTTAACAATGCCTTGTTGCTTTGTATGCATTAACGTTTGGGTGTAAAGATTGTGTGTATATCCAACAGGGAGCCACAGTATTTAAATTGACCAACCTAATGTTACAACTGCTTTGAGGTGGCCAAATGTAAACTAAAAGCCTTAATTAAAAGTGGTGCAATTTTGTATGACTTAGCATCAGTAGTTCAATAAATTTGGATTGCCATGCAAGGGCTTGCATTACAGTTATACTACTTGAATGTTTTGTGGTTTAGTAGAACTAGTAAATACTGATTTTTAAATCTCTTACACAGTGCAGATTCATACATCTTAGAATGAAAAGGAACCCTTATGACTTTGTCTTCTGACAAATACTTGCCATAGATATTTCTTGTATCCCATATATTAGGGTGGATGAATTTCTAACTGAATTAAATCCTACTTAGTTCTTGACTTGGAATATTCCAAGGTGTAACAAAGAGTCTAATAGAAAAATACCTGTCTTCAGAGGTTAGACTACCAGTGGCTATTTTGGATACTTAAAAATATGTTACCTGCTATTTTCCTTCTTTCCAGGAAGAATTGTCAGAATTGAATTGTTAAAATTTACTTAGTGTAACTCCAAAAAAAATTATCTTGGGAGACAATATGATTTTTCTGCATGATTAAACCATATTTGTTTGGTTTCACAGAAATCTGCAGAAGAGCATTCTTGCAGTATTGAGTGTAGAATTTTGCAGACTTGAAATATCTGTTAACATTGTTGGACTGAGAACTGGAATGTGGGGACTGTAGATGATTTCCTGATTTTTGGCTGTGCTGCTAAAAATTTATGTCACACCCAAATACTTAGTGCCTCCTATTACTCTGGCACAGAATTATCAGAGCTTGTTCGCATCCATTCCTGCAAATTCAATCAGATTAGGTTAGTTAATACCAATAAGCTTTGAGATAGTTTACATTGCCTAAAGTGAATTAAGGAGCCCAGCTGATCCTTGTGGCTAGTAATTTCATCAGTCCATCACCATTGTTTAATGGAGGTAACACACTTCCGCCTGTGCAGAACCAGAGTTAAGACTGAAATTCCTTTTCACTTATCATTAGAAACCAGAAGATGTGATGATCCCTGTAAATATCACTGTTGCACTCGGCATCCTGCATGGTCCCCAGAGTAGATGAGACCAGAGCACTGGATGCTCCAGTTCTTTTTTCACTAGGTACCTACCTTCTTCCTTGATGAGCTAATCAGTGTTTTTCCTCCCTTCATTTTCATCCTCTGCTTATTCGGGTCTTATAACACTTTTATGTCTCAGTTGTCCTTTTATCAGTCTTTTTAATGTGTTTCTTTTCCAGTAAGCTGTACAGATGGCACTGGGCGAGAGTGAGAGAAAATTCTTTGAGAACATCAGAGAGGGAGCCCTGGTCTGGTCTCAAGTGTCTGGCCAAAGAATACCATTTACAGGGAACATCAGGCTTTGTCCTGAAAGGCTCTGTACCGAAACGTTCTTGGCTGTTCTGTTCCTCAGTAGTAGAGGTATTCAGTTGGATCAAATCCTGAGGAAGTAAAATTTTCAGAATCTCTGGGCTTTAACATCTAAAGATTGTGCTCAAAAAAGTGAAATATGTTCCCCCCCTTACTTCACAACCCCTGTATTTAGAACTTAGGTCAGATTTGGAAAGCTGGGACATCATAACACAGGTAATACCTAAACCCCAGTATTTTTCTCCTTGAAAACATAGGCAAGATTCAAGGGAGCAGTGTCCTGGTTGTTAAAGGGAAGATGCATGACAGAATGATGCTAAGGAAATGATGGACGTGAAGTGTAAAGTAAAACATGGAAATTCTCTTCATATCTAAATAAGTGTGGCATAAGGAGCTGTTCCCACTGAGGAAGTGAACATCCAGTTCCCCACAGGAATTGGAACTATGTAAGCAGTTACCAATTCTAGAAAAGAATCCTGTCTGCTGAAATTCTTGAATGAACTTTGACATATCTTCAAGCTAATTGTTTTGTGTACCAGTGCTTAAGAAGTTCACGCTTGAACTACCTGTACAGAAGCAGAACACTTTTCATAAAGCTTTGGATGAAAATATGCATAATTCACATTTAGAGAACTAATGCAGTAATTTTTGCAAATTCGGTGTTAGTACCCATGTGTTACTGCTTGTAAAGTTAGCTTATGCTTACAGTGCACACAAAGGTTGTGACTGCTTTATTTCCTCCTTAATCTGAAACTGGTATATGTCAATATTTAAAGTCTGACCCTTTTATGGAAAAAGTAATGTTTATGTCTTGAAATACAAAAAAATTAATGGAATTGCACTCTTCATATTAGGACTCTTTCATTGCAGTATAAATTTCCTCTTATACCTTACCCTTGTTCCTAGTGCCCTTTTTCATTCTCAAATTATTCTGTGAAGTGAATGCTACTTTCCTAATAGAAGACTATTTTGAGACATTGGAAGATGCTTTAACATGTCCAAGTGAACTACCTGTAAGCTCAAACTACTACTGCTCTCCTGCATAAGAGAACTTAACTTCTGGGAAAGTATTGTAGAGTTAAATATTACATTTGTTCATAAGATGTACTGATACTGTGATGCTAGAAATGAGAGATGGGAGGAGTTTGGAATCAAACTGCTTGGGTTTTTTTCCGAAGTTTTCTTATCTTTGCCAGTTTTGGAAATAACTTAAAGGGGGAGAGATTTGGCCACAGTACTGTACTAGTTCTAGGTAGGCTTCAGTTTAGACATATCAACAATAGAAATGTGAATGGTCAAAAATAGTCAATGTACTGCTGTCTGTAGCATTTTTTGAATTGTAATCTGATGATGCAGCCAAGCATCAGTGTAGACAGAAAGCTTTTTGTTCGATTTGAAACTGCTATCCCAATGGCATCAGACTATACTTCAATTTATAGCTTTTATTTTGCCTGTGTATGGGAAGGAGAATGAAAGCAAATAACAAGTTGATCAAATATGTAACAAAATGCAGTTGTAAGCTGTTTGCTAAGGTAGCATTAGAGTAGCAGAGCTCTTAATCAAATTAGGTTCTTACTTTGAATCTCAAGCACCTTATGCTTTTCTTTGAAAGGTTTATGAACAAGTTGAGGATTCCTAAAACCTAATTTACATTCTCTGTTCTATGAAGTAAACTCGGGAAAGATGCTTATATTTGTGGAAAACTTTACATTCTTAGTGTGGAATCGTAAACAAAGTTGTTTTGTAGTCTTGATTTTGTTCTCAGTGTTGCAATATCTGGGCTTCAAACAACAGATGAATGTGGATTTTGCTGCTTTTTTTATGTGTTTGTGTTTTTTGGGGGGTTGTTTGTTTGCTTTATTTAAATACCTTCCAAAGCCGTTTATTTTCAGAAGTTTGAATCATCAAGGAGAGAGTGGCTTCCTGTTTTCAAGGAGTTGTTCTTTAGGGAGAAATTTGCTCTTTAGGGAGAGATTTTCAAATGGAGAAAGGAATGTCTTCGTAATTGCACTGGCCTCACTTTAGTCTCAAGAGATACTAGTTCTGCTGTACAACAAGCTCCACAGCTTCATTGTTTTAAGAAAGGTCACTACTACCAGGGCTTCTTTTCTTTGAGGTGGTGGCTGGGGTGAACTACTTCTTTTGAAAAACACTGTCATTTCTAATTAATTCACAAAATGTCTTTTGACTACCATAAACTGGAAGCGATGGGACATTTCTGCAGTCTTGGTTAGTGAGTGAAACTATAGTGGAAGTTAGTTCCTTCTTTCATCACTATACTTTACCTTTTTATACTATGTGGCATTTTTACCTAGTACTTCCAAATCTAGCAGGGTGAAGTCAGTAGCTTCACTCCCATACTAAGTACAAAATCTACATGTGAAGTCCCAGCTCTCATAAACTGGGTTTACTGCTTGTAACACGCCCAATAGCAACAAAGACCCTTGGCAGTACTGTCATGATTTTCATACACAAATAAAATGAAAGTTACAAATTTGTCTCTTTCCTTTTCAATAAAAAGGGGGTTTGGCTGAACTGCCTCAATAGAAGTAGGCATGGGAATCAATTTGTTTAGGTAAGACCCTGAGAGAACATTTTGAGTCTCAACACAGGTATTTAAATACTAAGCAATTACATGAACACTTTAGTTAAATGCTTGAGATTGATTTTAAAAAAAGGTTTCCTTGCTTTTAAATAAAAAAGTGAAGAATTACACACTTCCAGGAACGTGTTTCAACTAAGGAAAGATGGGCTAAACCATGAGCTTTTTTCCTTCTCTTACAAAAAGGCAGGGTATAGCGTACGTTCCGTAGTTTTCTTTGTACTGAATGCAGTTGTGCTGCTGTCCCATATTGCACATGAACTTTGAGCTCTTGCTTTTGGTACTTCTGAATTAAAATTACAATTTTATACATGCAGATGTCATATATATTGGAGCAATTTATTTGCAATATATTGGTGCAATTTATTTGATTCATGAGCTGTCTTCAAACATATTTTGTTGAAAGGTAACTGGAGTTTTGAGTTTACTTGTTTAAAGTTCAGGATATATTATGTCAAAATTAACCTAGTACATCCTGTAGACTTTGTTAACTTCATAGAAAGCTGGATGAGAGCAGAGGAACCTTAAGCATTGACAATACACGTGCCAGGTGTCTGTGTTAGTGATGCTAGCTGCTGGGCTTGCTTTGGTTGTCCTGCCTCTAAGTAGGGAACATTGCTACCTCCCCTGATATTCTGGTAACAAAACTGCAGTTAAGATCAGTGTTGATGCAAATATGTGAAACTTAAGATGGAGATGTAATTTTTAATTATAAATTTGAATTCAGAGTCCTTTATATCACTGAATGAAAATTTTGCATTCTCTTCTGCTTCTTGGAAGCATAACATGCTTGCATGAAACTGTCAGTTGTTTTTTTTTTTCTCTCCTTTTTCCTTTCCCTTTCAGTAGATAAATGTGAAGTAGGATGCCAGTCAAAAAGTACTGCCTGAAAACACACCTTCAGGTTTTTACCCTGTTCCCCCCATATTGTCCCCTTACTGGAGCCTCTAAGGTGTTTCCCTATTCTGTACTTAGAGAGGCTGTACATACTAAGAGAAGTTCTCTCAAGGCCTCCCATCTTTTATATACTTTTAACAGGTTTGTTTGGTTTGGGTTTTTTCAAAAGCATGCATGCTGCCCTCTTAATTTCCCTTCACCCATATATATTTTGCTTTATTCTCATCTGTCATTGCTTTGGGCAAACCTGAGAGAGCACACAAAGGAAGCATATTCTCTTTCATGGTTACATTTCTCATTCGTTTATGCTTCTCTGCCCTGAGTGTGTGAGTTGTTGGCAAACAATTGAACCAGATACTAATTTGTGCATTACTCTAAATTAGCCACTGCACTACAGAGACAATAAGGCTACACTGTTTCAGGAGGATGTGTTGAGAGATAAATTCTATTAAATATGTAGTACTGAATTAGGCTAGAATAGTCCTCTAGTGCTCTTTTATTTTTCTGTTATAATGAAGGTTGTTGCCTTTGCTTGTGCTTTCAAGGTAGTCTACTAGAGAGAAGGGCATCTTCATATATTTATTTTCTTTAAATCCAAAATCACATTTCCTGTGTGACTAATCCACTCTATAGGTCTTCTGCTCGCTTGTGTTTCTGCATATACCCAGTCTTCATCAGCTTTCTTCTTGTGAAGCTGCCTGAAGTTAGGCTCTCTGCCAGCTCAGTGAGACCGCAGGCTTGGGTGCCACGGCATTTTATCAGCATCTTAAGCAAGTTGTGGGACTTCACGTCTTGCAGTTCTGCTGTCTTTTGCAGCCACTGTCAGATGTATCCTTCTGAGGAATGTTAACATATAATTTGCTCAAAGTACCCCACTGTAGCTGTAGCCCTAAATTTACCCAAGTACTTCCAAGTGTGTTTGGATGGCTTTCCTTGTCCTAGAGCACAAGTAAATGAAGTACAGTCAGTAGCAGGCTCGTTTGTACTGATAGAGTAGTAACAGTGCTTTTCTGTAGTTAAAAAAGTAGGCAAAATTCATTTTGGGAAGGGAGAGGTAGTTTCATAACTTTGTTTCATAAGTTTGTCCATGCAGGTAGGGTGTGAGTGGTCCTGCGTGATAGTTACTTTACCCCTTAAAGCTGGTGCCAGCAGTCTGAGTTACACGGGGAGAAACGGGAGAGAAACAGACACGGATTTGTAAGTCGGTGAAAACAAACTCGTCTTTGCCAAGGCTCGGACGCAGACTGCCTTAGCTGTATGTATAAAACATTCTGCCCGTCTGATGAGCCCTTCCCTGGTGCAAATAGCACCAGACACTTTTTAAATACGGGGTTTTTCTAAGCTCTGTCCCTTAACGCGGGATGCCGGGGACTGACAGAGGAAAGCAGCCTTAGGCCGGGCAGTGGTGGGCGGGCAGGTCTCGCCGCTACTGCTCGTCCCCACCACGGCCTGTCTGGCCCCCGCGCAGCCGCTCCGGGGCCGGCGGTGCTCGGTGTCGGCAGTGCCCCGTCCCCGACGCCGGCGGAACTCACGGGCAGCGCGGCGGCCCCGCCCGGCGCGGGCGGAAGGCGGCCGTGTCCTTCCGGGGCGCGGGCCGGCGCTGGCGGAGGCGGGAAGGCTGGAGCCCGGAAGCCTGAGCCGGGCCGGGGCCGCTGCCATGGAGAGGTGAGGGGTGAGGGGCGCGGGGCGGGCGGTGCCCCGTCCCGGGGCTGTGCCGTGTGTGACACGGGCCCCAGCGGAGCGGGTGCGCACAGCGCGGGCTGCGGGACGCAGCGGGGCGGGAGCGACTGCTGAGGGTACCGGGGGCTTTTGTGTCACCCGAGAGCTTGGAGCGTGGTTGCTGCTTCTTGAGTATACCTATGGATTAACCAGGACCCGTGAATTGCTTGGGGATCGCGGGGCCAGGCCTTTGCCAGGCCTGCTTAGGCATCACCGCGGTGCTTTCACAGCGCACCGCGAGCGGCTCCTCCGCGTCTGAGTAACTGGGAGCGGATTCTTTCCCTTCTGCAAGACACGTGAATATTTCCAATCTGTAGTGATTGCGTGTATCCGAAGAAAAAATCATGCTGTTCTTTCAAATTAATTTTTCAGTTCAAAATTGAATTCCATACCTTGCATCTCTTACTAGCCTTTTTCTTCTTTTTTTTTTTCTTTTTAATAGTGATAAAAAAAGGTTTGTTATCGCGTAGAAGGAACAAAGTGTGGGTTTTCAGGAAAGGTCGTTTCCCTGACCTGATAAGCAGTGCTAGATGTTCTGCAGAGGAAACTGGACATCAGTAGTAGAGTTGGAGATGACTTAACACTTTAAATTTCCTAGTTGTGGAGTTAATTTGATGCAACAAAAACATCTTATGTTCTGCTTGAATTCACTTGCTTGCTTTCTGTCTCTGTTACTGTTTTCTAGAAATGGTTTTGAAGACATCTTATCCCCCCTCGAGGCAGAGATGGTCAGACCTGGACGTAAGCAAGGCTCTCAGAAAAGAGTTTCTAGTATCCTTTTTCTGTAAAGAATTTTTGTCTTCTTTTTAACTGCTGCTTGCTGTGTTCACCAGATGTATATATTTTTACTACTGCTATGATTTTAAGCATGTTGAGAATAGTTTTTGAATATACAGTAAGTAACTCTTTATACCCATTTAAAATGAAGAATATATGAATGTAATGTGAAATTGTTACCTGACTTCTGACGTATTCTGCAGCCAAAATTCTGCTATTGAGCTGTCTCATATTTTCCCCTACTCTAGTCAGTTTTCTTTTCTGTGTGGTATTTTCATGCATTAAGGAGAAAAGTTCAAAAACAAAACCGTAATTGCAATGTCTAAAAACTAGTAGGGAGGGATATTAATGACTGTGATTTAGGAAATCTGGATGAGTTTCATTTAGAAAAGTACTGCATTTTCAGCAACATAGTGCATTACTTGTCCTTTACAGAAGAACTTAAAAGTAAGCCAAAAGATGTAATTCTTTGCCTTTTCTCAAAAGTATTTCCTCTGAATGGAATTTTCTCTCTCTCTTCTCTTTCTTACACTGTAGTCTCAAACCATGTCAAAACTGTTGTAGTGATGGCTCAGAACAGATTATTCAAAAGATTTTGGGGAAAGTAAGAGATTGTTCTTGCCTATATGTAGATTGATTATTTTGATTGTGAGTTAAATGTGATTGCACGGATATTGCATTGCCTGTCTGCTAAACTTGTGCCATAATCTTTATATAGTGTGGTGTTTTATAGTTTTTCTTGGGCATATGAACTCAGGTTGATGTCCACCCAGAGAACTATGTGAGCCATAGCTGATTCCATGTCTGAGTTTTTGGAAAAGAAAAAGGAGTTTTCTTCCTTATAGCTTAATTTATGGCTCTATGCTCTTTTGCAGATATTGTGTTACCAGTGATGATTCAGCGTATCTTAACTTTCCATCCATTGTAATAGCAAGAGTAGTGCACAGACAGATTTAAATTTCCACAGAGTTTTCCCCCCTACTTTTTTACAATAAGGAACCCCCCCAATGTAATTTGACAACTAAGATAAGGGTATTTTTATGGTTATAATAGCAAAAGAATCCAGTACATTTGCTGCTTTTTCTAGTTTTTGCATGTAAAATAAAGCTAGTGAGATATTTGCCCTGACTGCATTGTGCCTAGGAATCCAGATGTTCCTGGGCACTAATAATGCAGGCTGCTGAAACATTTGTACAACTACTTAGTAAATCATACCTAGAGCACTAAACCTAGTTGCTGACAGGAAGAAGAAAAGTAGTACAACAGAGCACCTTGAACTGAGAGAGAACTTTTTTAAACAATTTATTCAAACTCAGATTTTTGTGTTATGGTTGATGTAGCATAAAGCAGCTCTTTATGGGGCATAAGGTTTCTCTTTGCTCTGAGCAGTTGTGAGGAGTCCCAGACCTATTCTGTTCATATTTCTGAACTTTGCTTTGTGGTGTCCCTTTTAGCCCTCCAGCCTTAAGGTTCTGGTGAAACATTTTGTGACCTAGCTCAGGCTTATGAATGGGACTTTTTGTTTTACTCTGAAAGAGGTGTAATTACCATAACATTTTTCCTTTCCAAGTAGTCACAATCATTTAGAATAGAGCCAAAAGCATGTTTAGGAGAGCGTTTCTTAACTTGTTTGTTAATCAGTTCTCACATCCCTGGATGACACTATTGGAAACATGACACCCAGAAACCAGTTTCTTTCCCGAACTCCTAATTCATTGCTTCACCAGCCAGGTAAGACTGCTTGCTCTCTTCATCAAGGCTAGGCTTCGCAAACGAAGATTTGGGGAGGGCTCTACCTTGTTACAAGCGCGCTGGTGGCTAAAGAGGCCAATATGAGATAGGCACGTCCGGTTGCAAAAGGCACAGCAGAAAGACTCCTTAGGTGGTATATTCTGCAAGGCACGATTCTTTCTGCGTTGTCTTTTCTCCTCGAGAGTGATCCTGCGTGCTTTCTCAAAAGCATCAGCAGCATTATAGATGGTGTGTCTCCAGACCTTCCGATTTGCGGCCAGAGTAGACCAGTTGTGTTGATCAGTATGGCCAAGGCTGAGATGTTGCTTCAGGGAGTCCTTGTATCTCCTCTTCGGGGCTCCTCTCTTGCTGCAGCCAGTGGCAAGTTCACCATAAAGCAAGATCTTAGGGAGGTGGTGGTCCTCCATCCTTGAGACCTGTCCTGCCCAGCGCAGCTGCATTCTCAGCAACATGGCCTCAATACTTGTGACTGCTGCTTGTTCTAGAACAGACGTATTAGTCACATAATCAGTGCATGTTTAGGATTGTACGGAGGCAACATTGATGGAAGCGTTCTAGGAGTTGCAGGTGGTGGCGGTAGATGACCCATAATTCAGATCCATATAAGAGAGTACACAGCACAATGGCTCTGTAAACACTGATCTTTGTACTTTTCTTCAAGTGTTTATTACGCCAAACTCTTTTATAAAGGTTTCCGAAAGCACCGTATGCCTTTGCTAACCTGTTGTCTATCTCCCCGTCAATCTCACCATCTGAGGAGATGAGGCTACCTAGGTAATTAAACTGCTGGACTGATTTGAGCACTGATTCGCCAATGATGATATGGGGATGATGGAAGACTTCCTGAGGTGCCGGTTGATAGAGAACTTCTGTCTTCTTAAGCTGACTTCCAGCCCAAAGAGCTCAGCAGCATCTGCAAAGCAGGATGTTAAACGCTGCAGAGCTGCTTCTGTGTGAGCGATGAGGGTGGCGTCATCAGCATAAAGCAGCTGCCGGACAAGATAATTTAAGGTCTTAGTATGGACTTTCAGTCGCCTTAGGTTGAATAGGCTTCCATCAGTACGATATCGAATTTAGATACCATCCTGATCGTCGAGGTCTGCCGTGGCCCTTTGGAGCATCATGCTGAAAAAGACTGTGAATAGGGTTGGTGTGAGAACGCAGCCTTGTTTCACACCATTCTTTATTAGAAAGGGCTCAGAAAGTGCATTGCCATATCTGACTTGGCCGTGCTGATTCTCATGAAGCAAGATGATCATTTTAAGGAACTTGGGGGGACAACCTAAGCATTCCAAAATCTGCCATAGACCTTTTCTGCTCAGTATCGAAACCCTTGGTGAGGTCAACAAAGGTTATGTAGAGACCTTTGTTCTGTTCCCTGCACTTCTCTTGCAGTTGTCTGAGAACAAATACCATGTCTGTGGTAATCCTGTTGGCTCTGAAACCACATTGGCTTTCAGGTAGAATTCCTTCTGCTATAGCGGGCTTGCTCTCTTACTGTTTAGTTAAAGTACTTAAGCACTCGTACTTCATAATTAATAGCAATTCATAAGAAGAAGGACATGGACATGCTGTAATGGGTCCAGTGAAGGCCCACAAAGTTGATAAGTGGATTGAAGTATCTGACATATCAGGAGAGACTGAGAAGAGCTGGGATTGTTTATGGGAAAGAGATTGGGGGATCTTGTCAATGTATATAAATACTTGATGGGAGGGAGTTAAAAGAGAGCCAGGCTCTTCTTGGTTGTGCCCATTGAAAAAACAAGAGGCAATAGGCACAAAAGCATATATAGGGAATTCTGTTTAAACATAAGAAAACCTTTTTCCTGTAATGGGGGTTGAATGCTAGAACTGGTTACCCAGATGGTCTGTGGAGTCTCTGTCCTTGGAGAGAGCTGACTGGACAAGGTCCTGAGCAACCTTTTCTAGTTGACACACCCTTGGGCAGGGGACTTGGAGCAGATGATCTCCAGAGGTTCCTTCCAAATTCAGTGTAGTGGGTTGATCCTGGCTGGATGCCAGCTGCTCACCAAACTGCTCTATGATTCCCCACATCAGGCAGGACAAGGTGGGGAGAAAATGTAATTAAAGAGTCACAGGTAGAGATAAAGACAGGGAGAGATCATTCACCCATTACTGCCACAGGCAAAACAGACTCAACTTGGGGAAATTAGTTGATTAACAAACATATCAGAGTAGAATAATGAGAAATAAACCCCAAACTTAAAAACACCTTCCCTCTTCTGAGGCCTAACTTTACTCACATGTTTTATACCTCCTCCCCTGCCAGTGGTGCAGGGGATTAGGGAAAGGGAGCTGTGATCGGTTCATCACAAATCATCTCTGCTGCTCCTTCTTCCTCAGGAGGAGGACTCCTCACACTCTTCTCCTGCTCCATTTTGGGATTTCTCCCACAGGACACAGTCCTCCATGAACTTCTCCAGTGTGAGTCCTTCTCATGGGCTGTAGTTCTTTACAAAGTACTCCAATGTGGGTCCCTTCCACTCCAGCATGGGTCCCCTGCAGGGTCACAAGTCCTGCCAGCAGATCTGGTCCTGCATGGGCTCCTTTCTCCCCAGGGCTACAAATCCTGACAGGACCCTGTTCCAGCATAGGTTTCCCACGGGGTCACAGCCTCCTTTGGGCATCCACCTGCTTTGGTGTGGGGTCCTCCATGGGCTGCAGGTGAATCTCTCCTCCACTGCTGACCTCCACAGGCTGCAGGGGGACAGCAGCTGTTTCACCATGGGCTGCACCACAGGCTGCAGGGGAATCTCTGCTCCAGCGCCTGAAGCACTTCTTGTCCCTCCTTCTGCACTCACCTGGTTTCTACAGAGTTGTTGCTTTCACATTTTCTCACTCCTCCCTCTACTGCTGCTGTTCCCTCAGCAGTTTTTTCCCCTCTTAAATCTGTTATCCCAGAGGTGCTACCACTACTGCTGAGGTGCTCAGCCTTAGCCAGCGGCGGGTCCATCTTGGGGCTGGCTGGCATTGACTCTGCTGGACATGGGGGAAGCTTCTGGCAGCTTCTGACAGAAGTCACCCTCACTACCAAAACCTAGCTGTGCAAACCCAATACACTCAGCTACAAGGTGATTCTGTGATTTTGCAGTTAAACACATTTCTGAAAATGGACAAAACCACCTAGTAGCAGGCAGCATTTATGTTCATAAGTTATTTGCTTATGCTATTCCTGATTAACAATGAATTTTTGCCCTTTAGTTTTTAGAGTGTGTTTGAGCTTCATTTTCATTGTTTGGCACAAGAATGTGTCTTGTATCATTTCAGTTTCTCTGCTTTAGTGAGCAGTTTGTTGTTTCCTTCTTTTTGCAACCTTCTTTTGATTTTGCAGTAGCTTCTGATTCTTCAAGATTGTCTGTTTTGTAGTGTGTCTTTGGATATTTTTCCATCGTTCTTTTTCTGACAGGTTAATTTTGTTGCTGACCTTTCTGCATATTTATTTATTGGTTGGATCAGTTAATTATTCCCTCTCCACTAGCAGAAGAAGAAATTAGCACACCTTACAGAAAGGCTGTGGAACCACACATGCTGGCTAGGGTCAGGTTGCCCTAAAACCTCCCAGTCTCATCCCAAGTTCTGCATCAGTGGACCCCTATTAGGAGCGTGTTTGGGGATTCTTCTGTAACTGGCACTTGTGCAAAGATATGAAGCTCCAGAGAGACTGAGTCTTCGTGATTTCGCAAGGTTCCTGCCAAGTTCTGTGTAGCCCCTGCTTGTTCTTGTTTAGTGTTGGCTTCTATTTTGGCAGCCAGCAGCAAAGATAAATAAATAAATCAGCCTTCTTCTTGAGCAGAAGCTACTTATGTATCAGCATTGTTGTTCTTAGTGTTGACTTGATGCTAAACATACTGTGAAAAGGTCTGTAATCTTCTTAGAGCCTCCCTCACTAGTTGTTGCTGAAATAAAGAAACGTGCCCCTTCCTTATATTTCCATGTCATCACCAGGGCTTACTTCCCCTTTCCCTGTCACAGTCTTTTCCTGTCATCTTTATTTTGTCATCATTCAGGCATTCATATTGGGAATTCCTCTTTTTTGTCATCATCTAACCAGTTTGTTTTCCATCAAGCTCCAAGAGGATGGCTGCACCTTCTGCTGTTCTGTTTACCTTAGGCACTGGAGGAAAAAAAAAGAAAAGTGCCATAGACATTTGATCTTTTGCATCTAAACTGGATGGAGTCTGATGAAGACCCAGGACGTGCCCTTTATTTTGGGGTTGTATATGCTGTTGTGGGCATTTTTCGATGCCTTGGATTTCAGGAGACCAAAAGGAAATATTAGTGATCTCAATGCTGACTGAAGCTGTCTTATTACCAGGAAATGCTGTTGAAAGTTGTACAAGCACTCCTCTCCCCAGATTGGCTACCAAAATGTCATTCCCTCTGCCACTATTGACACAGCTCCTGTCTGTCACTGTCTTGATGCAATCAGTATTTTTAGATGGCTTCTGAAGCTGTTTGTGATTGATAAGGAGACCAAAGTAGCTATTGTCTTGATGGAAATTCTGTGATGTTTGGTTTGTAGGAAGGTCTGTTGTGGTGGATATCTCTGTTGTCATAGGATGTGGTATTTATTATCTTGCAAAGCAGTGTTTACATGACTTAGATATTCCTGGGAACACTAGGCAGTGGGTTGATGTGCAGAAGTATCTGGAGCAGATGTAATGCTTGGTAGAGCAGATTTGTGGTTGTCTTTTGCTTTAAGGATTTGGAGACGATTTTCCAAGAAAGAATGACTAGAGATAAACTGTAGTAACTGAAAGTGTGTCACATATAAGCCTCTCTCTTTCAGGTACTGCACTACATCGGAGCTCCATGAAGCCATCAGATATGTCTGCCATCCTGGGAACAGGAGGGAAATCTCCTCTGATTCTACCAACTTCTGGGCTTTTCAGCAATCTGTCAATGGTAAGATGGTTAGAGCATCTTTTTCTCTTTTGTTCCTGTGAAACAAAAGAAACTACAAGTTTACAGTGTTTCTGTGTTGTTTGCACCAAGGACAAACTGTGGGTAGTATAAGCTTCCTAGTACTACTATTGCTGCTTGCTGCTGGTGTTATTTATTACTGTGTTATTCTTTGAGAAGATGCAGTGAGGAATAATAGGAGGTTTTAAGGACTTTCCCAATACACCATGTGTGTTAAACTGGTCCTTATAACATCAGCTTGTGACTACAAAAATCCTGATATTGCTTGTTTACAAGTTCTTCAAAGATAATTGTTCTATGTCAGCAAGTTAAAACTTAAGAATTTTTCTTATTTTAGCACTCTCCAGTATTAGGCTTCATTTAGGTGTTAAAGTTTGGATTTCAAAGAACAAGCTTTTCTGATGACTTTTTAAGAGGACATTGATTATCTTCTACTTCAATGTTTTTGGAAAAACATTGATTGGAAAAGTTATCAGTAGGGATGTCTGAAGTATTTTATCTGTTTATTTTTAAATTAACTTAAAAGAAGTTTAGATATCTTTCTGTATATGCATTTTAATTAATTCTCCCTTTTAGTTGTTTCTTTATAAGTTATCACCTTCTAGGGCCTAGTTGATCAACATGTATACAGCTCTTAGCACTGGTACTTTTCCTCTGATTCAGAGCCTCTTTTAGCTAATGTTTGGTGAGTGGAATTAGTGCTCTGACTTGAATCCAGTTTAGATTAGTAGGGGAAATTTGGGACTAGACAAAGGCTTTCAGAGGAGGGTGACAGGAAAAAGGACTTTTACTTGTGGAAATTTACTTGCTGGTAGATAAGAACACTCATCAGCCCTTTTTGTATTTCCCACGGAGACCTGATATGATCTTGCTGGAACTGTGTTTGTTATTTTTACTCTGTGGAGGGAGGACTATAGCATTCTGTTCTGGTTGGCTAGAGGGGATTAATGGCAGAGAGAGATCAGGCAAGAGGAATACTGTGGGTAGAAACAAGAGTCCAGAAAAAGAATCAGCCAGTGCCACATCTCTAAGTCTTTGTATAGTACTAATTGCTGCTGAGAAGGCAATTGCTGGCATGGAAACACCTCTAGGAAGCTGTCCTGTCAGTGCAGTATATGTACAGTCAGTCTTCTGTTTTGGCCATTTTGCTGCTCTGGTGTCAGATATGTTATGAAATACCTCACCTGAAATACTCCCCATGAAGTATAGGTATGTCTTTATTTCCTCCTTTAATATTCTGATACTTGCTATTATTTTAAAAATATTGCTGTGATTGATCAAATGGTTTTGAGGAATTCACCAAGAAGGTTGAAAGACAGGTTAATGATTGATTCAAATTTTAGCTATTTTGCTTAACTTTTCACAGCTGCTTTAGAACCTGGTCAATATTGTGATCTTTTTACTTTGAAAGACTAGCTAAGCATTTAGCATAATAGAATATGAAAGTTTAGAGTGATTTATTTGTTTTATGATGAAAAGTGATACCTGATGTTCTGAAGTAGGTAGGTTTACTAGATTAACTTCCATTTTAGTTATTTTCAGGGGAAAAAAGGGATTTTTCTTTTTCCAGATTAAAATTTATCTTTTCAGAGCTGTTTGTTAAAGGCATAGTTGCACCTTATCTAAATGCAGTTATTTCACTATTAGTTTTTTAGGATTCTCTGTTTACATACCGTTGATATAGAAAGGCAAAAACGTGGAACTAGGCTTGTAATATCTGAGATTGCGATTTATTTTCTTTATGTTCTTGTGGTTTTAGTTGGATGAAAGTAGCTGGACAATGGCACTCTCACCTCAGCAGACAGGAATGTTTGTAAATCCAGACCTGTCCAGTATGACAGAAGATGTCACTATGAGTGCTGTACTGTTGCGTGAGGATGATCCTGGGGAAGCTGGTGAGACAATCTGGAGTTTTCATAATAATCCTATTTGTGGGATATAAATTTATATGTTCTTTTTTTCTCTATTATTTTGCTGCTATTTCTTAGTCAAAAACAGTCTAGTTGAAAAAGTTCAGAAAATTAAGCTGTTCCAGTTTATTGGAGTTTTGCAAATTTGTGTCTTCTGTGGAACCTGATGGAAAAAGTGGGATGCTCTGGTGATATCAGACACAGCTGGATTAGTGGATTGTGGAGATACTCAAATGAGTTTGCTTTCAAAACTTTTGCAGATGACATATCCGCAGCAAAATTTTTATAATTATTTTACTTAGTTCATAGCTTCTATCTGTCTTGCTGTCTTAGCTGATAAGTTCTTATGACTTTATCGGATCTAAATAGTTGATATCATCATTGTTCTCATTTAAATTTGTGAAAGATGAGATGCCTTGTCATCAGAAGGATTTTTTTGTAGTCTGTTGGGGTTTTTTATGAAGTTGCATCTGACTAATATGGCTTTCTTATTAAATCTGTCCTAGCTACTATGAGCATGTACTCAGATTTTCTGCATTCCTTCCTGAAGCATACATCAACTACCATTTTTGATCTTGTGGATGAGTATGAAAATATTTGTAACAGTCAGGTAAGTAGTTTACTTGCCCTTCCCAAAGTAGTATTGCTGAGAAGTCACAGTGCTTAACATACTTTAAATCTTCCAGCCGGTTGCAGTGTTACGAGTCATGCTAGCATTGAGTATCACTCAGTGATGAACATCACTCTTTCTTCATACACTACTTTGGCACAGAAATACCCGTGGTGTAGCTTGCTGAATACTAAAAAATGTCATCTGGCTGCCACTCCACTGCAAGTGTCAAGTGGCAACACACAGTAGCAGATGTATAGATGTTTTTCTTAATGTTAATAAGCTGGATTAAAATGTACTTATTTTTCTCAGGTATAAATAAATAAAATCATTGTATTATGATGCTTTAAGTTTTCTGCTACGTTACTAACAACCTGGCCATAGAGGACTCAACATTGGCTCTAAGGTGTCTCTGATTTTAGACACAGTTCTTCATATGACTGGTTGTTTGATTGTCAGTTCAGAATCAGCAGGGATTGACAATCTGAAAGGAAGAAATTATGATGCTTCTGTCAGTAAGGGTTGATCACAAGAGAGGTGTGCAGATTAAGTTTTTTTAAGAGACTTCATACCTATATCTGTGTTAGGAAAATTTGTTCTTAATGGAGGGTTGCTAGCCATCTTTTGTGCAAATTTATTACTGGGGCTGAGATAGAGAATGCTGAGATCTTTGATGAGGCATGTACCACAATTGTACAGGTGCTCAGGTAGGAAGCAGACAAGAGGAAAATAAATGTGAACTTGATTATTTTGTGAGATAGTGGAACTCCTGTTGGAGGATATGGATAACATCTACAAGGTCAGGGAATAATAGAGTGGGTGTTTTAAGCCGTGTGGAACTGAGGGGAGTTGGCTGTATGTTGCCAAGGATGTACAAGAATACAGTGAAAGATGCTGCTCTAAGGTGTAGCTTGGATGTTGCTGGTGGGGCTTGGCATGGGAGTGGAGGGACAGCCCTGAGCTATCGTGCTGCTTCTCAGCTGTACCCTCAGATTAGCCCAGTGGTTCCCAGCAGCCATAAGCTCTTCATATTTTCGGGGGAGGGTAATAAAAGAGAACAGAAGACTGTGCTCCCCTCTTGCATCTTACTGGTACACGTATTCCTTTTCTCCAAATCTGTTGTTCACCTCCCACTTGAAAACCGATGACTATATTGATGCCCGATGAATTGGGTACACCTAAAATATAAGAGATTGGGACTCTTCTTGGAAGTAGTAGGAGCTCTGGAACCAGCTACCAATGGAAAAGACTTTATTGTGTAGTTTTCTTCATAGTAAATAAAGGAAAAAATAGTAGAATTTCTTTGTGGTGATACTATAAATTATGTGGTAACCAGCAGATTGGGTTCCCTCATTTAACAGAGCTAGAAGGGAAAAAGTATCTTTCAGGCATGGATAAATGCATAAATGTTCTCACAAATACCATTAGGGCTAACTTAATGTTTGATATTGATGTATATGGGAAAAAAGCTGGGGATTTTGGTAGCTGCAACCACTCTCTTGGTTTATATCCTCTAGTGTTAATGGGGTTTTTTTATTACTAATTAAGAGAATTTACGATGTATTGTCTACCTATTTTGAAGAGATGGTAATGAAACTCGGTTGTCGAAAGCATTTAGAAAAAAATACACTGACGGGCAATGTTAACTATGTATAAATTTATCTACCTCAGGTGAATATACTGGGGAAAATAGTTTATCGGGCAACTCCTGGACAGCAAAAGTTTTCCAAAACTGCCAGTGTCTTGTGGCTTCTTAAGCAGGAGATGGTAACTTGGAGACTGTTGTCCTCGCTTTATAGGTAATTCCTTTGAAAAGCGTGTTATGTTTTTGTACAGAGATGACTTTCTTGGATATGTTTTGTATGAGTTTATACATAGGGAGTGAAGCAATTAAGTACCTATTAGTAAGCTGTTTATGGAACTAGGTTCTGATATATATGTCTATTGATTATCTATTTACAGAAATGAAAGTTTTAAAGAGGACTGTTCTTATTACCTTTGCAACTTCTAGTATTTTTTTAAACATTTTTATAAATGTTTTTAAACTATTTTTACTCATGCATTCTGTTAAATTTTCTCAGCTTTATTTTAATCATTAACGTTTTGCACTTTTATTTCTAGAGACAGAATACAGTCTGCACTGGAAGATGAAACTGCATTTGATATCACAGTGAGTGTGGACTTTTTTTGTGGTTTTTTTTTAAGTGTCATAAGAAGCTAAATAAGCAAAATACAGGCTAAATGCTTTTATTGTATTTTTAGAATCTCAAAATTCAAAGGTGAAAAATGAGACTGATTTTTATCAAGACAAATATTAAATTATTTTGTATATTGTGAAGAGTAAATCTAAATATTCAGTTCTAAAGAGAGAATGCTAGTGTAAAAAATATTCTAAACTATTGTTTGTTTTATTTCCCTAAATATTCCACATACGCATGGAAAATCGTAAAATATCATGAGTTGGAAGGGACCCGCAAGGATCATTGAATCCAACTCCTGGCTCTGCACAAGACAAACCTAAATTCACTAGAAATAACTATTTATTTAGTTTTAAAAGCTGCATCAGTAGCTGTAATGTTCCCATAGGTCAGAGGTAATTTTGCTTTGGCTAAAAGAAGAACATGTGGTCTCAAACTGTCTAGCCTTTGCAATTCTGACTGCAATTTATTGCAAGAGAAATCCAGTTTTTTTAGCATTCTTTCAGCTGTAGTCGTCTTGTTTATGTCAATACAGCGCTTCCAGTCTTTGCTGCCAGAATTGCTTAGGAAGACAAAACAATAAGTAAAAAGACTCTGCCTTTGTAAAATTTGTGATCACAGTTGCTTTCTTCTTGAAAATAAAATAGCTTACTCTAGAATTCCCAGTGCTAAGTTGTCGCTGTTAAACACTGTTGTGCCAAAAAAAACCAGTCTCCTGTTATCTGTGTAATTTAGAAAAATGCATCTCCTATTCTCTTTTTATTGCAAGTCTAATGGAAGGTAAATTAATGCAGGAGATCAGATAGAAGGATCAGGGCTCTGGGGTTGGTTTTATTTTTTTGTTTTTTTCACACTTGTTTATGTTAAATGTGCACATGATCTTGGAAAATCTCATCTTTTTAATGTATAGTAATGAATGGGGTTTAGGATGACATGAGTGCAGCCAGTGGAATCCATGGATCTACTGTGTAGAATCTGTGGTCATAAATTTGTGAATTATGTGCTGAATCTCATTATTACAGTTTTTAGTGTAACTTGGATGTAAAAGATCATCCAAATAAAACAACTTATAGTGTCATCCATTTTTTAAAAAGGGGGAGGGGAGAGATAGCATACTGAACTTGTAGAAAGTTTATGAATTACTATGTGTTCAGTTTGATATTCCTTTTTTGCAGTAGTTTTCTTTTCCATGAAGTAGTAATCAGCTTTTTCTTAAACAGGTTTTAACTGCTAGTGAAAAAACAAACGTAGACAACTTGTTTCAGAAAGATTCACTTGTTCGACAAAGTCAGGTATGACGGGAAGTTTTTAATATAGGAACGAAAATAGATTAAATGTTTATAACACTAATGTTCTATGCACTTTTTGAAGTTGTTTCTAATACTTTTTTTTATGTTCACTCAAGTGTAGTATTCCTTGTATACATAAAAATAATGCTCTCTAGTTTCTAATGGTCAGGATGTTTTTTCAGTGTGGCTTGGGGACAATGAAAGGCTGAGAGCTGTTCCCATTTGCAGCATCTGTTACTGTTGATTGTGCTTAATAAACTGTTAAATAGCACTGTAGTAAACTGCAGCATCCAATGAGAAATAGAGATTAAGTGCCAACAACCTTCATACTGGTACTTAAAATGCAAGTGAAATAGTCTTCTAGATTTGTATGCCATTTGGTTGCTGAGTAGATAACAAATAGATACAGAAATGAGAGGAAGACAGTAAAACTACTATTTGTTACATATTTGCTTTAAAAATGCAATTTAATTTTATTCCAGCTGGTGGTAGATTGGCTAGAGAGCATTGCTAAGGATGAAATTGGGGACTTCTCCGATAATATTGAGTTTTATGCAAAAACAGTATATTGGTGAGTTCAGACTTTCTTTAATTATATACATGCTCCCATCAAGTGTAAGATTCACAATCACAGAATCACTCTTGGAAAGAAGTGGATTTTTTAAGTTGTTCATTGCACTTCTTTTCTTCAAAGTCAGAGATGTAAAAATTGAGATTTCTTACCTGTCTGCTGAAGTATATCTTCTCAGAAGTCAGTTACTGCATTTTGGGAGGCAAGGATGGAAGGAAAAACCATCAAACCAACTTAAATTAATCTTAACATAGATGAGGATTACTTTTATGTGTTTCTCAGGTGGTCAGTTCTTTGTCTGGCTTTAATTTTTGCCTGTTTAATTGTTGTCCCTTTATGACCCTTCACTAGAAGCCATTATTGTCATCTTTACTATCACTGATGGGTATGGCAGAAAAGACCAAAGACTACCTTTATAAACCTGCTTTTAATGGCCAGTGAATATAGGCTTTTGCAATCATGTTTATCCTAAGCTGAATTTCTGTCCTTGACTGAATTTATAATGAAGGCTAATGGGAAATTTTGCTTATGCAGAAATCAATTAATAGTTAAATACATGAATGATTGAAATAATGGATGCTTTTGAAAGGAATCAGAGATATGTGTATTGATTCCAATGCTTTTGAAAGAAATCAGAGATATGTGTATTGATTCCAATGTTGTACCTCTTGTGAAATGTTGCATTTTCACAACAGTAGCACAGTCCATAATAAATCAACCAAACCAAGTGTCTGTTCTGTAAACATATTTCATGTAAGAAAAAATATCTTTCAATATTTGTGTCTTATTAAAAGATGCTTGCTAAAAAAACATTTTTCTGTAAAATATTGCACTGCTTTCAGGGATAACACACTGCATACCCTGAAGCAGCGACAGTCAAGTACATACATTGGAAGTTCTCGAGCTCTGGTAACAGAGTTGGTAAGTATTAGATACATATAAGGCTTGATTTCAAAATATGTTAGAGAGAGCTATTTTCACAGCTTTCCATCAATTCTTAGATAGTTGTGCTATCTAAAAATCAGTACAGAAATTGTGAGGCAGGGCACCTCAAAAGTTCTTTTTGGGATCACTGTGAACTTCCATTTTCTTTCAGGAGTCACTTCCGTATCCCCACCCCCCATCACAAGTACTTGTGGCCTATTTGGTGAAGTAAATGGCTTTATTATGACTTTTTATGTCTGAAAGATACTCATGTTCCTAACCAGAAAAGCTTAGAAAAATGTTTGGGAGCCATTGGAGCCATTACAAATAAGGGAATTCTGTCTTTATGCAGTGACTAGTACAATGAAACCAAGTCCTGAGGCAATTCTTTGAGAGTTACTATAGTAAAAGCTAGTAGGAGAGAAGGCAAGGAAAGAAAGTACTGTCCAGCAGAACGAGGTAATGAACTGCACCAATGACAGCAAAGCAGTCGTAGAAGATTGATTCAATGGGGGAGTGACCTGAGGTATTGAGTGGCTTAAGAAAATCTGTTTGGATTAAATAGAAGTGAGTGCCGCTGTTGTAAAAAGCCTTCTCAGATAGAAGGTGGAGGAGGAGAAACAGTGGTAGATGGATAGACGGAAGGGGAAAGGATGTTTGAAGGTGAGAAGAGACCTGGAAGATGAGAAGTTTAGGGAAAATAACAAGGCAGTGGAATAAATAAATTGCATTGGCTTCTTTCAATAGGAACAGTGACAGAAGAGGAATAAAAGAAATGAGAGAGGAAAAACTGAAAAGTATCATGCTCAATATTACATGCATTGTACAGATTGTTGTGCCAACATGAAAAAGTGACTCCAAATTATAAAACAGGGCAGGAATTTAATGGAAGAGACGTATAGGCATTGTGTGGATAAGTGGTGACTTTTTTTCTCGCAGGATCCAGATGCTCCTATACGACAGAAACTGCCACTTGATGATTTGGACCAAGAAGATGATGCAAGGTTATTGAAGTATCTCTTCACTCTCATCAGAGCAGGAATGACAGATGAGGTAGCATAACTTTTAATTAAGTAAGATTTAAAATATCTTACTGTGAAAGCCAATGAAAAGCTGTATACTAAAATGTCTGTTTAAGTTGGGCTTGCGATGATTTTCAATTTGTTGTCAATATTGAGCGCTAAATTAGCATTTTAATGAAATCTTGCTTTTAGTTAAGTAATTCTGGGCATAGAGTAGATGTTATGGAAAAAATATACTTTGGGGTTTTTTGGTTGTTTGACAATATTTTTTCACTGTTGTGGCTTGATACTAAATACTGCCAGAAAACACACAGAATGTTTCAAATAACTTCCTTTATAATCATCAGTGGATTATCACGCATGTATATATAATGGCAGTTGAGTAAGGGGAGGGAAAGGGGACTTGAGATTCTTGTTGCAAAGACCTTAGTCATAGGAATATGGTTCCTTGCTCATATTCTGTTCCAATATGGCGCACATCTATTCATTGTCTGATATTATGGGAATGTGAGCATATTGCTGCAGGGCATTATGAACATGAATATAAATTCACAGCTTCAGTTGGGATTCTAAGTCAAATGGAAAAGTAGATGACTGCATGAAAAGATGGATTATACATATAAGCAACAGGACAACACTTTAAACTTATCAGAAGGATGTGTAGTAGCTGTTTAAGCTAACAAAAAGAAAGCTGTAGCACATTTCTCGCATTGCTGTAAATACTGACTGAAAAACTAAAAAGTTTGGGGAAAAAAAGTGAATGACATTTACTTTGAAATCTTTCAGTTGTTTTAAGATCCTCTGTGCTTATTTCTCACATAGTAGAATCTACACAAATTAACTATTTTAATAATGTTCACATTTTTAAAGAAGAAGCTGGAGATTTTCCTACCTTAAAGTGTGTTGCTGAGAAAATCCATTATTTTTCAGGCACAACGCTTATGCAAACGATGTGGTCAGGCCTGGAGAGCTGCAACTTTGGAAGGCTGGAAATTGTATCATGATCCAAACATAAATGGAGGTATCTGCTCCAAAGTACATTTGAGACAGATATAAAAATAGAGCAGAGGGCTTTCTCTTAATATCTGTCTGTGGCAAAGAGAAATAGCTGTTTATTAAGAGCCTTTTTTGTATCTAAAATATTTTCCCATGTCTGTTAATGTTTAAAAACTAATATGAAATCACTTTAGTTGAAAGTATGAGTTCATTGAATTCATCTAAATATGTTAAAGTCACTTTCTTTTTTAAAATCAGGCATAATCACTAGGAATTAGACGTCTCAGAGTTCTGGACAGATCTTCTCCACCTCCATATAATACTTCAGTCTGTATTTTCTTAACATCTGACTTGTGCTATCTAGTACACATTTTGTTAGTTACAAACTCAAATTGGACTCTATATCTTCAGAAAGGTGTAGTAGGGCTAGAGTTCAGCAAATGCAACTGCAGGAAATAGAGATGCTTTTAAAATACTTGAAAATTATTAAACTACCTTTTTCCTTGGTAGTAAGGTTCCTTGCACACGGTCCCATTTGTAACACAGTGCCTTGCTTCTCTCTATGCTCAGGACATCGCAGGATTTAGCAAGGAATTTAAGAACAAGTCTAAGTGTTGGTTATAGGTGGGAGTGGAAGGCATAATGCTTTCCTACTTTTCAAATCCCAATAGCCTGTCACTTTTATCTGCATGCTACACCAGTGTCCTAGGCTTGTTTTGAATCTACTTACCTAACTTGGTGTTACATGAGTTTGAATGCCCTCATGCAGGTGCATGCAAAATAGCAGCACTGAAACAGTGACATTTTTTAAAAGTTTTGATTCCTTAAGATATAAAAATTCCTTTTTTTCCTTAACTTTGTTGTTTTTCCAAATGTTAACATTGTAGATACACTATAGCCAAAGCAATAATTTTCTTCAAAGCTAGATAGTAGCCAAGCTTTAAAAATACTGTAACTTATACATACAAATTTACCAAACTTGCCAGAACAGCCACCTTGTGGCCCAGTCAGAAGCATCAAAATGCTTTGGGAAGCATTTCAAAGTGATTGAAATTGGGTTAATAACAGAAAATAGGCTTTACCTGTTACTGGGTTCTCTTTTTTTAATAGCATTTTTTTCTTTTGTTCCTTGCACTCTCTCCCTTTTTTTTTTTTTAATTATTCTTTGCGTGTAGGAAAAGAGCTGGAGCCTGTTCAAGGCAATCCATACAGGTGCATTTGGAAAATTTGTTGTTGGCGTATGGCTGAAGAGGTAAGATAATGCTGGTTTGCTTGATATTAACACATACATTTGAACTTTCCTGAACTCTGAAACATGATTTTAAGTAAACCTACGCCCTCTGTGTTTGCTGCTTATAAGATTTACAATTAATGCTTCCAAGAGGACTTCTGAAATAATGTATTTATGTACTGTAGTGAGAAATCTACATAATCAGCAGCAGTTTTTCAGGAAATGAGTTCCTTTTTTTTTCTTGTTGAAAGTAAAACCACTGACACTTTGACTTTCATCTTGACTTAATTGAATGGGAAAGGAAAAAACATTACTTTCTTTCCAGGTCAATATACATTTTTCAGGTAAGTTACAAGGGGATGCTAGTGAAGGGAAAGTCACTTGCTATTCTTGTTTTGGCTCCTTGTGTGTCCTGTGGTTTTCCATCTGTTAAATGGAATGTTTTCCAATGGATTAATCTAATGTAAAGTGGCTAGAAAACTTAAATGCTTTGTAATTAAAAGTTTGGGTATTTTTACTGTTTATTTTAGGAGCAGTTTAATAGGTATGAAAGAGCAATCTATGCAGCCCTGAGTGGAAACCTCAAACAGGTGGGTCAAGCCTCCTAGATTGTTTGGTAGTTGTGCATTTTCCTTCTCATATATGACAGTGATATCATCAGATTTCATCAGAAATATTGCAATTAGTGGTTATTGTACTTTTAAAGATGTAGTAAACAGGACAATGGCAAACACTGCTGCTCCTTGTAGGACTGTGTCTTAACTAAATATATGATAATCTTTTCTTAGTATTATTCCTGCTGACTTTTCAGTCATCCTGCTTTGATGAAGGAAAGGCTGCTGTTCATGATGGTTACTAGTCTGCTTTGGTGCCCAGAAATCTGATCCTAACTTATAGTTGCTATGTTTGGGAGATTGTTCTCCCTCTCTTGATAATTTTTGCTCTGTTTTTTTAATCCATAGCTTCTTCCAGTTTGTGATACCTGGGAAGATACTGTTTGGGCATATTTCAGGGTCATGGTGGACACTCTAGTTGAACAGGAAATACGAACATCCGTAGTAACTGCAGAGGAGATGGAAGAACTCCCTAGAGACTATTTAGAAACAAAGTAAGTTTCAAGTAAAATTATGCTCCTACACTCAACAAAGCATCCTGTGTGGTCTGTTTGGAATATTCAAGGTAATGTTTTTTGTCTTTTCTCTCCTACTTTGAAGCTGGACTTCTGAAAAGGTTTTTGAAGAACTTCAGGCAACAGACAAAAAGGTATGTAATAATTGCAGTGTTTCTTCTCCCTGTTTACCATTTTTAACTAATCACAGGGTTCTGTTTTTACTGCACTATATGATGAAATGCACTATATGATTCATTTTATATTTTCTACCTCTATAATGTGTTATTTCTCAATTCAAGTAGATTTTTCTATATATTGCCACCTCTTAATGATGAAAATTATACAGATTTTGTCTTGCCCTGTATCTGCCAAAGCAGCCGCATGTGCTAAAGAAACAGCTGACTGTCACGTGTTTTTGGACATACAAAGCAGACAAGAGTAAATCAACTATTTAACCCTGACAGAATGTTCGAAGATTGATTACATTGCTTTTCCTTTATAGAAGGTTTGTGTGCATATTTCAGAACAGACCTTTCAAAATTTAAAAGCATATTTGCTTTTGGAATGATTAAATTGAAACTACACTTACTTTTATTTGATAGCATGGACACATATTGCTAAGACAAAGACATGCAGTCAGCTACAGATACACCCAGCTGCATTTGCCATTGCAACACAGTGCAGTCCTCACCATATAGCAAATTTACAGGTGTGTTTGGATTGCATTTCTTGCATTAATGCATTAATTCCTCTATAGCAGGGGAAAAAAATATCTTCTTCCTCAAGTAGCTTTCACAGGCCTTTCCTTAGGGATTTATTCACATTGTTGCTTCTTCTGTGACTTTGTAGAATCTATTATCTGTAACGTCATCGTTTATTCTCCTCTTCAGAGCAAAAAGCCCTTAGTCTTGGATCTCTTCCATGAAAGTATTAACTGTACAGATCTATATTCAAGCTTCTTTCTTTCAGTTTGTCGATATTCTTGTAATTTGACATGGAGATAGCAAGTGCCTTTTCTCTTGGTCTTTATGAATAATACCCTTTGAAATAGGATAGCTTTTTTTTCCCTGAGGAACTTTTGCTTTATTTATAAGTTTGTTTTCTTCATACATTAGGCTATAAGATTTTATTCAAAGTTTGAAATTTCTTTTTCTGTCTCCAGAGGGTTATAGAGGAGAATCAAGAACACTATCATGTGATTCAGAAATTCATTATACTGGGAGATGTGGATGGTGAGCTTTTCTCTAAGTGATTTTTAATTGTCAACTGACTACATTATTTTGAGTGACCTTTCCAGAAACTTTAATGTGAATGGATTAGAAGCATGCAGTAGGCAAACTCCACCTTAAAGCTGAGCCCTGAAACAGTAGGGACTTTGTGTAGTTTGACTTTCTGCAGTTTGACATATAAGGTAGTTTTCAAAGAAGTCGTAAAATCATGTAAATGTGTTCGGATATATGCAAGACTTTTCCTGAGAAATTATAAAATACATACAGTAGATATTTAAGCCAAGTCTTTCCAAAATTATTGCTGTTCTGTTTTGTTGGACTTTTTTTTGTTGGACTAAATTGCATTTATTGAATAAATGCATAATTTTGAAATATTTTTTAGGGTTTTTTTTTTCCCCCATGATACGGCTAATACAGACATTTCCTTGGTGTCTATAGGTTTGATGGAAGAATTCAGCAGGTGGCTTTCCAAAGACAGAAGTGTGCTCCCAGGACACCTCCTTCGTTTCATGACACATCTTATTCTGTTTTTCCGCACTCTGGGTATGCAGACTAAGGTAAGTTCTCTTGTATTTGTTTTGTTGTCATAGCAATAGCTAGTCTTTGAAGTAGAAGTGCTTGTGTGCAAATACATAGACAACGTAGAGGGATGGTAAATTACTTCCAGGCTGATGAGGAGCTGTGTGCTTAAATAGTGTATTTGTTGATGTTGGAGCCCAAATACAACAGCCAAAATGAGAAAAGAGCATCCTCCTCTCTTCCAGTTCAGCTTATAAATTGTTTTTTGAGGATGGTGGATTTTACTCATAAGCCCTTTATTGAGAAGGTCCTGACTCAGACTTCAATGTTAGGCTTATTCATAGCAGCCAAGATGTTTTGAATATAACCTGTTATTATAGACAGTTGTTGGAACTGTATGTATTGCTGCTGTAAGCTTATATATGTTTTTGCTTGAGGTAGTTACTACTAGCTGAAACTTTCATATAATCTCAAAATATGAACTAAGTATAGCTTACTAGCTACTTAGCCTATTTATGCTAAATATGCAGATGGGTCACATATCTGTAATTACTCTTTTCTGAGGAAATCACAGGTAATTACAAGCTCTCCTTTTCTACTAGTTTAAAATTTAGAAGCCCTTATGTAACAAATAAGTTTCTGAATGTAACGTCTTTTGACAAATCGCAAATGTGTCTCTTCATTAGACGATTTAAACACAGCTCTGAGTTATTATGTTTAGTCATGCCTCCAGTCGTTGTTTTATTCCCATGTTGAAATTTATTTTGAAGTCAGTTAACATTTAGCTAAATAAGAGGAATGTGTGTGTATGTATGTATGTATTTTTATCCAGACAAAATTTGATAAAGTAGGTCTTTAGGCTAAAGTGTAGTAAAACTAGCCATTAGCATATGTTTAACAGAGGGGACAAAAAAGGGGCAATTTCCTACATGACTTCCCTTGTGAGATTGTGAGTAACTGTTGATTCTGCCTCCAGAATTTTGAGTAGGTAAATTTACTGGACAACTCGATCAACCCTCAGTAGACTTCAGGGAGAAGAGGCAGATGTGCAGACTTTTACAGTGTTCATTATTTGTTGTTTGTATACAATTCATATCAGTATATGCTTAGATGAAGGTCTTTAATTTACATATATAAAAATAAAATGATAATTCTTGACAGCAACAAACACTTGAGTCTTGGCTAAAGCTGTTCCAGGTGCTCAGACTATACTTTGGTTGTTTAGTATAGGCTATTACAGATGAGCAAGGTGATATTTATACCCTATTACATTATAATTTTCTATAATAAAACAGTGCCTGTAGTACACTGCAATAGTAATCTGTATGCCTGGCATTTTGTTTATTAATTTAAAAAATATAGTAAAATGGAAAGAAATAAAAAATATTTTAAAAGTAACATCCCAATTAGACTAAAGACTGTATTATCCAGTTGCTGAAAAAGAAAATCCTTGAAACACTAAATCTTTGAATTAGAAGATCTATTTCTTTTTAGTTACACTCCAAGAGAAACAGTTCTTCCAGTTGAACCTGTTTGTGTAGATGACTGAAGCAGGAATAAGCAAATAACCTTGTGTCTGTTTTAATAGTGATAGCCTGTATCTTTTACTTTATTTTTCACATTATCTGATTTAAAATTGAATTTATATTTGTTTGCAATAAGGAGGAAGTTTCTGTTGAAGTCCTAAAGACCTACATTCAGGTAAGCTTTCAGAAATACAGTTTGCTTTCTCTAATGTAATTTAGACATAAAGGAGGAAGAAAAGGAAACTTAAGGTTACAGGATGAAAAGAGATATGATGCAGCTAATGTTCTCTTCTGGAGAGATACATGGAAGTTTGCCTAATACACAGAGTTTCTGTCAGCAGTTCTTAAATAAGAGACAGTTTTATTGATCCTTGTTTAGAAGCTGAGTGGAATCTTTCTATATCAGGATAAAATAATCAGAAGTTTGTTATACTCTTACGTTTTTATCTAATACATGTTTTTACTTAAGTGTAAACACACTTATGCTCTTACACAGTGGAATATAGTATGTTTATATATTATATATATATTTATATAGCAATGGATATCTTCTATATATTTGCTTCATATATATTTGCTTCTTGTTCTGTATATTTGCTTTTTATTCTGCAGCGGATGGTATCTGAGAAGCACATAGACTTAATAGCATTTTATGTGAGCCACCTGCCCCCAGAGCTCGCCGTTGCTCAGTATGCTTTATTCCTTGAAGATGTTACTGAAAGCGATCAACGTCACCACTGCCTTGAGTTGGCAAAAGACGCAGGTGAGAGATCCTGAAGTTCCAATTATCATTTTATATCCTAGGTTCTTTTATGTTTTTGCTCCAAGACCTAGCTACAAGTATGATATTTTTTCCTTTCTGTGTCTCTCTATTTTTCAATTAAATAAAATTAATTTACTGATCACTTCTTCAAGAAGGTATATAATGTGTTTTAACTAAGTTGGAAGTGAAGTTATTTTCTGAATTAAACTAAATATCACTGGCTGCTGGATTATGTCCAAACACAGCAAGAACTAAATGCCAGCTGCCTGTTTCAAATACAGGTTCTGAAGGTTGATGTGATCATATTATTTCAGAGAACAATTTATAAAAATATATACCTGTTTGTGGATTTAGGAAGGTTATGAGTATCTTAATTCTTCTGTTCTATTTATAGTGCATTTTCTTAGCCGTGGTGGGTTGCTTGCATTAATGGTGATCTTCCTGCCAGGCCTATACATCAAACCAAAAGGGACTACAACAAAGCAGCATACTGTTTCCTCCGTGCCACTCAAAATTCACAAAGAAATAGATTTACTGGAGATTTCAGTGTCGTAACTTCTCTTCAATCATTTTTCAGTCATTTTCCTTTAAACTGGGCTAAGGCTTACAAAAATAAGCCTTAGCTTATAATCCTGCTTAAGCATCTGTAAAAGAGCTATTCTGAGCTTTTTCTGGTACATTCCTGTCAAATCATGGTCTTGCTGTCAGAACTGTAGGAATCAGTGGTCTTAGCAAATATATCTGTATGCTGGTCCTCAGCACAGACTGAAAAACTTGTTAGTTGTATTGTTATTTTTCTCATATTTTATATTCTCTCATATCAAATATCGTTCTTGTAAAATATCTGCAATAAATTACACAGCTTAAAGGCTTAAAATTTTTTCTGATAATATGTGTGTGAACAGACTGATAAGAATTAAGAGTAGTAATTCGAGTAGTAAGGAATAAGATCAACAGTTGGAGTCTGAAATTCATTTTCTGTCAAGTTGGAGTTCATGGTAGTTCTTACATAGTTCTTTCTTAACCCAGGTCTGGATGTTGCAACCATAACAAAAACTGTTGTTGAAAACATCCGCAAGAAGGATGCTGGTGAATTCAGTCACCATGACCAAATGCTAGATACAGGCACAACAGAGGTGAGTACACTTCGCAGAGCAGATATTCCAGTTTGCAATCAACTATGGAGTCTTCGATGATGTATGGTCCATATCTGTCTTTCAACAATGGTGAAAATTGCCTTGAAAAAGGCCTATTGGGGAAATGTACTTTCCATGTGACCAAGTGAGAATATTGCACAAATCCGTAACTTCTGTTTCTGCTTCTCCTTGATCCTCGTGTGTGTGTTGCTCAGCAGCCATGTCTGTATGCAGACATCGAGTGAAGATAAAGCCCATGAAATGACTGCAGCAAACTACATCATAGTTGAGAGTAGGATGTTCTTGTAGCTTCTACAAATTACGAGGATTAATACTTTGGATCTCAGATGTAGCTTTTAACATGCTCAAGTGATATTTCTACATATAGCAGATGCTGCCTTTACTGACAGTTTCCTTTCACCACTATTGAGCGTCGGCTGGATCCAACTCAGTACTTTAGGGACAGTGAGGTACTGTTAATAGCCTGTATTCAAAGTGCTGCTTAGAAAGCAACTGATTGTTTGCAAATTTTTGGCAATTTGTTTGCTGTTCAGTACAAAGTTTAAGCTCTCTAAGACAAAAAGGTAGTTTATCTAACACAAGAGGTGCAGGCTGATGGCACCTCTGAAGATTATAGCAAGGGCTCCATAAACCATATTTGTACAGTGTATTCGTATTAAAGTTTGATGAAAATGCATTGTAATCCATAAAAAATTTTGAGAGATGATGCTCAGTATCTTGGGAACACTTAGAAATTAATTTTTTTATTATTCCATATTGCAGATATTGTTCTCTAAGCTTTTGAATAGAGTGATCCTTCTTACCATGTCGTAATGCTTTCCAAACTTGTGTATTTCATTAACCAGATTTAATGTGTGTAACATCAGCTGTATTTTTGAGATGGTAGTGAATCTCTATGTTGGTTTTTACAGGCAGATCAGCTGAAAATAGATGTGATTGACTGGCTCGTATTTGATCCTGCACAGAGGGCAGAAGCACTTAAGCAAAGCAATGCAATCATGAGGAAGTTCTTGGGTACTAAGCTTCACAAATCTTGTAGACTTTTTAAATGTTGGTTTTGTTCTCTTTGGCTCTTGGCACTACATTTGACATAATTTTGAATCTAGTCTAAAAGCATGGCTTTGCCAGCTTATGAAAATAAGGCATGGAAATTGCAAAGCTGTTGATACCCAGTTCACATTCTCATAGCATCCAAGAAACATGAAGCTGCAAAAGATGTGTTTGTGAAGATTCCCCAAGATTCTATAGCGGAAATATATAACCAATGGGAAGAACAGGGAATGGATACTCCACTTCCAGCCGAAGATGACAATGCTATACGGGAACATTTATGTATTCGTGCATATTTGGTGAGTTTCAAATATACAGTATTCCAAGTTGTTACTTAAAAATAATGGTGGGTTTACCTTGGTGGTTAAAGACTAGCTTTGTCCATTTAACTTCTGATCTTTGGATGCATTATAGCTGTGCATGTAATGACATTCTGCTTATTATATGAGACAAAAATGTCCAAACACTGTTTCCAATGCAATCCAGGAAGCCCATGAAACCTTTAACGAATGGTTTAAACACATGAACTCAGCTCCACAGAAGCCATCTTTGTTACCACAAGCAAGTTTCACTGAAAAAGTGGCCCATGAACATAAAGAAAAGAAGTATGAGGTAAGTAGAAGTCCAAGTTATTTACTGCAAACTTTTATGGTTTTGCTTAGGAGGCAGTCTTAGTTCAATGAAACAGAGTGGAAGACTGCTATGTCACATTGCTTAAGAACTCTATTATAAATGATTCTATTTTTAGGTTGAAGGGAGTAGTATAAGACAATAGAGTAATAATGGCACTGCACAATAAATTCTGGTTTTTTAATATGACTTAGCTTTACATAAGATATTGTAATGTAGTAGTAAATATTCATTATAATCTGTTGATTGTCAGTGTTATTAATAAATCTGAGCACTTGATTTTGCTATTAACTCTTTATTCTTGTATTTATCACCTTTTGTTTTCTAAAAGATGCAGCAGTTTTGTTTTGCCAAAAGTTCTTTTTGCGTGCCTGACCAGTACGAATATACTGTGTTCAGTTAATACAAATGTTTGTTTTATAAGCATGGCAGAACAAGTTGTTTAAAATTATGTGCCTCGAGAGGCTTTGCTTCTGAACAACTTGTCTGACTCTCTGGACAGGGAATTAAGCAAGGATGGAAATAGCTGTTAGCAGCAGGTTTTAAGTTTTAGCCACTGGCTGAAGATTCTAATTTGAATTGGAGCTGCGCTGACTGTTGCATGCTGGTGAAGACTCTATTTTAAAATAGCCTTGGAAATCATCCTGTTCTGCAGTAGTTTATTTTTTGTTTCTTTGCCAGATGGATTATGGCATTTGGAAAGGCCTCTTGGATGCTCTTACAGCTGATGTTAAGGAGAAAATGTATAATGTGTTGCTGTTTGTTGATGGAGGATGGATGGTTGATGTTAGAGAGGTAAAATAAATGTTTATATCACAACACAGACCACAAAGCACAGATTGTACCCAGTTGTACCCTTGTCACCTTTAGTTTGATGTGTTCCTGTTTAATTTGCTCTGGCCTTGCTGTGACCAGTTACAGCTTGCTTCCCCTACAGTTACCATACAAATCATATCTGACAGCCCAATCTAGGCTGGTTAGTCCAGTTTTCTGCCTCTGATGCTACTAATTACGTGGTTATGCTGAGTTGCCTCTTAAAAGTAGATTTTCTTAATACTAATATGCTGTATTACTCTGGTAAGGATGCCGAGGACGACCCTGAACGAACACAGCAGATGATTTTGCTGCGTAAGCTATGCCTGCCAATGATGTGCTTCTTACTGCACACAGTGCTGCACAGCACAGGGCAGTACCAGGAGTGCCTGCGCCTGGCGGACATGGTCGCTTCTGAGCGGCACAAGCTTTACACGGTGAGTTAGTGAGGGCTGCAGGCAGCTCAGCTTTCATTTAAAGGCTCCGTGGGTTGGCTGTGTAAGAAGTTTCTATATAGAGAGGAAGATGCCATATGTTCCTTAACATCATAAGTTTCTTTATCGCTTCCCATCAACGGCAAGTAGTAAAGGGTTTCCTTGTATTCTGACTTAAAGAATCAAAGAGTTAACTTTGAAACACTGAGGATGATGGCCAGTGTTTTCACAAGCAGTTCTTCTGAATACTGCAGTTACTAATTTTTGGATGGGAGTTTAAAGGTTGGACTCCACGATCTTAAAGGTCTTTACCAACCTAAACAATTCTATGATTCTAAGTTGAGCTGCAGAATTGTAATTGATTTTGCAATTACATTTAATTTCAGAAAGGTATAAGCAGGTTTGCAATTGTTTACCCCTAACCTTCTTTCCCTCTTAAAGCCTGGAAAAAAACTCAAAATGAGACAGAGCTGTCTTGAGCCTATCTTCAGGTTTTGGATGCTGCTACTAGCTTCCTGTGCCTTACTAAAGGTCATTCAGAAGTGCCTGATGCTCACACTATCTTGAATAGAAAGAAATTGCTTTAATATCAGTTATATTCATGGCAAATAAATATAACTGTATTATGTTTGAGGTTTTATTATTTATTCTTAGGTATTTTCAAAAGAAGAACTCAGAAAGCTTCTGCAGAAGCTGAGGGAATCTTCTCTGATACTTCTGGACCAGGATCTTGATCCTTTGGGATATGAAATTCAGTCATAGGTTTTCGTGTAGATACCTACAAAAACTTCTGAGCATGGACATTCTGGTTACATAAAAAAACCCAAACCAACAAAACCATTACTTGGACAAATTGTTCTGATTTTTTGGGGGGAAACCTCCAACTCTCAGATTTCAATGCAAACTTGAAAAATTCTGACCAACTTCAGAGATGTTATTTGTTAAACAACCTTTTTCATAATTTTTTTTCCTAATAAAAGTGCTTCAAAAAGAGAAAATGTTTGTTTGTTCTAATCTAAAATGTCATTATATAAATATGGTGATTGTATGAACCTCTTTGCTATATGCCAAAAAGAACCGCCCATAGACTGGAAACATTACTTGGCAGGAAAAGAATGTGCATGGGTACAATGAGGAGAAAAGTGAGACTGCAGGAACGTGTATGTGGAAAGCAGGGGAGAAGAAAGCAAACGCCTGGGGCTAGAGGAAGCAAAAGTGAGGGGCTACATCCAGCCCTTCAGAAGAGAAGGCAGCCTTGCTTCAGGGCTTGTGCTGTTCTACCGTACATCGTGGAATTGCTAAAATGCTGCTGAACCAAAGCAAGGATGTTCATATGTTGAAACTCCCGAGATTTTGTAGTTTATTTAGAAAGCTTGTTCTGACCCTCTTTACCTGTGTAAACACACATTTAGCTGCCTTTCCCTTAACGCGAGAGTGCAGAGGACACGACCGTAGTGGAGTTAGGCAAGGGCTTTGGCTCCTTCACCCGTCGGTGTCTTCTGACGCCTGACAAAGAACTTCGTTTGTGCTGTACCTGTCTACCTGCATTTTCGTGTGTGTATTGCCGGAAACACCCAGCCCGGTTGTGGAGAGGTACCTTGGAGGGACGGAGCGTTTCTGCCCATCGCTGGGCTGTTGGGCAGAGCTGGGGGGTACTGGGGGAGGGAGTGGACGTACACAGACAGGTACACACACGCACAGACAGACAGACACGCACCCACACTCGCTCCCCGTCGCGTTCCGGGGGCGCTGCCGGCGCTGGCCCAGCGCGGGGCGGGCAGAGCCGCGCGGAGAGGGCGGGGCCACCGGAAGGCGCGAGCCCACGTGTCCCGCGGGGCGGGGGCGGTGGGCCCGGCCGGTTCGCTGGCGGCCGCCGGGCAGCCTCAGCCATGGGTTGGCTGCCGGCGCAGGGCCGGCTGGCGGCGGGGCTGCTGGTGAACCTGGCCGCCTCCATCTGCATCGTCTTCCTGAACAAGTGGCTGTACGTGCGGCTGGGCTTCCCCAACCTCAGCCTCACCCTAGTCCACTTCGCCATTACCTGGCTCGGCCTCTACCTGTGCCAGGCGCTCGGCGCCTTCTCCCCCAAGAGCCTCCAGCCCGCGCAGGTGCTGCCGCTGGCCCTCAGCTTCTGCGGCTTCGTCGTCTTCACCAACCTCTCCCTGCAGAGCAACACCATCGGCACCTACCAGCTGGCCAAGGCCATGACCACGCCGGTCATCGTTGTCATCCAGAGCGTGGCTTACGGCAAGACCTTCCCCCTGCGGATCAAGCTGACCCTGGTGAGGAGGCGGCGGGCTGAGGGGAGCGGGGAGGGGCGACGCCGAGGGCAACAACCCCGCCTAAAACCCCCTTCTCCACCTCCGCAGGTCCCCATCACGCTGGGCGTCTTCCTCAACTCCTACTACGACGTGAAGTTCAACGTCCTGGGGATAGCATTCGCCACCTTGGGCGTCCTGGTGACCTCCATCTACCAAGTGGTGGGTATTGGCGGGGGGGGGGAGCGTTGGTTGGTCTTCACGATACGGCCCCTTGTTTTGATCGCCTTTCAGTAGCATCCAGCCTTCTAAGAAACCCTCCGTGCTCAGTGTTTTGTTTTTAAAAAACCCACCAAATTTTGATAATCCATCATAACCCCTGGTAAATTGAGGAATTGATCGTCCTTGCTGCTAAAAATTGGGGTCATCTTTAACGTGAGTGTATTTTCAAGAGGTGAAAAGCGGTAAAACTCCTTTTTTCTAGAGAGAACTGATGTTCTTGTTGAAGCAAGTGCCTTGCATTTGAGCCTTTCCCTAGAAAGGACGTTTTCCAGTCCTTCAGTTAATCCCCTGGTTTATCCTTGAGGTATTTACATTTTGTCAGCATCCTTTTTCAGTTTCGACTATACACAATCTCAGGTGTTTTTGTAGAGAGTGTGTTAATACATATGCATAATATACACACAGTACAACCTTTCTGGATGATTGTGGTTGAAAAAATAGACATGTCCAAGGACCGTCTTAGCCCTTTCTGCTTTAACATTGTACTAATAGCTCAACCAGTTCATTACTGGCCACAACTGTAAAAGTCTCCTAAATTAGCATCCTCTGTCATGTTGATGTGATAGTCATCCATTTAAGTGTGAATTTCTTTGCAACAGACATACTGTACCTCCTAAAGAAGCTTTGATCTGCAGTGTGTAAGATGATAATTAATGGTCTGGTCTCCTGTCCTGTTTTGGGGCAGGAGGAGGAGAGAGATGCTGTATAATAACTTTAAGTGATGGTGTGTGTACTGGAGAAATGATAGTATTTGGGTGAAATTATTCTGTAATGTTAAAAAAAAACCCTTAGCAAATTCATATGCTGGAATTCATGTTACCATGTGATTCATGTGATTTATGAAGTATTAAACATCATTCTTAAGCATGATATAAAGTTGCATCTTTTTGGCTGTAACATCTATCTTCATAGCCATAGATAAATAATACGTCTTAAAGCATGCTACCTTGAAAATTGAAGTTACAAGTTAGAGTCAATTATAATCAATATTGAAATGAAATCCATTAAATTTGGAATAAACTGGCAAAAGAAAGACAAACGTTTACTGATTTTGTTAGCTCGTATGTGGAAGAAAATAAGCAGAAAGGTGCACAAGCAGATCTCTGCCATGGCAAAGGTACTCAGCTCCATCACAGACAGGATATGGAATTTGTGTTGAATATAAAAGGGAGCCGGCATTTTCTTTCTAGTTCTGCTACTTTTTTGTTCTTCCTCAGGTGCAATACTTTACCCCCAGGCAATGGGAAAAGGCAGGTTTAGGCACTCAGAACTTTTTCGCTGTCCCTGCATACTATTTTCTCTCTTGTCGCTTTTGTGCTTGCAAGCAACAAACACACAGGGCCCCCAGTTAGGCGAAAGTGATGCTCAACAATCTGTTTATGTAATATTGTCCAGGTGAGATTCCCTGTGTGTTAGTAGCCAGTTTGCTTTTGCTCAGGTTTTCAGTTTGTGGGGTTTTTTCCTCGTGTTTAACGATTTTCTCTTTCGGTTTTAGTGGGTAGGCGCTAAGCAGCATGAGTTGCAGGTAAACTCTATGCAGTTGCTGTACTATCAGGCACCAATGTCCTCAGCTATGTTGCTGTTCATCATACCCTTCTTTGAGCCAGTCTTCGGAGAAGGGGGAATATTTGGGCCTTGGACGCTTTCTGCTGTGGTAAGGCTTTTATTGACTTCATTTAAATAATTATCACTGATGTAGTTAAACTTGATAGTAAGATATATTTCTATGTGAAACAGGTTTTTGTACAGCCATTGGCTATGGTGAGATGAGAGGGGCGTGTGCAGGAGAAAAGCCCTTTGTTGAGTCTGCCCCACTTCCTCTGAGGAGCGAATCTGTCAATTTATTTATGTCCTTAATTCTTGTTTCTGTTTAGAGGGCATCTGAACAACAGGAAAATCTGTGAAAATCCAGAAGCTTCCCCTAATGTATTAAATTAAAAATAATGTAAGTGCTCTAGTTCCAGCTCTTACTGTCCACTCAGAGAAAGAGATAAGCGTGCTCACTTTTGACACTCTCAACTCTTCTTCTGTGGAAGGATGTCAATAGTGGTTGTTCACTAGAATTAGTAGTTCATTTTCACCAAGAAGACTATAATTTCTCTCTGTATCCTGTCCAAAAAAGAGGCAGTGGCATATTCTTACCAATGCTGATCATGCTCCTCAGTGGTGGGTCACTTCTTGTAGCATTGCAGCTTATGAATGGGTTAGCAAGTATTCACAATAATAAAATCAGATATTTTCCTTAAATAGTTTTCATTGTGACCATAAATAAGACTTTGTCTCAAAGGTAAAGAATGCAGCCTCAGTGTGCATGAGCAGCCAGATTTTCCAAATCACTCTTAAATGTTCATCAAGGGTAAAGGAGAAAAGGCTTGTGGGTCTCTCGGTGTATATTTATGGAGATCGTACCCTGAGCTGCTTATACACATCACCAGTGTCTGGACTGATTTGAAGCCATTTCTATTTTTGTTCTTCGTATGGTTTTCTTGCCTGATACTTTGCATTTGAAAGTAAATGAAACTAAATAAATAACCTGGGAATGTATCTACAAAAGCGGGTCAGATTACTGACTGTGTCCATTAATCCACAGATAATGGTACTGCTGTCTGGAATAATAGCCTTTATGGTAAACTTGTCCATTTACTGGATCATTGGAAATACGTCACCAGTCACGTATCCTTTGTAACATTAGTCGTTTCTCTTGTTTCCAGATGAATTGTGTTGGAATTCATTTGGGCTGATTTATTGTGGCAAAATTGTTTGTAACCTGCCTGCTTTATCTTAAATGATGAAGCTGGAAAAGCATGTTCATGTTTTAGTGTATTTTGTTTCTTTGTTCGGGATTTGTATAGGTAATGGCGGTTCCCTCGCTGACCTTCATACCTGCAAAGAATATTAATCCACACTTTGGTTACTTTGAGGAAGTGTTGGCGTGCGAATCAGTTTGAAGTGTACGATGGGTAAAAGGCTTTAGGTGGAGGTTAATACTCACAGGCTGCAGAGATGCAAGAAAATTGCGGGAGTTGGAGTCAGCATGGCCATACCGTTGTGTGCTTTGGGTGTAACTAATGAAATTTCCAAATGTTTCTTTTTACAAAAAATAATACTGGTATTTGCTGTTATCCTTAATGGATGTCTAGGTATAACATGTTTGGACATTTCAAGTTCTGCATCACCCTCCTGGGAGGGTGCCTCTTATTTAAGGATCCACTATCTGTTAACCAAGGCCTTGGGATTCTGTGCACATTGTTTGGCATTTTAGCCTACACGCACTTCAAGCTTAGTGAGCAGGAAAGCAGTAAGAGTAAATTGGTCCAGCGTCCATAAAGCAAGATTTTCTGAATACTGTTGTGAAGGAAAACAAGTATTTAAATATGCATTGATTCTAGAATGCACGAAATTGCCTCAGTCATTTAGATCTATGGTTTTAGTTTAACTACCAGGATTGTTATTCTGTAACTAAACCAAAAGAACTGAATTATGTAGAATGCTGGGGTTTTGCCATCTCAGTCCATCCTATCATTTTCATTAAATTAAAACAGTAACTTAAAAGAGAAAAAGGCATACTTCAAATTGCTGTGGAAATTGTACTGAAGTAATTGTATTTTTTGCATACCAAATGAGATCATGATAGCTACAGTTATAATACAGAAAGAGAGAAAGAAAAGGAATCCTGTCTCTGTGATCATGCCGTTGTTGCTGTCATGAAGAAAAACTTGGAGGCACTTTTATGCAGATGTTCTGGTATGTAGTAATGCTTCCTCCTTTTTGTCTGGTAAACAATGAGGAGGAAAACATACTTTGTCCAGCTGTTTTAAAAAAGGCCACCAGAGTCATTCCTATTTCTTGTGTGCTTTCTTATCTGTGTTTGGCTTCAACACAGGGATAGATTTTTGGCTGAAGAAAGTAGATAAAATTACAAGTGGAAGGAGACCAGAGGTGAAAGTGGAAAACTTGAAGCCATAGGCCAAGCTATAGAAAAATAGGAAATCAGATCTAAACAGTTCATCTTAATTTTTTTCTTTTAGTCTGTCAGGACATTCATGAAGTAATTAATGTTTTGCAAAATTTTGTTACTGCATTATGATTTTCTCTGTGCCAAAACCAAGACTTTACATGAGATCTTGTAAATACTTGTGAGCCCAATAAAATCTCTGGTTTTGTGGTAATAACCAATTATTTTGCAGCCCTTGCACACAGCCACCCATGCTAAAAATATTTTGGAGAAATCTTCAGAAAGGTCATTGTCTTTAATGGGTGTGAAGATTGCCCATTTCTCTGTCCTGCCTTCAGCCTCACCTCCTTCACTCCCACATCTTTCCCCAAGAGTTACCTTGGGTAGGATCTGCAGGTTTGTCTGCTGCCACTGTTTTAAGGGAGAGGCACAGGACGGCTGTCTGGGCAGTGCTGGTTAAGGCAGCGTTTCCTCAACAGGCAGTCCTGGGAAATGTATCACAGTGATTGAAGAGCGCAAATCAGAAATGCTTTGAAAATTATTTTATGACAGTATCAGGCACTGATTTTGACAGTGTGGATGGAAGAACCTGAGTGCTGTTCTAGTTAAAAAAAGGAAAGAAAAAATAACTGCTTTCAGTAAATCTGGTGAGAACATATGTTTGCTAGATTTGCAGGGTTAGAATGTAATTGCAGTATCTTAATCCTTACTTGTTGGGGTTTGTTTTATCTTCATCTACCTCTAGGAGATTTAAAGAGGGGAATTATGTGAACAAAACCAAGTATTTAAGTTTTGCAGCCACCAGCAGAAATAATATTTAGTTCCTCTAAGTTTTATACAATAGAGATCAGAAGTCTTTATGTAGGAAATAATTCAGCTTTTCTCAAGCTTGTAAATTATTTATTCTGTTTGATTTAAGAAAAAGCTATTTCTCTGTGTAACCTAAGTTTACACCGTAATACTCTATATCATTTCAGAGTTAGAAATACCTGAATAATTTTACATCTTTACGAACTGTTTCTTGGACATTGTACTAGTCCAAGGATAATTTTTTTATACATTTTTATAGATTTGTATAATTAGTTTAAAAAACAGCCTGGACTACTGAAAGATGTATTCAGGCAGTCAAGCTCTGGATGCGTATCCTTCAGTATGTACACTGAGAAAGCTATTCACATTAATTTGTGCTGTGCACAAGTTCTGAGACTGCCAAAACACAGTTAGAAAACAACTGAATTAGATGCCTGTTTGACAAATATTTGAGATCAGACTGATGTAAAATGGTAGAATGAACAAAACAGCCATGCCTGGAAATGCAAAAGACTCCTTAAGAGGAGGAGCAGATCTGCAAGAGAAAATTAACAGTATCATTAAAAAAGTACATTATAAATAGAATCTGTTGTTGGAATGTGGGGGGGGGGGCTTAAGTGACATGATTTTTTTTCATACCTTCAAGATCTCTCCTTTGAGATTTACCTGTTGTATCTAATAAATAAAGTATCTTGAACTTTGTCATATGGTTCAAAATATTAAATCCAGGAGGCTTGTGTAATTGTGTGATAAATGGATCTTTGTATGTATTGTTTCTTTGGATATATGTAGGGTGGGAATAAATTTTGATCAGTTTACTGATACCTGCTTATTGCAGGAGAGAGGAGTCGTTCTTGTCTTATTGCATACACTTTGGAGGTCTAGGTGTCTATAAGACAAAATGGTGCCGCATGGATTTCTGTCTGTATGACTGTTTCATGAAGTTTGAATGTTTTGCACTGGTGGCACAAATGAGGGAAATTTTAAATCCTGAGGTAAAAACTGGAATCTTATAAAAATCACTGATACTTACATGGTGGGAAACTTGCTTATTCTAGTTTTTACTACATCAATTGAATGTGTTTTCCTGTTAATTATATGTATTTCAGTCAGTTTTGACTTTCCTAAAAGAGAAATCAGAGGCTTGTAATCTTTAGCAATATGTAGTCATCACCCTGTGTATGCTATTACAATCGGAGCCATACCATACAAACCCTCTTGTTTGCTTTCTGATTTTCATTTTTCATACTCTACATGTCACTAAACTGTGGTAGCAGGATGGGCCTTGTTCCTTTGCCATCCAGTGCTTTGCTGCTTATATTATCATTATTTTAAAAAGCTACCACTGATGATGTTCCAGTGGAAATGCTGGTGTAGATACCAAGGCGGCATTTAAAACTGAGAGCATATGTAGATGATTCTGATTAAAATCTGAGCAACTGGTGGTAAGTTATCTTTGCTAGCCTTGTCCCCAAAAACTCTTTAGAACAACATACAGAAGTTTTTCCCATTTTTCCCAAAGGAATAGGAAGTATGCCTTCACTTAAAAGCTACTCAGTTCAAAGCTTTGTGTTACCTTTAACTTTGGTAAGTCAGCACTTGTTTGACAGATTTTTCATCTGTTTTTGTATGACTTGCTAAGTTCTTAAAGGTTCTGTGTCCGTGCAGGGCACTGTGCCAGGGGAGTTTTCCTGTTGATGTGTGAACAGTCACTCTCTCAGGCTTGAGTCTGAAGTAAAGTGGTTTGCTGCTGTTACATGTATGAAAAGGAGGTTTGTCTTGCAGGAAGTCTACCTTCAAGACAGAACTGCAATTCAGCAGGACTGTATCCTCTCTCTGTCTCATTTCATGAAGTGAATGCCCAGCGATGGCCTAGGGCTAAAGCAACATTAAAGCCTTGTTTGGACTACACAGAGTTTTTTATTAAACTCTTTTTAAAATATTAGTGGTAGTGAATGCTGGTCAAATAGTAAGGTAAAAGTCTCATTTTTATAATGTTTTATTATATAAAAGTTTCAGAAGAGTGTTCTATAACATTTTGGAGTACAGCTAATGTCTAACCCATGTCTAGTCTGTCAAATCTTCTGCAAAATCTATCAAAAGATCATGATGGCTTTCGTAATTGGCTGTATATGTTCATACAGTTGGGCTGCTGAGGAGAGCCTGCTCTTGAGCAATATTGTGCTACTGAACAGTGGCACACTGCTAAGGTATTTAGCAGTGACTTAAACATCTGGCCTGAAATTCACCAACCTACTCCGGAAAGTAATAAGAAGGCTCACTCTGATAGGTGAGAGAGCTTTTTATCTTCCTGGATTTTATGTTCCTGCTTTTAATAACAAACAGACTGCAAGTTAAGGGAATTTGGAGAGCAGATCTTAGTGTCCCTCAACTCACCTTTCATATGAAGATTTTTCTCCCAAGATGCCTGTTTTGCTCCCAGTTATGTCTTAACTAGTTTTTAAAAGAAGAAGAGTTTGGATTAAAGACTTGTAGGTGTTTGCTTGTGTTATTGCAGTTTTTTCCTCTTAAAATTTTATTTTAGCCTTCAAAACCCAACTTCCCCATTTAATAAGAAAAAAAAAGAAAATAATTTTTAATAAATTAAAGGCAACTGTATATAGAGTGAAGATATGTTTTGTTTTGCAAAAGAATTTCACTCTTCTAACTTTAAAGATGCAGCTCTTTCTTTTTCTACTATTACAATCAGGCAGATGCAAAGAAGCACCATCTTTCTGCTCCATACAAATTCCCTCTATTTCTGTGTGTGCTCTCTCTCTGATCGCAGTCTCCGATTTCCATTTGACAGCACAGTTGCTGCAAAGGTGATGGGGATTTCAGCTGCGCAGGGTTAAGAACATGAAGGAAAAAATCTATCAGCAGGAGCTGATATAATCTTGGATAAAGAGAAATCCTGTTCTAAGACACAGAGACATCTTACCAAATAAATCTATGTTAAGCATTGGGGACAAGTGTGTGTTTGTGTCCAGGCAGGTATTGCAAAAGAATGCAAAGCTGAGTTCTTTGAATTCTTGTTGTGCTGTAGTAGTTGACACATTTAGTATAAAATAGATTTTAATAATATAAAAATTGAAAATATAAATGCCATGCAAAAAAAAATAGCTGGATTCAGACAGTCTTTGCCAGGCTTGTCCCACAGCTATGGTTAACCTTCCTGAGAGAAGGGAGCTATTGTTCCGCCTCCCCTGGCCCAGTGATGCTGGGCTTAGTAAAGGAGGGCTTGTGTTCCTGAAAGCTGGTCTGCTTTTCTTCAGCTGTATCAGTTGGTCCAATGAAAACATATCATCTCTCCCTACGGAGCTCATCTGGCTAAAGTTACTGTTCCTGCTTTCATCTGACTGACTTGGATTGTTCTCCTGTCTTCCTTGAGTAAGAAGACCTGAGAGTTCTAATGGACCTAATGATTCTATTCTATGACCCTGGGGAGTAGAATGTACTCCATTGCCTCATGTAACTGCACTATCCAGTCAGCCCTGCTGTGAGGGATCCAGTCCAGCCCAAAGGGGCATAGTTACAATCTGCAGCACAAGGACTAAAGAAAGGGGAAATGTGATCCCTCTGTTGTTTTAGTTGCAAGGCAGTTTCTAATACTTTCCCATTTCAGTTTTTGTCATTTCCTTTAGTAGGTGCATAAGAAATCTCCCTTTCCTGTTTCAGTCTGCCCTTTATAATTAGGGAATTCTAGAATTGAGACAGAAATTGTATTAGTGCTTATATAAATATATTGACCTAACCCAGTGTTGCTGGTTTTTACCTAGGGAGCCTTGCCTGCCTTCCACTCCAGAAAAAAATTAATTGCTTAAAATACAGGAATCAGGTTAACGTGAATTAAGAGGTAATTTGCCAGCTCAGGAGTTGCGTTTGCCTTCGCAGCTGCACTAGCTCAGTACCTAGCAGGCACAATATGCTGCCTTTATAATGGAAAGGCAGGAACAGACATGGGCAGATTAAACATAATATAGTGGAAGTAAATTACGTATTTAGAAGCAAGTACTGGGAACGATCCAAAGGTTGCTTAAGGATTGACATTGCAAAGATAATTTTCTGATCTGTTTGTGGCTTCACTGGAACATTAATACAAGCCATACATTTGAAGACACATGGTTATATTTCAGGAGCTCCAAGAAGTCTAGCACGGCTGTGTGGGTAACTAGCACATACAGGATGCATATGCAGGCTAGTAGTGTGTCAGAAAAGAGCAGGATTATTTTTAGAACCACAGGCGGCTGTGTCTCATCCAGGAAGTGCAGGGAGATCATCTCTGGTTGAAACACAGCATAAGAATGTAATTTTTAATGACTTTGGCACAGAAAACTGTTGCATTTTTTTACTTTCTTACAAAGCAGAGGCTGAAAAGCAAACTTGTTTAAAGGAGATGTATTGTGATTGGGTGAAACACATGGAATAATCATGGATATTGGGACCATAGAATAGAGGTGGTTGTGATTAAAGAAAAAAAGTGAGACAATGAGTTAAGAAACAACTGAGAAGAGTATACAGCACATAGACCTTATATTTTAAAACTTCCCTAGTTTAGATGTATAAGTTTAGATGCTTAACTGCACGATAAGGCAGCTGAATATAGCAGGGCCAGATTTGTCAGTGTGAACTTCTTCCCTTTCAATAGTACTTAATAGAGAATGGCATTGGCTCAGCATTTCCAGAAATGAAGCTGCATAGTTAACAAGTTTTGACTTTTTTTTTTTTTGTCTTCAACTAAATTTGGTATGCTATTTCAACAAAGAAACAGTCCTTGTTCTCATTCCTTATTCTGCCCAGAATGTTTTTGATTCTCCTTACTTTCTGGGGAAAAAGAAAACATTTGCACACTTCTATTTTCTGTTACAGAACTAATGAGTGACTGAAGGGGTTTTGTTTTACAATACACCAAAGTTGCATATTAAATACTTTGATTAAGATCATGTAATTTATCTACATGTGTGTATGTTGATTCCACTCAGGTTTCTGTCTTCAAGCTGAGTGGAAAAAGCCTCTCCACCTCCTATTATATTAACTGTTGTGAAATTGAGTGCTTTTCTCCAAGGAGTTGAAGGCAATGTTAAGGTCTTCTGGGATCCAAAATGGTTTACTTATTAAATGCATTTCTTGTGGTGGTTAGTCAAAAACTGATTTCCTACTTGTTAATCCAGTTGAGAGAAGAAACTGATAGTGGTGGTCATACACCCTTCAGGCAGTTATGATCCATTTCTGAAAACACATGATCTCACTTTTCTGAGTGGTAAGGTGGTTCTTCTGATCAGGACTGACAATAACCAGTGCAGTTTGCATCAGACTTTGTTGTATAGGTAGAAAAAAGAGAGGGATAGAGATGTAGTAGGTTTGTTTCCCAAACAAAGCCCAAGCAAAGCTTTCCCAAAAACGCTGTTTGAATTCATGGATACCTATGTCTCTATCGGGGGGGGGGACATGTAAACCTTTATTCTATACCCCTAAACCTACAATCTCAATGAGGTCCAGCTGACAGCAGTGTGAATGGACACATGGGAGGCTGGCACTGAGCTGGGATTACTGAGCACCCCCACCAAGCTGGTTTTCTAGAACTACGTGCAATGTTACAGAACCAGCTGCACTTGGGTGTCATTCAAACCTCATCTTGGATGCCAAAGACAGAAATTAAAATTCAGAAACTTTGGGAAACTAGCAGATTTAGTGAAAGACATGGTCTTAGCACACATTATACGAGATGAACGTGTCAGTGGAATGTCACGTTCCTGCTTAAAGGCACAAGTCCTGTTCCTCCCCATGGACACAGCTTTGGCACTTGCTCCTGCCTCCTGATCTGTCTGAACCGTGAGAGTCATATGACCCTCTGCTAGACAGAATAGCCACGACTGGCTATAGAGCAAGTCGATGCCTTCCTGTGCAGACAGGCAAGTTTTCGTGCTGGGACAACGGAGAATAGTGACACCGCACGGCTAGGAACGGGACTGAGGGAAGCAGAGCGGGGCAGGAGACGTCTCTTTCAATAGTCCCCATGTAATGTCCACGCACCCAGCGTCGGAAGGCAGGTTTTGAAGAAGAAGGTTTCACACAAACGAAATGGTGAGAAAGCCTCTCAGATATAAGCCTTCAAGGAGTTTCTCAAGCACTCCAGAACATATTTATGTACCTATAAGTGGTCTTGAATTCTCTGGGAGACTGGCTTGCTCTGAGCTGCAGCAGCTTGTTTCCTGCCTCTGCAGCCTCCTGTGGACTGGCAACTATTTCCCTTGTCCCCTGTATTAAGGGAAGATCTTTGCAAAGTATATTGTGTGTTTGTCCTGTTTTTCAGTGTGCTGTATTTAGCTGAACCAGTCTGTGCTATATCAGGTAGTTTCGCTTCTATGAAGAAGCTTTACTCATTTGATAACCTATAGTAATCCACCGGGTGTCATATGATTGGGATATTATTTTTAAAGGCTGGTTAATTTTCTAATCAGTTAGTTGTTCCTAAGCAAGCCAGGATTTAAATATCTTGTAATTGAGTATTCTCAGTGTTTTTATTGAGTGAAAAGTAAGATATGCAAGTCCCCCTGTGTTTGAAGTTTCCTTTTAAAAATGGATGTAAATCAGTGCATGCAAAGATGTCTAAGGAAATTATTTTGTGATGCGATGTCCTTATTGTCTAACAGGATTTCACATTTGCAGGCTAGGAATGATTGAAATGAATCAAACCTCTGCAAAGGCTTTGCTGCAAAAATGGCTTGGCAGGATGGGATTTTAGTAGAAGAAGCCAGAGACACGGAGCTCTAGAGATGCATTGCTAGCATTGAAAACTGGAACCAAAACCTAGTAAAAATGGAAAGTTGATATGCATACATAAAACACATATAAAACTGTAAAGTTTCCTTAGTTTACTGCAGTCATCATTTTAGTCTTGCATAAAATAATTGTATGGCTGCATGGACCTAAAAGACTCTTGGTCTGTGTGCACGTTTCCAGTATGTATAACAATACTGCTCCCCAGCTATTTGAGGCTTCTGCTTTTCCAGAGACAGTTGTCCTTTCCTGTCTGTGTCAGCAAAGAGGAATGCACGCCCATGCTGTGGTGTCCCTTGGATACAATCCTTGGAGTAACAGTTTAACATGCCAGACTGAGAACTGAGATGTGGCTTGATTTTTTTTTTTTTTTTTGGTGATCCCTCCAACTTGTGTTGCAAAGGCAGTAACTTTTGCTAAGAAAGTCCTATCAACAGCAGAAGGGAGTGATGTTTTGAGCTGGAGCAACTTGCTAGAGGTGCTTGATATCTGCACAAGTGGAATGCAAAATACACAGATGAGACATGCTTTCTACAGATTTCAAGATGTACCTTTCCAAATTAGCTTTCACAGAAGAGAATGTGTTCAGCTTGAAGTACAGTGCAACAAAAACACAACAGCCTGCAAATTACCATCAGAAGTGTCTTCATCGGTACAATCAACACAACTCCTCTTGCAAACCTTTCAGCTCCTTTGCAACACAGGAAAAGCTGGGTTGGGCCAGCTAAACTAATTATCAGTGCTAACATGCACTCTTTACTTCTCCCTAAGTAACACCTGAGGGATACTTCTGGGAATTTGGACCCAGTTCTATCACAGGAGATACTGCAGGGGCTTATCAACCCAGGTGACTGATACCAGAGGTAACATTCAAGGTGTGGTTAGATGATAAGGAAAAGACCACTGAATGGCTCCCTGCCTTCAGGAGTTATTTCCCCATTGCAATCCCAAATTCTCTGCTTCCAGCTGTGTGTTCCTGCTGCTTTTTTGTTATGTCTCATGTGTTCATGATAAAGCAAGCTGACATACTAGCAGCAAATACAAGTAAATATCCTGCTCTTGAATCAGCTAAATCTGTGGTCAAAGGAGCCAAAGCCAGTTCAAAGAAATACTTGGTTGGGAATGCACAGCTCCTGGCAAGGCCATTGTTTCAACAGGGCATTAGATGGGCTCAGTACATTCTTTACATGAGATATTTGATGAGCTCAGCTGCATCACCAAACCGTGCAAGGTGGCTGAGGCAATCCAGCACCACAGTTCTTCCAAAAAAGGTCTGTCTTACCATCAGCTTGCAGCCATCAGTGAGGAGACAAGGAGGAGAATTGAATACCTCTCTTGCAGTGGTGTGCTCTGAAATCAATCAAATACAAGCTTCACCTTCAGTAATGCTGCTGCCTAAGCTCGCTGAAGCAGATCCCACACATTTTCCCTGCCTACCTTTCTGCTGCCATTCCGGTGATGTCCTGGGCCAGCTGCTATGTAGCTACTCAAGACTACCTCAGGAACCTGATCTGCAGAAAAAAATGCCTTATTTCTCAGGTGTGCCAGATCACTTTATCCACTTTTTACCATAGGTGCACAATTGTCTGTGCCAGTATATCAGAACAGACAGCAAGAGGATTGAAGAGGTGGATGGGATCTCTCTGAAGTAACATGCCAACAACCAAAGAAATGTATACTAAGTCTTCATTATCTTGCCATTAAACACAACCGTTTTAGTGGGGCTGTGCAGCTAAGTAAGCCCCACTGCTGGTAGAGCAGTGCAGGTAATGTGGCTGATTAAGGATCAGGGAGAGGGTAAGACAGGCCCAAGTCTTACCTATATCCCAACTCTACCTATATCCCATCTGGTAAGAAAGAGGAAATTAACTCATTCAATGCAGTGGCATCCCCTGCATTGAATGAGTTAAAGATCAGGATTGGCAATTGTCTACCAAAAACGATGGTCTGTATTCTACCAGACCCTCTTCAGTAAATATGGGGGAAAACAAGTGGTTTTGAGCATCTTTTTGAAACTGTATTTTGGCATGTAAAGACAGAAGATCTGTACTCTCAAATGCCTCACTGCAGTGCATATCTGGGTATGTTTGTGTGAGGCTTGTTTTGCTTATGTGAAGAAATTGCAGCCTGTCTCCTGACAGCCAAGTCATAATGCAGCAATATCTTACAGTCCCACAACAGTGGATTTGGGATTTTTCCCTTGTGAGTAGCACTGCATGGTGTGTTTCTCTCAAGGTGTTCTACCATGCTGTGTTCCCTCTGGCCTTGGCTCATACCTGAACAACATGTTGTTAAGATAAATAAGGTGGGTCAGAAGTCAAAGCCCAGTGCCTGCGTATCTCTCCAGGTACACAAACAAATGCAGAAGAAATTGTCAAGAGAGATGCACAGACTCAAAGCTACCACAGCTAAAAATTCTTTTTAAACCACAGGGGTGATCTAAGCTAAGATGCTAAGATGGATTCTGCAAAACCGGCTGAATCAAGGAATACCAAAAAGTCCAGGCACTTGCTTTTTCTGGAGGCAAGAGATCATTGAGCTATTAATACTGCAGTGGAACCAAACAAAGCACAGAACAGTATTTTTCATGGGTTTGTCATCTCCAGTCAGAGCTTAGTTTGTGTCTTGCTCTTCCAGTGTCATCGATGAGTTTGTGCAAGTTTTATGCATTAATTCCAAACGCCTTTCTTTGTGTGCTGCACCAGATGGCGCAACCACCAGCGAACCTCCCCTGACAAACCTCCTGCCGAGGCCAGCAGGGTCTGAGTCCCAAGGCTCAGAAACTGCAGTGATGTCTGTCAGATCAGCTAATGGAATCAGGGCAGGTGGCAGAAAAACAAGCTTAGTGGCACACACAGCCTTCAAAAATTCCTAGAGCATTTGGCTTAATACTTCCTCTCTTCCAATATTGCCTTCCTGATAAAGACTGTGGATGTTATCCTGATCTGTACTGCCCACTAGTACTTAGAAAGAGGTTTCAATTTGTAGGGCAGCTGGGGTGGGGGATTTCTCTTAATGTTCCCGTTTCATATTTAGTAAAAAAAAATAAATTATTCTGTTAACAAAACCAAACCATGGACTTGGACAACAACTACCTGTTACTTGTTCAAGTCTCTCTAGTTCAGCTGGCTCCATCAGAGTCCTTCTCAGGCTAAAACATGCCACATACTGGAGACCACTAACAGCGGGAAATTTATGAATATTAGAACACTTTAAAAAGGAGTAAACTCTCTTGCTATATACTTCTTTATTGATCTAATTCCACAAACATTTTCACATGTAATTACCAAAAATCAGGACACATAAGCGTATTTGCAGAATAGTTTGCAGGCTCTTTGTATAAAACTACTTTTTATATGTCTAGAGAGTGTATATATATATACATATATATTAAAATATACTGTGGAAATATTAACAACATCTGAAAAGCAGAAATGACATGGAAGAGAAGAAAACAAGGAATGTGCAAGTACTGGGAAAAAAAACACTGTAGGGGGCAAAGGGGAGAAATTCAGAGGTGAATATAAAAAAGAAGCTCAAGACAATGCTGATCATTCCAACCAGTGCCTGGCACCTGAACTGCAGGATGCTAAAATTCCACTTTCTTAGTGTTTCTTATTGCAGATGTGAGAATGGAAAATGTGTGAGAGCTTTTTCCTTGACTCAGGGGGAAAACATGACATTTTCCCTTGCTTTCTGTGCCTGTCATGTTCCAGGGCCTTAGCACCCAGCTTGGCACAAGCAGATTAACCATCACTTCTGTTGCAGCAGAACTGCGTGCTATATCTCTGTGGGTCACAAAACTCCTCACAAGAATACCCAGTTCTACACCAACGTCCCTCCTGTACATTGTGTTGATGTTAATATTCGCTCATTCCACAGAGAGAACTGTTCCTGTTTTAGTGTTTCTAATGTGTTCCTTACTTACATGATGTTTCATGTTTGTGTTTAAACAAGTCCTAATTCACAGGCAGGCAACTGGGCACTGTAAAAAACTTCTCTTGCTTGGCAACAAGTAGTTGCACGTCAACTGTTGGTTGCTGAGGTGACATATGATCAAGATCCACCTGAATCAAGGGAGGGTATATGGATAAAAGAAAAAAGACAATGAGGGTCTTCAGCAGGATGACTTAGCAAGGTTTATCAGTTTATTTCAGGAAGTATATGGATCCGTGGCTGATTTTAGGGAGAGATTTAATCTCAAGGAAACCCTTCTCAGCAAACCCACTTCCCAAGTGGGCTTCAGAATATACACCCAAGTTTGATAACTTAGCCCTGTTTGTGATGGCAGTGAACTCTTGGAGGGAAACTAATCAAATCAACCTTGATGGTTTCAAGTCCAGGCTACCCCAGACACTAGTAACGCCTCTAATAAATGTTCCAAACTATTTGTCTAGCTACTAGCATTGTTGTCTAACTACATGTTCTGCTAAAGTTGTATGCTAAAAGTTTTACTGACAAAGCTATGCTCTCAAACAGAAAGAGCCAGCAGAAAGGTGACTTTGTAATTCGTCAGTAAAATCAATTGTATTAGCAAAAGGAGAGTGGTGAGGCTTTTCTGAGGAATGGATGGTTCATTTTGTGTCTGACACCAGTCACTAAGGCTGCATCAACCAAACTTTACATTGTGGAGCAGGCAACAAGAAGGTGTGCAAAGGAGGATGTTGTAGAGACTTTGCTGTCCAAACTAAAGCATATATTCCTTGTATAACAGGCAGCTAGAAAGCAACAACAGAAACGTGGGGGAGATGTGGGCAAATGGGCCAGCAAGGCTGGGACAATTCTGGGAGATACATAATCAGGTACACAGAATGGGACTGAATTAAGAAGCTGCTTGTGCAATAAAATGCCCTTCTGGGCATTTGTTGTTAGAAACAAACAGTTCAAGTAACAGCCAGACAGTTAAAATAATTTTTTGTCTTCCCTTGCTTTAACCCAGACTGCAGCCTGACTTGAATAGTACCTCAGGCCTGACCTCATCATCAGCTGCAGTTCTGTCCATACATGGCACCCTAAACAGACTGGATTTGAACTGCATGCTATGTTTGCTCTCAGCTTCTAGATTTCGGTTGTCCCAGAATACATTTCAGTTTCAGACTGAAAGATACCTCAGTCTTTCACATGAGTCCTATTAGCCTGTGCACACCCCACACACCCTTCTGGGCCACTCCCTTAAACAGAAATGTGTTTTGTGCTGGACTGAACAGCACATTTGTGTGACAAATGAGGACTGGATTAAAAGAACAATTCTAAACTGAACTGGCATCATCCTAGTCTGGCTAAATAGGGCAGATGAGCATGGTTATACTGAGTCTTTTTCTGATCTAATTACATGCAATCAAGTACTAGGGAAGGAGATATCACTGGATTATTTAATTTTCACAGCTACAGTTTAGTAAAGCAGGAAATGGTCACAATCCAGTGACATATTTCACCCCGCCTAACAAGAAAAGCATGCTTTTTCATTCAGTGATATACCTAAGAAAACCTGTTTGAGAGTTAGAAGTCTTTTCCTGAGATTTTTCCCTTTCAGTTCTTCAGAATCATTCCATAAGCTTCTTTAAAAGTGAGGACTAAACAGAAAACTAGAGGGGGGGAAAAAACACCTAAACTTTTCATTCTGTTTTAGAAAATGAGCAGAAATTCAAAATAATTGGTTTATGTTCTTGCTAGTTGGCCTCCCTTCAGAAGGCTATTGTTTTATTTAATTGTGCTTGTGGCTGACTGAGCTGCTACTAAAGAGGAATCAGATTTGGGCAGACTACCAGTGTTTCCCAGGCAGATGAAGGAATAAGTATGGCAACAAAAAGGCAGAAGAGCTGCTGTGTTCTGATGTGGGATTGTTCTAGCTCCAGGTGGTTTTGAAGCAGCTGTAGTTAACATGCTCAAAAGTAGACACACCTGAACTGAGTGCCTGTGGGAGAGGGGTAAGAAAGAGCTCATGAGCAGCTGCTAGAAAAACACTTTGTTTCAGACCATCTTTTCCAGTCCACCTGAAGCAATTTTACATTTTTCAAAATAAAAGGTTGCTCTGAAGTTATGGAAATGTAGGAAACTGCCAGTCTCATATCCAAAGCTCCCACATGGTACATGGTGTGATTCTTGGGGCTGTTCTGTGCAGGGACAGGAGTTGGACATTGATGATCCTTTTGGATCCCTTCCAACTCAAAATATTCTGTGATGAAACACTGCAGGTAGTTGAGCCCAGGGTGTGCACACAGGTGAAGCTGCAGAATGCCTGCTGTGCCACCCAGTCTGAAGAGTAGCTGGGGTTGTTGGGAAGAGCAGTGCAGCCATGGGCAGCTCAAATACACGGCTCCTGCACACCTGAAAAACACAAATTGAACAGCAAAGTAGAGCTTGGTGTTCCCTGTTAAACAGCTGCAATAGCATCGCATGTGGTCTTTGGGTTCCCACTGCTGCTATGAGCTTTGCTCTTGATTCCTGTCATTACTCTCTCTTCAGATTTGCCCCCAGGAAGGCTGCATTCCCTTTTCATTTAGTAGATTTTGGGTAGCATTTATAGTAAGAAGTTTCTGGTGCTGACAGACCTCTCCACTGGGATAGGTATTAGCTTATAAGTTCCCTGCATCGAATTTGTGATTACTGTCATGAGGATTTCTTATCAGTGTGCTTTTTCTTACTCAACAAAGCAGAAAGCAAACAACAAAATTCTCGCTCCTGTATTTGTAGAGAATTGTATTGGCCCACTGTCTGGCATGTGGGGTCACAGCTGCAGCAGGCAGGCCTGGCAGAAAGTCCCATTAAGCCACATGTGCCCCAGCTGGGTTTCAGCATCCTTGTTCCTATGTCCTTTCACGTTGAGGTGCCTGATAATCTGTGGCACGTGACTGATCACAGCTTTATGTCATACTAATAGAGATTGTGTCTAAGGCTTCAGAAAGGATACATCAACACAGTGTAAGGCCCCAGAAGCTTGCTTTGAATTTTTTTTTTGTGTGTGTGTGTATGTATCTGGGAGCAGTTCATAGACAGCACATGAGATTAACCTATCTGATAGCCAAGGAGCAGCAAACTGCTTGGAGATGAGACCTGACAAACCCTGGCCACGTATGCATAGGAATTAAATAGTTCTCATGCCACATGAGAACAAGATTGAGCATTGGTAATACAGCTGTTCGGTATTACATCAACTGAATGTAGCCATTTCATTCCATCCTCTTGTATTTTTGTGTAGACAGAATTTTCTCCTACCGATGAAGTTAGCTAGCTAAGGATCTCAGGAACTGGGGTGCTGGGTGGAAAGGAGAAGATATCTGACTTTGCCTGATGAAGGACATTCCACCTGAAATAGATTTCTGTTTGCCTTGAAATCCTGGTACTAACAGGAGGTGAGCATGCTTTGCAAAATTCTGGGAGCTTCTCAGCTGTCCCTCACTAGACCTTGAGCTTTATGCTCTAGAACGATAACAAAGTCATCTTGAAAATCCATCATTACACAAATATCTATATTTAAACCGTTGCTGGAATTTTTACAAGGTGCTATGGTTGCTGAGAATCTGTATTTGGCCAGCAGACAAGTCCAGGCAGTTATCCACTGCTTGTTTGGACAAGTTAGTTGTCATGGAAAATTAGCATTATGCTCCCTCTGCTCTAGTGTATCTTTAAATACTGTCTACAGCTCTTGTGTTCTCTAACAAATCTTTTCACTCTTAAAAAATAATTTTAAAATTTCACTATGGACAAAGAAAAAGCCTGAGAATTAGAAAAGGCAGTCAGACTAAAAACTAACCAGTTCTGCTTGAAGTGTAGCAACTACTAAGTCCCTATGAAAGTAACATACTTCCAAATACCCTACATTTAAAAGATACAAAAAATTATAGAATGAGAGATGACAAGAATATAGGACAACTGCATCCAATTTTCTTTGTATGTAAAGTTTTCTCATTTCATCTCTTAAATATCACTGACAAAACAACTCAGAAGACACAAACGACCACTGCAAATCAAAACAGTATCGAAAGGCGTGGTTACCTATTGGCCAGGCAACCAACACTTGTACTACTGTGTCCCTGAATTTATGAGGAGTGAACGCAGGAGTCCTTGCCTTTCCTGCCCCGGGAACAAAGCGGCCGCAGCGCAGTCGCTGCCAGGCCCGAGCGCGGTTGTCCCTCCGCGCGAGCGCCGCCCGTCAGGGGGCGCTGGGACACCCGCGGGCCGCGAGGCCAACATGGCGGCGTGGAGCGCGCACGGCGCGGCGGGGCCGCGGTAGAGGCTGCGGGCAGGATCCCGCGGGGTCCCGGCGCTCCGCCCGCCGCGGGCCGGGCTGCGGAGCGGACGCGGCTGGCGGTGCGTGGGGATCGATCGCGGCTCGCTCGGGGGCCGGAGGGGGGCTGGGGGCTCTCGCTTGTCGCTCGTGCGGCCTCGGCGCTGGGGGAGGGGCTGCGGCGGGGCGCGCCGGGCCGGGCGGGCGAGGGGCGCGGGGCCGGCGCTGTTTCCCCGCGCCGCTGTCCCTCTGCCCCGCCGGCCCCCCCGCGTTCGGCGGCCGCGGTGAGTCAGCGCCGGGCCCGTCCCGCCCGTTCGCCCCCCGCGGTGACTCGGCGACGGCGCTCCGGGTCATGCTCAGGCATGTCGGGCCGAGCCGGGCCGGCGCGGAGCTAAGCCCTGACTTGCCTCCTGCTGGCAGCGCTATATAAGGCCCGGCCCAGCCCGACTCGACCCAGACACCGCCGCTGGAGCCCAGCGCGGGCTGTACGGGGCACCGAGGTGAGTGGGCTCCGCTGGCGTGGCGGCTGCCGCCAGCCCGGGTTGTGTCGCTGTGTGCCACGTTCTGAGCTGGTTCTCCCCTCAATTGCAGGCAAATGTGCAATACCAAGATGTCCTCCCTTACGGATGCCTCCGCTGTCACCGGTTCGGAGCAAGAGGCGCTGGTCAGTAGCTCTGTTGGACGCGCGAGTTTTTTCATGCTTTTTACAGAGTTTTAGCAGCTAATTTAGAAGGACCCCTTTTTGCAGCGAGCACTGGTTGCAGAAAAACCAGGAAATCCGGTGAAGGTGATGTCTCTGATCCTGCAATTGTGAAGCAAATGTTATTCATGGTTGAGCGTTGAGGGTGATGGTTTAGGTCTAGACTCTGTTTCCTGGAGATCTACGATGGGTTTTGCTTTCTTTTAATAAAAAGGATCTCATCCGATTTGATCGTGGTAAGTATTTCATGGTGGGAGTTGTTAACAGATCATAACTGAAGAGTTGTGGAAGATCTCCGTTGTGCAAACCGTACTATTTGTGAAATAATCTGAAGGTTTTCTACTTTCTCCTCTATTGGAATTCATAAGCAAGTTGTAAGAAGAGTCTTCGTTTGTTTTCATGGCTTTGCATATCCAGGGTTTACATGATACAGTGCCAGTTCTGCTGCCCTGATTTTGTGCATAAGTTTTCCTGACAATGGAAGGCTGTTATACCTGAAAGACGAGTTAAAAACAGCACATATGCAATGATGTTTGGACGGGGCTGCCGTATGTAGAAGGGTAAAGCTCAAAAGGGTAGACTTACAGTAGAATTTAAAAAAAACAAAATAGCAGAACAGCAAAAACCGTTAATTTTTTGTTTGTTTGTTTGTTTCTTCCTTTTTTTTGTTAAGTCATCTCATTGTGATGCTACTGTCTGCTGTCATATCTGGGAGGCGAAAGAATTCATACTTGGAGGAGTCAGGAAGAGAAGGCTGGGGAGTAGAAATGGGCTTAGTTGTGGATTCAGAGATCTGACACTGTCTTCCTATGCTTAGCTGTCAGTAGGGCTTTAATAAGTTTCTGTTTGCTTCCTTTATGAAACTGTGATATGTTCCACATGTTCTAAATAATTACGCCCTTAGGAAGGGGTGAATAGACATCTAATGTTGTCTATAAGCTTGGTTATTGTCTGTATTATGTGTAATTCTTGCAACTAATCGCTTGTTAATGACCTAACACTTAACGTTGGTTTTAGCAGATCTTTAAAATGAAATGCAGGGAAGATCCCCTCCCCCACCCTTCCCTTAAGCATTTATTCCTTGTCTTGTGATATTTTGTTCACACTTCCCTGTATTTTCTTTAATTTACATTCAGTATTTTTTTTTGTATATTTTATTTTATGGACTATATCAGAATAGCTAAATATTAGCCTGTTCCTAGAATGGTTATGCCATTGTTAAAGGGGTGACCCTGCAATATACTGCACTGGGAACCATAAGTTCCACAGGCACTTTGAAGTTATGGCAGCCCCTGCATTTGATTCTCATCTGCTGCACTGGTGCTGGCACAGCTGTGTGGAACAGTGCAGTGAACTGGATCAGGACACTGCTCTGGCCAGAAGGAAAAAAAATGGTCTACGTATGGGGAAGTGATTTTTTTGTTGTTGTCGTTGAACTTTTCCATCCTCTACCTCATAAATTGTTACAGCCTGGCTGCAGATAAAACTGCTGGCACAGTGGATGGGTGGGAGGCCATTGTGGAGGTAGGCATGAGTCAAGTATGATGGGGAGGACAGGGTGTGCTTGTCCCAGCTACAAAAGGTTTTCAGAGATAAAGCAGCCCAGTTGGCAAATGTAAAACCAAAACCCCAGAAACTGTCACAGAAAGAGACAGAAAGAGCTGGACCAGTGTTTTGCTTTATGACTTGCACTCTGGACCTGACAGTCATGAAGGTGTTTTACCTTCCTCCCTCCCCTTTGGGAGTCATTATAATGGTTAAAGAAGTGAAGCTGAATTCCCTAGGACCCAGCTCTGTACTTGGAACTAATAAACAAATCTGGTAGCTAAAATTGAGGAATCTCTGCTTACCAACGTGTTGAGGTTTAAGCGCAGCCAGCAACTCAGTAGCACGGAGCTGCTTGCTCCCCACCCCATCCCCCTGCAGTGGGATGGGGGAGAGAATCAGAAGAAAAGGTAAAACCTGTGGGTTGAGATATGAACAGCTTAATAATTGAAATAAAGTATATTAATAATAAAGAAAAGGGAGAGTAGTAAAATCCAAGAAAAACAAGTGAAGCACAATACAGTTGCTCATCACCTGCTAACTGATGCCCAGCCAATCCTCAAGCATCAATCGGTCCCTCCCAGCCAACTTGCCCCATGACATTTTGTGGTATGTTCAGGTCAAAACATACTTTGGCCAGTTCAAATCAGCTCTCCTGGCCATGCTTCCACACAGTTTCTTGTGCACCTTCTCACTAGTAGAGCACGGGACACTGAAAAATCCCTGATTTAGCATAGCTACTTAGCAACAACAGAAACATCAGTGTGTAGTCAACATTATTCTCCTGGTAAATCAAAAAACACAGCACTGTACCAGCTACTAGGAGGAAAATTAACTATCCCAGCTGAAACTAGGAGACAGCAAAAGATGGGTTTGAGCTAAGATGTATGTTTGAGCTAAGGTGTATGAAAAGTTTAGTATCATTTTGTTCATGTTATTTGCTTTTTAAGTTTTAACTTTGCAAAGTGAAAAATTTGATTGTGGATTTGTTTTCATATAGTTGTGTGTTTGCATATCATATTAATACAGAAGGAGGAACGTAACCTGTATAAGTTACTTTTTTTTGGTGAATAATTGGTGCTGTTTTTCTACTTGCCCACACAGGTTAAACCAAAGCCACTATTGTTGAAGTTGTTAAAGTTAGCTGGTGCAGAAAAGGATACTTTTACTATGAAGGAGGTGAGAACTTTTAATCACTAAAGGTAGACTACAGTGAGTATAGATACATTGTTTTGTTTTGGGTGAATGGGGGGCAGCGTAGTTCATAGCTTATCTAGAAATTATTGAGACAAGATGTGTTTATTCTCCTGCTATAACTAGTTATTTTACTAGTTTCTCAAAAATGTGAACAAAAATTTCTGGTGATTAGAATAGCAGCGTTTTTGGGGAATGATAGATGAAAATCTGTCAGCTCAAAGGGAGTTCTAGGCATTCAGAGTTTGAAGAGCAAATTTCAGTGTATTTAATGTGCTTGTTCACTTAATCTTGAAACAACAACCTGGGTATTTAATGTCTGTGTATTTCATTTATTTTACAGGTAATATTCTATATTGGACAATATATTATGTCTAAACAATTATATGATGAAAAACAGCAGCATATTGTACACTGTGCAAATGATCTCCTGGGGGATTTATTTGGAGTAACAAGCTTTTCAGTAAAAGAACACAGGTAAAATGGGATTCTTTTCTGAGAGTCTGGTTGGGAAATAATGAAGAACTCAATGCGTATGGCCTTTTTAAACTCTTTGCATCTTTGACGATGGTAAGCTCTCTTCTGTGATTCCATGTAGCTAACTTGCAACGATTCTTTCTTTATTCCCATTTAAGGAGACTATATTCGATGATTTCCAGAAATCTGATAGCAATCAATCAACAAGGTAAGCTAGTTTAGGAGGCCGTTTTGTTTTGAGAAACAGCAGTAGGGAAAATATATAATGTGTCTTGCAGGTAGTGATCAGATAACAGTGATCTGTCCATTATTAGATATTTGGCTTTACCCACTGCTGTCCAGAGCAGTCATAAATAGTGACTCAAAGCAAACTCTGTTTCTTCTGGGGGAGAAAAAAATTCTGAGCAGCATTTGGCTAATTTTGTTGACTAGAACCAGAACAAACACAATCAGAGCTGAACAAAAAGAGTACTAAATTGAAAACTTAGTCATTTGCTTGTATTTGTTACAGCTAAAGCCCTCAACAACATAAAAAGTTTTAATAGAAAAACTAGCTTCTTGAACTTGTGCCAGCAATAAAGTCAGGGCAAATGCTGTTCATTTTTTTCTGTTAAAGTTCTATTTTAATTTTCAAAACTGAATGTGGAATGTATTTAGAACTGGTCATCCTCAACTATACTGAGTCTTGTTTTAAAAGATCTGTATACTTTTAAAAGAGTAGCTTTGTGGTAACTGTGCATAGCCACTCCTTGAATGGAGAATTGTTATATACGGTCATCTGTCCTGCAGTATAAAAATGCTCAATATAGCTGTAATTTTTGCCTCATACAGGGTGTGAACCAGAAGTTAAACAATGGAAGCCATTTTGTAAATTGGCTTCTAAATCTGTATTAAGACACCCTTTGTTTCTGATTCTTCCTAAAGGCAAGTTCAGCTGCTGAAGACGGGAAACATGCTCTCTTTATGCTTGCAAACTGAAATTTATCTCTCAAATTTTTTTTTAAGAGTCTTTATTAATTTAGGGTCTGTCTGGTAGTAGTCATATACCATCAACAACAGCTATTTTTTCTTCTATTAATTGTCTTCTTAATTCAATGTTCCCACAACATGATAGCTAGTAGAAAGCACTTTGTAGAGGGAGAAGTGTATTGTGTTTCTTGCCTGTATTCTTTCATATCTGCAGAATCACAGCTCATACACAACCTTCATTTGAAGCCATTTATAATGAAATTCTGAGCTGCTTTGCAGTTGACATTTCTTCTTCTTTCTCCCCACGTTCCCACTTCAGTAATGTTACAGGGAAGGTGCTTCACACACCTGGAAAGCAAAGGAGCAGTGTGGTTTTTTCCATTGTTCCAAAATGTCTGGGGATTAAGTTCTATTTAGAATTTACTTTTTGAGCCTGAAATTAACTTTTTCTGCTATGTTGTTTTACGGATTTTGGTTTGGTTTGGTTTCAGACTCTACACTTGGTGGCACACCTGAGGATGATGCCAAATCTCAGCATGAAGAAGAAAATGTTCTTAAGGTGATACTTCAGTTTTATTTTAATAAATGTTCTGAGTTGTAAATTCTGTTTCGTTTGCATGATAGCGTCAATGATTTAGATGTAATTAGTTGATTCTAGCCTTTTACTTCACATTCTTGCTCAGGCTTACTCATTATTTCTGTTAATCAGGAGTCTATGCAAGAGTTAGAAGAGAAGCAGACTTCATCAAATGTGACTTCCCGACCAACTACATCTTCTAGGAGGAGGACACACAGTGAATCTGGTATGTGCAGATTTATGATGCAGAGCTTTCAGTAGCATGAACACTTAGGGGAAGAAGTACATTCTGTAGTGTTGATGACTGGAAAGATGCTGACAGATAGTATTCATGTTTCTCTGCTTATCTAAAACAAAATGTTCAGCCTCAAAAGAAAAACACGATTTCTTGCATCGCTCCAGTGTCATGTTACAGTGACTTTGGATACGTTTACGTAACTGATTGTTCATTAAGCACTTATTAAAACATCTGGTGACTTAAACATCATGTTTGCCTCCTTTTTGTCTTTGCTGTGGTTATTCAATAATCACTGGCAAATACATTTTCAAAATATGAAATGTTTCTTTTTATAATTAGCAATAACAAGCCAGTCAGCATAAACCTGAATAAGTTTCTCAGTGGAAGTGTTCTCTACAGTTCTACTTAAATACTCTTCTGTGGAATTTCTTACATTAGTTTGTTCCATCACTTGTCTTACCTCATGACTTGGTGGTAGTAATTATCTGGGCAGTGATAACCTTCTGTCACTGCATAGAACATCTTCAGTTGCTTGGGAACATTTTTCAGTTCCTCAGCTTTTGAGTAGTATTTTTTGTGTTCCTTGTAGGCCACCGTTATGTCAGTCAGTCCAAAAACTGTGCTGCGTTGCTGAGCGGTTTGCACTAAATTAAAAGATCGTTTTAATGTTGTAACTAAAACTAGTGAAAGGATGGAAAGCCTCAGTTAAGCAGCAGAACCTGTAATATTTAGGCATGACCCAGAGCACATGAGGTGCTCTGTTGTGCTTACTTATTGTAGGTCTGATTATTAACTCTTGTCTTTGCATCCATTTATTAGTTTGTTACAACTTTAAAACTTCTTTTAATATAGTGTTTTTATATACACTTTTTTTCTAATTTATAGGAAATCTTCCTTTTAAACCACTATTCTTGTTAAATTGGGATAGTAGCGGCTCCTTTGGAGCCCCTTATATAGTGTATAGAAACCTTGTGGTGATACAGTATCAGTACGGCATGGAGCCATGACAACTAAATGAGGACAACGATGGACAGGAGCAACCCTTGGGCCTGGGGGCTCCAAGTTTGGTGGGGCTCTCAGGGCGGAAAAAAGAAAAGAGAGGGGCTGAGCCAAGAAGCACCAAGGGAAAGTAAGAGAAGTCTCAAAGTATGTACAAGTGTTTTGTTCTCTTTTCTTTTACAATGAAAGATTCAAGACTTGAAGACTCATGGATTGTCACAGTGTGTTTTGCAAGGCGAGGGAGAGGCTGGGCAATAGAGGGTGGGTGCAAAAGGCACCTGTTGCGGGGCAGCAGGCTCATACCGAGGTCTGTTAAACCAAGTTTTCAGGCATCTTGGGGGGTTTTCACTCCACTGCACTTATATACTGACTTTACAACACCTTTTTTAGTAAAATTGTTTCTTACTAAACACTCTAAAAGTCAGTGGAACTGAATTTTGACTTACCTATCCCTAAAATGCTGCACTCCTACTCCTTATGCTGCTTCTGGTGGTTGTTTCAAAATGTGATGTATTTAAAAAGCATTGTCTTTTTGCCTTCAAACCAAGCATACTTAATAGGCACAGCATAAAGCAATGCTCTCAGAGTTCAATTTTTATATAGTATGTCTTGAAGATTTTTTTGCTAGAGTAAGTCGAAAGTTATAACAGTTTGTTGCAAAAATCTTGTTGAGTAAATACAATTACATATAGTGGAACTCATCACTGGTAAATTTGTTGAGGTGTCTGAAACTTGAACCTGAACTTACCTTGCTTAGCACAAGGAATTCTGTATGCATGTGACCTGAGAGCTAGTTGCTCTGTCTCCCTACAAATTCTGTAATGGACTCAGAAGCTCTCTGAAAGTGCCCTTCTGTCTATTGACTGTAGAGGGAGCAAGGAAAATTAAGATCTATTTCATAAAATTAGGAGGGATATAATGTGTCATGTGTGAAGTAAAAATTCTTCCAAATTTGTGATCATTTTATTTCCTGCATGTGGATACTGCTATTCACAAGCTGTACTGATGGGACAAGTGGGGAAACCCAGCCCCTGAAGTACTGGCTTCAGGAATGTTTCACACTTTACATGTTTATCAGTGTTATCGTGTCTTTTTGAGTAAGTTTTGGTGCCTTTACTTTTTTCCTCAAAAAATAATACTGAGTTATTTTATTAGAGTTCTTTATAAGTAAATTATATTTTAAACTTCTGTTAAGAATATTCAAAACTGCACATTGCATAGATGTTTTTGGAGTAATAAAAATTCTTGAATATGCCCAGAAGAAAATTCTTCAGATGATCTGCATAGTGACAGAAGAAAGCGACACAAGTCAGACAGCATTTCGTTGACGTTTGATGAAAGTCTCTCATGGTGTGTAGTCAGTGGTCTGTGCCGTGAAAGAAGCAATAGCAGTGATTCAACAGATTCTCTTTCCATTCCCGTAAGTCGAAGTATAAATATAAAATATCTTTATGGTACAAATTTTGCAGATGCCACAAGTGCAAATATGCATCTGAAAACATCATGATCTTAATTAAAAGCAGCAGTGCCTCCAGTGGTGTGAGGAAGGAAAAGAGGATAAAAGAAAAGATAGTGTGTGGGTGGGGTCTTTCATAGATCTGCTGACAAAGCTGAAGGGAAATTTTTTTAAATATTAGCTTTGAGTTTTCTTTAAAACCAAGATCCTTACTGCTTGGCACAGCGTTGAAAAAACTGTCAGATATATTTTGTGTTTTAAAGTAAGTGTTTCTTAGAATGCAGTGCTAAGAGAAGAAAAGCAGTCACAGATGTTCCATAATTCAGAATTAGTTGGTAGTTCTGGTACAGCCTGGGTAACTGTACTCAGTAGTATGTATGCTGGTGATACACTGTATTCATTTTTCAAGCCTCTACTGTTTCATATTGTTGTTTTCAACAAACACCAAGGCAAGTTACCTGTGGTGAGATAAAGTTGTGAAGAGCTAAACTAACAGTATTCCTGGTCACATACTGTATTCTGAATTGACAGAACTAATACCGTATCTTCAGTCTTCCTATTTTATAATTGTTTAGCCACAGTCTCAAATTAAAAGATTAACAGAGTTGATGAGAACAGAGAATTTAATGACATGCAGCCAAAAGACAGCATCTTCCTGTATCTTTTTAGGAGAGCCTATGTGGAACAGTAACTGCAGTCTTCAAGCTGGCTATAGGCTGACTGCAGCCTCTTATTACAGAGTCAACAAAAGGCTTTCAGATCTAACTCTATTTTTACCTACCTATAATTTATCTCATAAAAGATGTACTGTCTAACAGCCGCTGGTCTTATTTCTTCCATAGCTAACTAAACTGAGTAGCACAGTTTTATCTTAAGAGCTGTTTTAACAGTAATGGTTATGTATATGGACTGGTGAGGTTGAATGTGTACTTTCTCTTTTCTTACAGGATCTTGATGCTAGTTCATTAAGCGAAAACTCTGATTGGTTTGACCACAGTTCTGTTTCAGACCAGTTCAGTGTAGAGTTTGAAGTTGAGTCTATTTATTCAGAAGATTATAGCCATAATGAAGAAGGGCAGGAGCTCACAGATGAAGATGATGAGGTACGTATTTATTTTGCTTGGGGTTTTTTTTGACCTTGGGGGGTTGGTGAGAGGGAAAATTTGCACCCAATTGTTCATTAAATCAGACTACATTGTCAGTGCAGTTGGGTCACCATTATACACCCACCAGGAAGTAACTGAGATGGTGCTGAGGCTTTCTGCAGGCTCTGAAACAGGCTGTGTAGGAAAAGTCCTGTTTGTTTAACTTCACTCACTAGCTGTTGGAGTCAAAGGCAACATGCATACTTGAGTCTTTCTGTATTTTTAGTTATAGAAGTATGTGTTTGAGCTTTGACATTACTTGATATTGAATGAAAACTTACCTAGTAACTCTTTGTAAAGGGATGCTTCCAAGTCATTTGCGTCTGTGAATACAAATGTTTCATATTGATGCTGAGCCACAGTTTCAGAAATTTTCATTAGTAGGCAAGAAGACAGTAAAACTGTGGGTTACCATAATTTTCAAGAGATCTAGATTTATGGAACGTCAGGAATGAAGTGAGAATTTATGTGGAGTTTTTTTTCTGGGTTAGTTTTCTGTTACTTTAGAGAGGTTAATCAGCTCATGGCAAGATTGGGTAAGTACCAGAGGCAGAATTCACCAGGGACATACATGATTGTGGTACTTGAGAGGCTGAATGGACTGACTGTACTGATGTACACCGACTTGTAGTGTAGTGCTGCAGAGCTGCACCCTGAGATAAGACAGTAATTTGGAGAAAGAAAGGATTGCCGCTGCTCCCAGCAGTAGTTTTGAGAATTGCAGAATGACTGAGGTTGGAAGGGGCCTCTGAAGATCATCTTATCCCCCAGCCCTGGCTCAGAGCTGATTGCCCAGGTGCATGTCCAGATGTGTTTTGAATATCTCCGAGGATAGAGTTTTTTAGAGATAATCAGGGCAACTGCCAGTGCTCGGTCACCCACAAGTAAAAAGTGTCTGCTGACATTCAGAGGGAACCTCCTGCGTTTTAATTTGTGCCAGTTGCCTCTATTCCTGTCACTGGCCACCACTGAAAAGAGCCTGTCTCCCTCTTCTTATACCCTCCTTTCAGGTATTTATATTCATGTTGATAGGACACCACCTGCCCTGAGTCTTCTCCAGGCTCCTCTGGAGCTCCTCTAATCTGTTAAATAATCTTAGTGGCCCATCACTGGAGACTCTCTAGTAGCTCCCTGTCTGAAAATCTCTAAGGTTAAAAATATTTTGGGTTTTTAATTGAATGCCAGAAAACAGTTACATCATTGTTTTTTCCATTTAAACCAGGTTTATCAGCTGACTATTTACCAGGATGAAGATAGTGATGGTGATTCATTTGATGAAGATCCAGAGATTTCTTTAGCTGTGAGTAAAAACTTGTCAAGTAAAACATCATAAATTGGTGAACTGACAGAATAGAGATCAAGAAGTATAGATGAATTCTATTGCTACCAGTGAATTTTTTTTTAAGAATCAAATTAACTTTTTCTTATATGCTTGAAGGTTCCAATACAATATTTTAATTATTGAACATGTCATTATTAACTTTGATTTTTTAATAACTAGTAAGCTTCCTAAAGGAAATAATTTCCAAAGGAAATTATTTGAAGCCTAAATCTGACTCTCTGCACAAAATGAAAAAATCTTGGTCAGGTACATTTAAAAACTTTTCCTGTAAATCAGAATACCTAGTTTTATTATCCATCCTGAATGAAGGTATCTCTGACATACAGATGTGAAGGCAAACCTTTTTTCAGAACAGTAATATAGATTAAGAGAGGCTTTTTCTAAATTTTGTGAGACCATTCTTAAAGTGTGGGAAGAAACTTAGGGTCTTGAAGCACACAGTAGAAGTAAAATGCAGGGTACCTCATTTATATCAGCTTTTCACAGTTGAACCTTAAATAAAGTTGTTTTCCAGAACTGTCTGAAGTGTTCCAGTCCCTTGATGGTCTGTAGGACTGAGGGACGTTATTCTGTTTGTGAAAGACAGGGCTGGCCACCTTCTGAAAATGTAGCAGTACTTATGTGTGGTAAAAGAGCCCTGTATGTTATTTTTAGGATTTAGAATAGGTCTTTTAAGCTTTTGATGTTACTGATGTTATTCAGGACTCGTCTAAATAATTTTTGGGTGGTTTTTTTGTTTTGATTCCCCCAAGGCTTGCATTATTTCTAAGAAGGGTCTTTCTCCTTAAAGATTAAATGTATTTTTAACAAGATATAGTGGGTTATTTTCAGTGTAGTCTATAGAGTATCCGCTGAGATGGTGATGCAAGATTTTTTTTTTTCCACTTTTTTCACTTCTGTTTTTTTATTGGCCCATGTTTTCTCTTGTACCTCTGTGTCAGAGTGCCCTCACCTGGCCATTTTGCACACCAGCAGCTTAGCATCCTACAGGTGAAAGGTCCCTTCAGTCTTGAGTAGTTCCCATTTCAGAAGTCCATTCTCAAAAAGAAGAGGAACGGTGACCATTTATTAGAAGATTTTTGTGAGATTCTCTGAAGATTTTTGTGATCTGGCTTCTGCAGTTTTGCATAAGAAATAATAAATTGTTATTGTTCTAGTCACAAACCTACTGCAAAAAGAAAGAAAATCAGAGTTGTTTTAAAATAAGAACTATTGTAATCTAGAACTGCAAAATGGGACCAAACACTGAATGGCATTTTAAAATTATAAACAAGTCAATAGCTCAACATAATTATTATTTTGACAGTAGTAAATTGTTTACAATCTCTGAATACTTCAGTTGTAACAGTTCCCAGTAGCTTAAGTTGTTCCAACCTTTAATTCACTAAAGGATTATTGGAAGTGTCCTGAATGTAGCGAAATGAATCCTCCGCTTCCACGACATTGCCACAGATGCTGGGCCCTACGCGAGGATTGGCTTCCAGATGAAAAGAGTGAGAAACTGGAAAAGAGCAAATCAGAAGGTTCCTTCCCTGCAGAGGCTGAAGAAGGTTTTGATGTTCCTGACTGCAAGAAAACAAAAATGACTGAAGATAAAGAACCAGCTGTGGATGAGAATGAGGAGAAAGCAGTACAAATTTCCGAGTCCCAGGAAAGTGAAGATTATTCCCAGCCGTCAACATCAAGCAGCATGTTCTGTAGCAGTCAGGAGGACTATAAGGAACCTGAGAAGAGAGAAATGCAAGACAAAGAGGAAAGCATGGAATCCAGTCTGCCTGTTACCAGCATAGAGCCCTGTGTCATATGTCAGAGCAGACCTAAAAATGGCTGCATAGTACACGGCAAAACGGGACACCTCATGTCATGTTTCACGTGCGCAAAAAAGCTTAAGAAGAGGAACAAACCCTGTCCAGTGTGCAGGCAACCCATACAAATGATTGTACTAACTTATTTTAGTTAGGTGGATGTTGACTGGAAAGTTGCAAGAGAAACTATTTTTGTATGCTTATTGGAAAATTAGTATTTTGCGTCTCTTTACATTTGGTATGAAAAATAATTGCTGACATAAATGCACTGGTGTTGTTCAGAGGTTCACCCAATAGTCATAAATCAACTTGGAGATTTTCAATCCTTGTCAGTAGAAATAACCAAGTCCTGTAAATCACCTCCCTCTCCAGGTGTTTAATGTTCCATGCAAGTTAGTGACGTTTCTTTACTGGATTAAATACACACATTAAAAACCCCAGTTCAATGATTGTGAGAGGAGACACATGTTGAAGCATTCACTTATGCGAGTTCCTTGTCTTAAGAAGGTAGAAGATTCTTCAGGTTCCAGTATTTGTTGCCCGGTGAAGACACCAGGCTCAATCAGACCATACCGAATAAGTCAATAAAATAAATAGTCTTGTCTTAAATTCCTCCAAGTAGGCAAACTGGGGGGGAGATCTTACCAGGAAGTGGAGAAAAATTTAATAGAAAATAATTTAAGGCTGTGGAAAAAGAGAAGGATATTGTATGTCTTTTATTTTTATAGTGTTCATTGTAAACTTCAGGGCTGTGTGTCCCCCTAAGAAGTCATTGATCCAAGACCAGTCATACAGTTCTCTCTTAAATGTCTTAAGAAACTGACATTTTAAATGCTTTGTGAGTTTGGAGGTCTATACTATCCCGACTATGCTTATTATTATTAATTTAGCAGCATGAGAGAAGACTTGAACAGGCAAGATAAATGAAGGAGGAGTCTCATCAGGCAATATTAGGGGAATAATTTTCTGCAGTTTTTGACTTCAGCAGACCATTGACTGGAATAAAAATATAAAAAATTCCATCTTCATCTGCAGAAACAAATAAGCTGTGCAGTTCTAGTTCACATAGACATTCTTTAAATTCAGTAGTCTTTCAAAGTCAAACTGTTCTTTTCTGTATCACAAGAATTCTGAAAATCCATTGCGGGGTGTTTGGTGAACTCAAAATTTGTCTCATTGGACCTTTACTGCTTTTAGTTCTTGTCCCTTCACTGTACTTTGTCAAAAACTTGGTGAAACTTACCAGTTCTGTTCTCAAGGGGTGTGCTGACTGACTCGGTTCTGGGGGGTGTTCAAGATAGTTCTCTGGAGTGTGTGTAAGCTTTGGTATCTTCCTGTGGGATACGGTGAAAATCACTCGGCTGTATTTCACATGGAGAGTTTCTGTACCAGTGAGTGATATTTATTCCTTTGGAAAACTAGATTACAAGAGGAACTGTATGATTTTAGCACCTTTTATTTTTACAGGTAGTTGCTAATCATCTGCCCAACAGGGAATGGCAAATAAGCAGTCAGGGGAGTTCCAAGAATGGAGATGTAGCCTAAATGAAATTGCATTGTGTTACCATCCTGCAGGCCAAGGTTCAACAGGTTTCCAACGCCACCAGTATAAAATTGCTGATGCCTGTGTGCTGGCACAAAGACTTACTGCTATCGTTACCTCCAGGTAATGCCTGAAGTGCCTAGGAAAGGGACATAAAGATGTACAGGAAAGACTTGGTAAATCCTTGGTTGTGACTTGCCTGCAGAGAAATACCTTCATAGGTAAAGTCTGAATTATTGGGATCAGTCACGTTTTGTTCATACATTTGAGCTATTTTTTTTTTAAAATACCACTAAAAGATCGTGGTGTGTCTGAAGTTCTAGCAATTCATTTTAACTAAACAAATACAAACCCCAGTTGTATACATTTTGTCAAATTCTTAATTGCAAGTTTCTTGCCCCTTGCAATTTGTAAAGCAACAGCAGGTATCTGGAAGTTCTTGGAAGATTTTTGGTCAGCAGAAACCCTTCATGGGTTTTATGGGATTTGATAATCCTTCAGCCCAAGACGGAGAAGGCCTTTGGGTAGATATTTAATTTTTTCAAGTAGGGATGCTAATAGAGGGCTACCTGCCCTAATTTACACTTCCTAATAATTTTTCTTAATTTTTGATTTTATTTATTTAGCTGCATTGAGGCTTTCAGAGGCTCTTCATTGCACCTGCAGGTGAGACCAAACAGTGGTCTTGTTGTGGTCAGGGATCTGCAGCTGAGAGAAAACTGTAGACATGTATATGCAGAAGGCTCAATAACATGGGGACTGTACTTAAAAAGCATCATCTCTAAAAACTTTGTCCATTACAGTGTCTCCCATGTCTAAGGTTTTTCAGCGTGATCCCTTCTCTGCAGTCACTACCGTGGCTGTGTAACTGCCATGCAGGGGGAGCAGCTGCCCTTACCTAGTTCCTACTGGGACAAATTGTACCATCCCACTCTTGTTATTCTGTTACAATCAATCCCCTTAAGTGATCTCCATACTTAAAAAAAAAAATTTCTTCTCTCAGAAAGGGAGGTATGGCCAGAGTGGTGATCCTTGCTGTTCACAATCACTCACCTTTAGGTTTATTCTTCTAAAGCAATTTCCCATTAACACTTTCTGTTTTGGCAGAAGATAGACTGAGACCATACAGCATAATGAATTTTCCCTTTTATGCTTTAAAATTTTACTTCCCTCACACGTCTTCTGTTGTGGAGAATAGCCCTGGAAATACCCTCCAATCCATACAATGATGAGGAAATGTGGAATTTTGATTTCTGCATCTGCAAATCACTGTGTCAGATCTTTTTGCTTTGAGTTAGATTTTCTGGCTTAATATTATTCTTAATGACCTCTAGTACAACTAGAGTTTGCTTGGTTTGGGTGCATGCCTTACAAATCGGGGAGTGATGAGTATTGGTGTCTGTTCCAGTTCCAGTCGGGGATGCAGCAGGCGAGTGCGTGCCTGGGGCCCAGGGGGTGTGTACGTGACACACGCACCCCAGTGCTGTGGCCCTGACCCCACGCTGGAGCCTTTGGCTCTGCCTCCCCCTTATCGCGTGGGCACAAGCAGCGACCACCATGTTCGTTCTGGCCTGTAAGCACATTGCTGGCCTTGGGCAGAGGCACAAAAGTCAGTAAAATTTTGGTACAAAAGTTGTTGTTGACAGTTTTTTATTTGGTGTTTGAGATCCTTATTTAATATCGCACACATTTTAATCTTTAATTTATTGCCATTTGTAAATATTCTTGTGCTCACAGTTAGTGTTTTGAGCTCTAATTTATTGAATTAGCCTACTGGTATATGTGTAGTCATATAAATATGCTTACTTAAGTAAATAACAAGAAAAATATTTAAGAAATGTAGCATTAAAATACAGAGAAATATTCGGATTATATTCAGATTTAAGAAGGGCACAGAAAGATTTATGGCTTTGTTTCCTTTTTTCCGTCCCTTAAAAAATCTTCTGCATTGCACTTGAACATTTATTAGATATGGAGCTGGTGCAACATGAGCACATAGAGAATATTTTGGTGGTGTTTGTTTTCCTTTGGAATGCTTTTGTATCCCTGAGTACAGCCAAGGAGCTGACTGGCTGCTTCTGGTGCTGGTAACATCAGGGGTGATGGTCTGGAAGATGCAGGACAGCGATGAGAGATTTCAAGGTTAATTTGCAATGGATGGTAATGACTTTTGCTTTTCAACATTTGACCAGGAAGGTTGCAGGGAAGGCCAGATGCTGACAGGATGCAACTACACAATTTTCAGTAATTGTCTTAGTCTCTTCCTTCTTGCCCATTGTCTGTCTTCCTTCAGATAGACAACAGTAATGTATAAATGGTGCAAGAACTCTCATTTATTCTTTTTTATAAAGTACAATAAACCTACTTATTGTATGTACTTATTTATTAGTATTGAAATTCAACCCTTGACCCAAGGAAGTGAAGTGCAAAGTGAGGTACTTGAGGCTGAAACCGAAGTAGCTGGGTGGGTGATTGTATTGAACATTCACACTGCAAGGTGATGCTTTTTGTTGAGCAGCACCCCTTGAAGCTTGTGTTAGTGTTCCTAAAGAGCACATGGCAGAAATGTGTGCCACGTGTGCCATGCTGTGCTGCGCCACTCCCATCAGCAGGTTGATTTAGAAAGGGTAAAAGTGCTTCAAACTGTTAATTGGTGAAAAGCATTACATCTGTTCTAACAGTGTGGTACGATTTTTATCACTGAGTTCTGTTTGCTGTAAATTTGTTCCAATGTCACTGTCTCTGTACTCTCTGTGGGTATGAAGCCACATGCAAGATTTCAGGCCGACTTTTTCCCTTTATTGACTAATATGAGGGAAAAATAATTCCTCATTCTCACAGAAAGTGTCAAGAATAGTTGTTTCCAAAAACTGTGTCTTATAAAAGAGAAATTAGAAAATAATTAGAAGCATGATGAAACTGAATAAACCAAATGAATAAATAGGATGAATACAGGGATGAAGAACTTTTCTTTGCCATCTTAATCTAAAGCTGCTTTTGTGTTAAGGTGTAACTTTAGAGTTTATAATTTTTAAGCAGGTAATTTATCCAGAATGTTAACTTACAACACGTAAGTGGGGCAGCAGTTATCCCTTTCCCTACAGCGCTTCGTTGTGTAACATTTGGCCTGAAAAGGGGCATTTGCTGTTGCAGTGTTTCCCTTTGGGAAGGAGCATTGGACACAGGCACAGGACTCATGGACAGGCGGCATTCATCCCCGTGCTGAGCTCTGTCAGCTGCTCTCATGGTCGTTCACAGGGCCAGCAAGTGGGTGCAGCATGGAGGGGCTGCAGGGTCACTTCTGTACTTGCTGAAGCCCATTCCGGAGCGTAGTTCACTCGTGCTCTCCTGCACGCCCTGCGCGAGCTCACACAGGGACCGCTTTGCTGGAGCATCAGCCCTCTGGCTGGCAGGGTCTGTCTCCTCTGGGGGATTACCTGCCCAGCTAAGGGGGCTTTTCTGGCACTCCATACCTGAGTCAAAGGCTTATCTTGAGTTACTTGTTGTTTAAAGGTTGCGCAAGCAAAACAAAACCGAGGCTTAAGGTGTCTTTTAAAAACTTGCACTTAGTGAACGTGAAAAATTGTTGCTTTTAACTAAAGTGTGTGCTTTTTTTTTATTTTTAGCACAGATGCACTGAAAGCTGCAAGTGAATGCCTCTCTAGTGTATCTGTATCTGTATTCTACATGTAAAATTTGTTGGTGATTCTTAAAAAGGCGTTGTCTCACCTTTTGAGTAAATGTTGCTTTAGCGTAACAGCCTGATTTTAAAGGACAGTTCTTGGTTGTGAGCCAAATTATTCGCTGTCTACATGATGATTACTTAACACCTAAAATACCAATAGCTTTTCTAAAACCAGAGTCTTTGTTGTCTGACTACGCATAGCTGGAATGACTATTAAACAGAGTAGTTCATAGTGAATTGAAATAACGATGCAATTTTGCCACTACTCCTAGATGAACATGCTTTCAAGAGCTTGTAATACGGTGTGTACCTTCTGGCTACCCAGTGCACGTACAACCACAGTCAGTAACCATTAAAATACAAGCATCCACTCCACTTGCACAGTGCATAGATCTCTTTAGGAAAACTTTCATGTGTGTTGCATTTATCTTTTGGTTTTCAGTTGTTTCCTTTCTAGGGAAACTGAGTACTGTGTTCCATTTAAAAGCTTTAAATAAAGATTTCTTTATATACTCTTTGGTGCTCTTTCTTTTTTCATGTCAATGACTTGATTGTTAGAAGTTCTGGTACTTGGTTTTCATACCGATTCTTGTCCCTGTAAGCCAGCAGGCAGACTCTTTCTGCCCTCACTCACCTGCTGAACTGCTGACTTCTCTCAGATTTCTTGGGTTTTGGAGGTTTTACACTCAAGGCATCTCTCGTTCTTTCTGCTATAAGTGACAAGATCAGAAACAACTATCGGTGGGACTTAGTATCTTGCACATGCAGCCCTCATTCCCAATAAGCAATGCTGTTTCATGTTCTGAAGTGCATTCACACACTGAATGCAGCTGGCTGGCAGACAGGTAAGTGGCTGATGCCCAAGCTCCACAGCCCAGCTGGTGGGTCCTGGTGTGACAGACAGCAGTGCCTCAGGAAAGATTTTAAAAGGATTAACTGCATTCCTGCGTTTTTTATTTACTGTATACAGGAAAAGATTGATGTTTCCAAAGATAATCTCTTCTGCTTTACTTTTGAAATTGCGTAAGAAAATTACTGGCAGATAAAGTTTTAAAATAAACACAGGAGATGGTGCTAACTGGCTTTTCTTGATAAATTTTGTGGTTATTGGACAGCTTCAAAGGGCCAGGAGGATGATTCGCAACTGGCCAGGCAAAAGGAATCTGCTAATCCTGCCCTGCAGCATCTCAGCCCAGCCACGGGAGTGCTGAAACCAGCCTTTGTAACTGGATCTGGTTTGTGCCTTGCTGAGTATGCCTGCCAGCTCCTGTAGTAGCAGGGCTCTGAAACTACTTAAGCAATATAAAGCCACTGCTAAAGCTATTCAAAGAATCTGAATTGTCCGTGATTGTTCCGCACCAAATTCAGTTAAAAATGGACAAGGTATAAAGCTGTCGGTGACTGTTTCCATATTGTTTTCAGCAGCTCTGCTGTAGGAGAACACTGTTTTCAGAGACACAAATTCCTCCCTTTTCCCTGACGATGCAGATTATAATCCAGTTTCCAGGAGCGTGGCCCTTCAGCACATACTTACGCTTCATTTCCATCTTTTTGTCTTAAAACCTACCTGTGTTACTGGTCTTTACCTCATTTGAGCCCTAAGCAGTCTCATCTGACCAGGTAAGAAAAAGCATATTTTAAAATGCCATTCCTCATTTATAGCAATGGCTTTATTATGAGAAAATAGGATTGATCTGATCACTTAGAGTTGTGTGGCACCTTAGCTATTGGTTCAGAAAGGAACCTGAGGTTGCATAAAATATTTGCAGTACAATCCTCAACTTTTTTTTGAATTCAGGCAAAATCTTGGGAATGTATTTGTACTTTCTGCATTGAAATTCTACAGTTATCTCCATCAGCTGTACAAAATTTCTTCAGAGTAAAATACTTACATAGAAAAATATGATAGTCTATTACAATTAAAAATATACAATCAAACATTTGATTGTCAACCCAGTATTTTACAAAATACAGTGAACATAATTGTGAATCTGAGAATTTGGTTTATAAAAACAGACATTCTTTTGCATATACAATTCTTTGTCTGCAAAGCCACATTTGTGCAGGTGGATTTTACCTGGCCATAACATCTCATTCCTGACTTTATTTAAAAATTACAAGCAGAGCAGTCATTAAAACCAAGACATGTAGGGTTGGTTTTACTGCAGCTGAAGCCCATGTGAGCTCTTGGTACAGGGGAATTTTGGGACATGAAGCAACTCTTGGTCTGATAGAGACCTCTGAGAAAGCGAAGTCCTGTTTTAAAGCACTGAAGTTACCAGTGTTGTCAGGTACTTCCACTGTCTTCAGCATCGATTTAAATCCTGGTACAGTAGCCTAGGAGCAAACACAAAAGTGTTCTTACTTACGAGTTCAGCTGTGAAACAACCAGAGTCTAATGTGCTTGTTTACACTTTAAATGTACAAGAAAAAATGTTCTAAATACACGTTTGGGAACATGGGATGAAAAAAGGGTAAAGTTTCCATGTTATAGCAATAAGACTTGTTGTACAAGAGAGGGTATCCTGCAGTGATGCTCAAGTGTAAGCAGGCAGAGCCTACAATGCATGGATGTTCTCTAACACTTCTGCGGAGAAACCATTTTGACACAAGGAAATAACTGCAACCAGTGGTGGTGTCAGCCCGGTGCTGCCCTGATCCACCTCCTCACCCTGAGAGCTCTGTGGTTTGTTTCAAACACCTCAAGCTCAAGTCGCTGTGCTCCAGACGCTCATCCCCACTGGCTTCACCATCAAGATCAGATGGGTGCTTATCTCTGGACATTGAGGACTTGAGATGTTACTGTATCAAAAAATTTCATTTCTGCTGACTCACATTTAAAGGTACTATTTTCTTTTAAATCTGCTAAAGGGTCTTTACAGCTCCTATATGTGACTCGAGCAGTTCAGCTCACTCACCTCTAAGGATGCCTTCTCACTGTGCTCAGGAATTCAAGGCAATTAGAAACAATAATTTAGTAAGGCTGCACACTTACATTGATCACATACGTCCCAGGCAAAAGGAGAAGATAGTACTCCCCTTGTTCATTTGTTCTGTAGGGGCAGATATGAGGCCTTCCTTTGGCTTCCACGATGGCATTGGGAATAGGATTCCCATTCTTATCAGTAACTTGACCCTTGACACCTATGAAAAAGAGAGAGGAGAGAGATCACGACCTGTAACTGTAGTGAGCTGCCTCCTCCGAGAAAGTCGGACTGTTCTCTTGCTGGGTGCACTCAAAGGCTGTTTCACTGAGTTTGAGCACATCTAATAATATCACTAGTCACTTCTGTCTCACTGAAAGGAATTTAAACAGAATATCCCTGGTTGTTGTTTTTAATAGTTTACCCTCACGTTAAGTTAGAAAGCAGCAATATAATCTCCTAAATCTCATTTGCTGAAGGCATCATATACACTTATTGTATGTGTATTCTACTGAAGGGCTTAAATCTTCAGTACTGCTTTGGCATTTTTTTGCACACACCCCTCCCTTCTCTTTTTGTAATGTAAAATAAGTCAGCCAGTTCTCTAGTACTTCCCAAAGGCAGAATAGCAACACTGTCTGATTATGAAGTACTTTCCCTTAATTCTCACACACCGTCTTTAAGGCAGCACTGGCATTAGGCAGAGATAAAACAAATACTTTGGGCAATAAAATGCAAGATAAGCAACAGATTTG